AAAGATTTCCACAAGAACTGCTCTGGAAAAGTATCTTATCAATTATATTTTGAAAGTTACTAAGGAAATATTTTTGAAGAAGTACACACAGCAAGTGTGGCTGTACCTGTCAGTAATATCAGCAGTCAGGCGGCCATATATCAAGACCCTGTCCTACAAAGAAAAAGGAGAATGAGATGGAAAAAGAAGAGAAGGAGGAGGAGAAAATGGAGGAAGAAGTAAAAGAGAAGAAGGAAGAGGAGGTGGAGAAGGAAGAGGAAGAGGAAGAAGAGGAGGAGGACAAAGAGGAAGAGAAGGGCAACAGCATAACTTCAATATCAGATCAAAAATACTAATTACAAGACATGTTTAACAGTTACCAAACATGAACATAAATAATTATACCAAACTAAATTTGCAAAACTCAAATAAAAAACAAATCTGTTTAGTTTATTCTTGAAACTGAAGGTTGATTTATGACTTAAAAATTCAACAAGTGTTCTCTGAATTAATAGAATAATGGAGAAAGTTATAAGATAAATTCAAATAATGTAGAAAATGAGTCTGTTAAAATTAAGCATTGATCCATGATTTAAAAAAGCACATTTAGTAAATTGAAAATGTAAGGATTATTTTTATCTGAAAAGCAGCACAATAATTTTCTGCAAATATTAAAGTAAAATGTAAATTGTTGAAATATTTTCTTTCACAATGGGGGAGAGGAGATGAAAATAGTCACAACTTAGAGACAATTGTACATTAAAACTTTGAATTTAAAATTCTCTTCTTAGATTGGAGAATTAACTTTTTATTTTAACACTAATTACTTCCATCTTTACAAGTATTCTGTAAAAAAACATCCAAATAATTTCCTGATGAGTCAGGCAGTCCTAGTTGTATTGCCACCATATAAATATTATATATATATATATATATATATATTATATGTTATATATGCCATATATGTATATAATGTATTTTTAGTATATATAGTAATATAAATTTCAACAGATCATCTTGCCAGCATCAAAGCTGGACAGATAGTTCAGAAGAACTGCAGAATATTCAAAATTCCAAAATTCAATTTTTCCTTCCTTTCACTGATACAATTGCTAGTTTTAGGAATTATCCCACACAGGCTTTGCTAACAGTAAAATCCACTGCTTGTGTTCAGTCAGTTGGAAATATTTAATCAAATGTTTAATGTGGTAATGGTGACTAGATATTTACAATCCTCTTGCACTGTCTTAGAAATATGTTAGGAGAACAATGCCTGGTGGACTGTCTCTCACATTAATACAATTGAATTTTTTAAATTTTATTTTATTGTAAGGGGGATGTAGAGAGGGATTACAGTTACATATGGAAGATAATGAGTACATTTCTTGTCAAACATTGTTACCCCTTCCCTCATTTTCTCCCGCTTTCTATCTCCCCCCAGATACCTCCCCTCCCCCAAGTTGTAAAGTTCATTTCGAACAAAGTGTCTTTGAGTATCGCCCTTGCATTAGTTCACCCTTTGTCCTTTGTCTCACCATTCTGTTATTCTCTTTCCCTTCCCCAAATTAGATAAACATATATACAGGACACAGGGTACCAAAATGAACAGTGACAACAGGGGATAAACCAAAGAGGGGAAAAACAAAGGAAAAAAGACATAACTTCACACCATATATTTTAAAAAACTCTTGTTTGCATAGTTCATTTCGATTATCATCATTTTATATGGTCTTATGTACATAGGTATTGAGCTATTATGATTAAAAACAATAAAAATAATATTCTCTTCCAACATTAATAATTAGAGAAAGATGATAAACTTCTAGGGAAACTAATCAAGAGTATATTATTAATGAAAACATAACGAGAAGACTATATCTTCCAATATTTTATAAATAATGGTATTGATGACCCAAGTGCATATTAATAAAATTGGACCACAACTATAAAAAATACATTCGTGTCTTAAGATGTGTCATTTGGGCATACAGAAGCATACAGCTTCTGCAACATTTCCTTAAATATTCCTTGACTTTTTAATTACTTTTACTTTTTATTTTAAAATATTTTATTATAAAATATAACGTACATAGAGAAATATAAATAAGCATGCATATAAAGCCAGTGTTGCTGGCTTTATATACAGTACTGTAATCCTCGCTACTTAAGAAGCAAAGATCTGAGGATCAATTGAGGTTCAAAGTCATCCCAGTCAGGAATGTCCATGAGACTCTTATCTCCATTAACCACCATGAAGCTAGAAGTGGAGCTGTGAGTGGTAGAGCGCTAGCCTTGAACAAAAAATAAAAACTCAGGGAAAGTGCTCAGGCTCTGAGTTCTAGCACCAGAAGAGACAGACAGACAGAGATAGAAACAAAGATGAGAGACAGAAAGACAGAGACAGAGAGAGATGCGTGCATATATATATATATATATATATATATATATATATATACATGTATATATACATAGATATATGTATATCTGTATATATACATATCTATGTATATATACATATATATACATGTATATACATATACATATATATACATGTATATATATGTTTGTGTATATATACATATGCATGTATATGTACATTAAGTATTTTCTTAACAAATATCATGTTTTACATTGTATATTTAATGAGAAAATCCAAAATGTCTGAGTAAAATAACAATTGAATGAACAATCATCTATTAAGAAAACTTTGGGACTGGGAAAGTGGCTTAGTGGTAGAGTGCTTGCCTCGCATGCATGAAGCCCTGTATTCAATTCCTCAATATCACATACACAGAAAAGACTAGCACTGAGCTGCGCACCAGTGGCTTCACACCTGTAATCCTAGCTACTCAGGAGGCTGAGGTGGGAAGATCGAGGTTCAAAGCCAGCCGGGGCAGGAAACTGTGAGATTTTTATCTCCAATAAACCATTAGAAAACCGGAAGTGGTGCTGCGGCTCAAGTGGTAGAGCATTAACCTTGAGCTGAAGATCTGAGGGACAGCACCCAGGCCCAGAGTTCAAGCCCCAAGTCCAAACCCCCTCCCCCGCAAAAAAAAGCTAGAAGTGGTGTTGTGGCTCAAGTGGTAGAGTGCCAGCCTTGAGCAAAAGAAGCTCAGGGACAGTTCCCAGGCCCAGAGTTCAAGCCCCAGGACTGGCCGAAAGAAAGAGAGAAAGGAGAAAGAGAGAAAAAGAGGAGAGAGAGGAAGGAAGGAAGGAAGGAAGGAAGGAAGCAAGGAAGGAAGGAAGGAAGGAAGGAAGGTAGGAAGATTTGTATTCAATATGATAAAGTATCAAAAACTTGACACTATACAATGCTGATGTGAGATTTCATAAAATATTAAGATTGAAACTTAAGAGAAAAATTTACATAAGGAAGCAACAGATCAGGCAACAATTATACAAAATACAAAGAAAGACTGGTGGTATGTGGCTTAAGTGGTAGAGAACCAGCTATGAGCAAAAATGCTGAGCAATAGTGAGAGACACTGAGTTCAAGTCTCAGTACACACACACACACACAAAGAAAAGAAAAGATAAAGGAAGACATGGCTTCATTTTGTTCACAACCTGTGGTAGATAATGACATCATGGTATTTTTTTTTTATGGTCCTGGGGCATGAACTCTGGGCTTTGGCACTATCCCTCCTCTCTCTCAGGGCAAACGCTCTACCACTTGAGCCACAGCGCCACTTCTGGTTTTCTGATAGGATGAGAAGGGGAAACAAAGAATGAGGCAACAATGCTTGATAAGAAATGTACTCATTACCTTACCCGTGTAATTGTGACTCCTCTGTATGGTATTTTCACAATAAAAAAAAAAAGAGTCTTACAGACTTTCCTGTCCGGTCTGGCTTTGAACCATGATCCTCACATCTCAGCCTCCTAAGTAGCTAAGATCACAGGCGTGAGCCACCGGTGCCCAGCTTCATAGTCAAATTTTATATTTTCCAAACTAACATATTTACAAATTATAAATTTTAATACTAGTAAATTTTGGTGAATTTAGATTCTCTTATTGTTGACTGTACTTGATTTCCTTCTATGAAAATAAGAAAACACCAATCTGCAACAGCAATACTCACAAGAAATGATTTGTACAACTTAGGGGGAGGGATATGGGAAAGAGAAAGAGGGAGAAAAATGAGGCAGGGGGTGACAAGTTCAACAAGAAATGTACTTACCACCTTACTTATGTAACCGTAACCCCTCTGTACATTACCTTGACAATAAAATTAAAATAAAAAAACAGATATACAAAGAAAAAAAGAAAAAAATGACTCAAATGTATAAATGGCAAGAAATGAAAATGCAACCTCAACCTACCAAAACATTTTGGTTCAATTACCTGGTTAAATTTTTTTAAAAAGTAAAAACTATCTTTTGCACAAGATTGAATTTTCTGTCAGATATTTTCCCTATCAACATGTTTTAATTATGCACTCTCTGTAAAATAATATATAATCACACACTTTAATTATTAAGTGTTTGAGGGAGAATATATTATATTCTCAAATGTGCATCTTTATTTGTAATTATTTAATCAGATACTTGATAAAAGACAAGGATTACGCTCTTTTTAAAATCAGGATATAACTAGAAACATGATTGGAGGATGTGACTGCAGATGTGATTGGAGGATGTGATGATTGGAGGATGTTTATGTCACAGATGAAAATCATGGCATACTTTTTGACAAGTAAAACAAAAGCAAACATAGTTATAAAGTACATACAAATGCCCTAAAAACAAAACAGACATAAAATACATATAAATGCATTTTTATGAATATATATATATAGTGCTGATGACAAAGTGTTGGTGTTTACAATAAATTCAATACATATACAGTACAGTATGTTCAGTTTTGGATTATCTCACTTGCCCTTTTTTCTATAAATCAGCTAGACACAGACAAATTTAGTTGAGAAATAATATGGATGACTAGTCTTCTCAAACAGGATATTCATTGCATTCCTCACAATAACATACTATTTGGAATTATGAAAGGAAAGATTACTTACCCCATTTCCTTTGCATTTTTGAGTGGCATTACAGTTATATCCCATTAAATGAGCTCCTCTGCAGGTTTTGTTGATACAATACTAAAATTGAACACACAATATGCCACAGTCATTCAGAAAGTCCATGTAAAATGAGAAAAACTGAACTACTTGTTACATCATCATGGGAGATGCACAAGTTGAGCATCTTACACTGTGATTCTGGTACAAGTATTCTGACATTCCAATATGAATTCTCAATTGAACCTATACCTTGGCATAGGTTGTTTAAATATAACATAATAATTGAAATATGGGTAGTTTCAGGGGAAAACACAAGCAATGAAAGGCCAAATCATAGCTCAACAAAATAAACAAGAGGAAACTGGTACTTGAAAAGGTTGGTATAGAGTCAAAGGGGGAGGGTATATGAATGAAGAGAGGGAAAGAGGCAGAGAATGCAGTCAAATGCTCAACACATATTCTACAAAATTTATGAAAAGTGAAGGAAGAGATGGATTAAGGGGTGGGTTAGAATGTTGGAAGGGGTGATGTTGACCAAGATGCATTGTATTCACAAATTGCTTTGTGAATAGTAACTGCTTTGTACAGTTAAAGATAATAAAGATGTTTTTTAAAAGCTCAGAGAATGAAATATAGATGAATATTAAATATCAGCATAAAGGCTGATCAAATAATTCCCTATATGATGTCAGCACATGCAAATGAAAGCTAGCTTCTTGTAATTATTTCTTCAAAATTAAAATACAGCCTTCCTTTGCTTCTTATACTCAATATATTAGATATAGCCTTGCAGTTACCCAAGTAAAGGAAAGAAAAGACACATTGTAAAGGAAGAGGTAAAGCCATCCGTGCATGATATAATGCACATATTCTCATCTACAGAAATGGCTACAGTGGACACCTAAATCAATATAATTTTGTCAACAGAGGAATAAAAAAGCATTTGGCAAAGTAAAACATACTTTCATGAAAAGACTCTAAGCAAATTAGATGTAGAACGATTGTTCCCTGCTGTAATGACCATCATATACATTAGCCCACAGTTACATTATATTCAATAATGAAAAGTTGAAACTTTCCTCTAAGATCAGAAATAAGACAAAAATGTATATCACTATAGCAGGATTTTACATAGTGCTGAAAGTTATTAGAAAACAGAAGTAAAAGGTATCCAAACTGGAAACAAAGAAACTGTATTATCTATGTTTGTATGTAACAAAATCTTATATATAGAACATGCTAAGGAATTTGGGCCGAGAGGGGTGGCTATTAGAACTGATAGACAAATTCAGTAACATTGCAGGATATAACACCACAACAAAAATCAGTAGCAAGTCTTCACATTACCAACAAACTATTCCAGTTCTGTACATTATCAACAAACTGTGCCAGGTGTGGCACAGAAGTGTCGGGCTAGTCCATTCACAGCAATTCTGCTCAGAGCCAAGCAGAACTCTACAATGTCTGAGCAGAGAGGTTTTTAGGGAGCGATTATCTTCTGTAAGTATTCTTTTGAGTCATTTTGAATAACACACCAGCTACAGATAGACAAACTTGGGCTTATGTCAACTTCTAGCACTGAAATAGTAAAACTACCAATAACAGCTCTGTGGCAAACCTAGACTTGGATGCCATGCAGCCATAAAGGACTGGAAGTGACTATAGGCTGAGGGAAAATAAGCAGACTGCTTAGAACTGAAAAAACAGACAAAGAAGAAGCCAGATCAGGGACATTAACAAGAGAACAATAGGAATGCAAAAGGCCTAGATTTCATACAGAGCCCAAAAATTTACATGTAGGAGAAAAGTAGACACTTGCTCACAACAGTGATTTTCATCTACAAAAATCCGCTCGAGTGTTTCAAATCCTTAAGTGTGAAGCTTGAAGCTGTAAAACTACTAGAAGAAAATGCAGGGGAAAAGCTCTATGGGATTGGTTTGGCAATGATCTTTTGGATACGAATTCAAAACTACAGGCAACAAAAGCAAAAGGTGACAAATGAGATCATTAAACTAAAAGCTTCTTCACAGCCAGGGATATAATCAACAGAATTAGGAGACAACCCATTGAATGTAAGAAAATATTTGCATACCATATATCTGATAGAAGTTAATGTGAAAAATATTATAAACGCTTTAAACAAATCAATAAAAAGAAAACAACCTAATTTAAAGCAAAGTATATTAATAGATTGATAATTGTCAACAGAATCACTAATTATCACTAGATAAACATGAATGCTCAAATCACCACTCATCAGATAATGCAGATAAAAACCACAATAAGATATCACCTGATGCCTAGAATACTTTCTTTTCCTTTCATGCATTTTTGTTGTTATTGTATAGGTGATGTGCAGAGGGGTCACAGTTACATAAGTGAGTATATTTCTTTTTTTAACAATGTCACCCTTCCCCTGCTCTCTTCCGGTTTGTCCTCCCTTTCCCACCCACAAGTTGTATAGTTCATTTTCTAACAGTGTCTAATGAGTACCACTGGCTGCATTTGTTCATCCTTTGTCCCACCATCTGTGTTCCCTCTTGTCCTCCCAAGACAGCTAAATGAACAAATAAGACAAAAACAGCCACAAAGAGTTGTGTGTGTGTGTGTGTTTAAAGGAAATGAAACATTTATACACTATTGATAGGAATGTAAAGTGGTATATCCACTATAGAAAATTGCCACTAAAGCCACTCTTCCTTGTATAAGCCAGTCCATTCATGATAAAATGTTTTCCAACTCCTCACCAGCATTTGGTATTACCACTGATTTTTTTCTTGTGTACTACGGGATCTATTTCCAAAGAAACAGTAATCAGGATCCCAAAGAGATCTCTGCACCTCTATTCACTGATAAATTTTTCCCAGTAGCCAAGGCATAAATTCAATCAATATGTCCAATGGATGAAGAAAATGTAATATATATATATATATATATATATATATATGATGTCATAATATTTAACCTTAAAAAATAAGGGATTCCTGCCACTTATAAGAACATGAATGGAAGCCGGGCACTGGTAGCTCATGCCTGTAATCCTAGCTACTCAGGAGGCTGAGATCTGAGGATCACAGTTCAAAGCCTGCCCATGCAGGAAAGTCAGTGAAACTCATATCTCCAATAAACCACCAGAAAACTGGAAGTGTCTCTGTAGCTCAAGTGGTAGAGCGCTAGCCTTGAGCTGAAGAGCTGAGGGACAGTGCCCAGGCCCAGAGTTCAAGCACCATGACTGACAAAAAAAAAAAAAAAAGAACATGATTGAACCTATGAACCTGTAGGACATTATTTTAAATGAACAAGGAAGGCACAAAGGCAATTAGTATACATCATTTATATGATAAATCTTAATCAGTCAAACTAAAGAAAGCAGAAAGGTGGTTGTCAGGAGCTTGGGAAAACAGTGAAATATTAATCACATTGTACAAGTTTTAGTTATATAGGATAAATAATTACTGACCTTCTGCCCATAAATTGCTTATATGGTTACCAACATTGTCTTATAAATTTGAATAACATGTAAGACTAGGGATTGTATGCTGTGGGAATTATAATAGGTAAATAAAATGTTGAGGATATACTTGTAGATTATGTCATAGCATAGAGTTCAGTGACTGTTTCATAGATGTACAACATTTCCAAACATGGGCTGGGAAGATGGTTCAGTGGTAGAGCGCTTGCCTTTCTTGCATGAGGCCCTGGGTTCGATTCCCCAGCACCACATAAGCAAAAAGAAAAGAAGCCGGAAGTGGTGCTGTGGCTCAAGTGTTAGGGCACTAGCCTTGAGCTGAAGAGCTGAGGGACAGCGCCCAGGCCCAGAGTTCAGGCCCCACGACTGGACCCAAAAAAAAAATAATATTTCCAAACATATCATGTTATGTACATAACTGTACACAGCTTTTTATATGTAAAAAGTTTCAAAACAGAACAATAAAATTAAATGTTAAAATAAGGCAATCCTACCAGGATATTGGCAAAAGATATAAATAGACTCATTGATAATAAATAATCAAAGGAGATAGTGAATACAATTACCTTTAGAAAATGCAAATTAGACTGGTACAAGTAGTTATACCTGTAAGCCTAGCTACTCAGGAGGCTGAGAGGTAAGGATCACCATTTAAAGCCAGCTTGGGCAGGAAAGTCCATGAGCCTCTTATCTCCAATTAACTACCATAAAGCTGGGAGTGGAGCTATGGCTCCAGTGGTAGAGTGCTAACCTTGAGCAAAAAGCTCAGAGACAGCGCCCAGGTTCTGAATTCTAGCCCCAGGACCAGCATCAAAAACTAAAAATAAAATAAAAAAGAAAGAACAATACAAATTAAAGTCATAATTATCAATCAACACACACACATGGAAATGGCTAAAATACTAAATGCTGGTGAGGATGTATTTTTTTTTCATGTTAGGATGGAGAGCAGGTTAATCCAGAAAGCAATGCTACTTTAGTTACCCTTTCAATGTTGTATGGGAAATAAATACAAGCATCAGGTTGAGATTGTGGTAGACATCTTGGGATATGGTATTTACTAATTAACATAACTGAATACAGCTAAATATGCTTGTTACCATTTGAGGTCCACACACAGTGCCATCAGCCACAAAGGCATTGTCTTTTCCATCTGGTCTCACAGATGACCCGGGAGTTAGAGACAAACACACATGATCGTGAATGTAAGAGTAAATGGCAGATCGGGCGGCACTTTTATGAATATGTTTATGCAGCCAGGTACAGGCTAATTTTCCACAGAGGATGTCCCTGGAAATGAAAAGCAGAAAATGCCTCATCAATTTACTTTTAAGGAATTCCAGCTTCCAATTAAATACTGCATAGATGTGAATAAAATATGAATTGATGGCATAAAACCAGAAAGAAAGCCGGGCGCTGGGGGCTCACACATGTAATCCTAGCTACTCAGGAGGCTGAGATCTGAGGATCATGGTTCAAAGCCAGCCCAGGCAGGAAAGTCCGTGAAACTCTTATTTCCAATAAAACATCAGAAAACCAGAAGTGGCACTGTAGCTCAAGTGGTAGAGCACTACTAGCCTTGAGTTGGGGAGTTGAGGGACAACGCTCAGGCCCAGAGTTCAAACCCCATGACCAACCAAAAAAAAAAAAAAAAAACAGAAAAAAATACTAAGGCAAAGCATTATTCTATGATATTATGGGATATGATTCAATGGACTAATTACCATTCTTAGGAACAACTAAACACAACTGGATTAATTACCACTGCAGCAGTATTGAAATGTATATACTGAACTCCAATGAGCACATCTGACTTCATTTTCTATTACAGAGCTCAGCTTTATTCTCTAGTATCATTACTTTGAGAGCAATCATCTCTTTTGCCTAATTGCTTGGAAGATCTTACTACTCACACCTATTATGCTAAAATGGCCAAAGGGTTGACTTTTTATCTACACACTGCTGAGAGTGACTAGTTAGCTATTGGGTAATCTTTCTGCTTCTTTTGATTATGTGTGTTTCCTTTGAATATGTGCATAGACTTTATTAAAAACTCTAGATCATATGTTTTCTACAGTACATGGAAATTGTAGTTATAAACTCCTTTCAACATAGTCTGTCAGTACATTTAAACTTGTCACATAAATTTAGAAACTATTCATTTGTATTTCTTTTCTTTTTTTTCCAGGTATCTTGCACTGTCTTGGTTTGCTTCTGCATAGCTTGTTTTCTACCACTTTAGCCATGCCTTCAGTCTTGTTTTTTGCTGGTTATTTTAAAGATAATGTCTTTCCAACTTTTCTCAAACCACAGTCCTCCAGAACTCATTCTCCCAAGTAACTAAGATTACAGTCATACACCACCAGCAATCAGCTAATTCTTTTACATTTAATAACCCTAAGCAAATCCAGAAAGCACTTATTACAAGGTAGGCCTTTTGTTGGATTCATGAGTTAGTTATTTGTGTGGCAGATAGCAGTCCAAACTAAATTACTGATGAGTATTTATAAATTTCGTATATCAACTATTGAAACAGACAACAAAATAATATGTCTTAAAAGTCAAAACACTTGACAGGCGCTGGTGGCTCATGCCTGTAATCCTAGCTACTCAGGAGGCTGAGATCTAGGATTGCGTTTCAAAGCCAGCCCAGGCAGGAAAGTCCGTGAAACTCTTATCTCCAATACACCACCAGAAAACCAAAAGTGGTGCTGTGGCTCAAGTGGTAGAGTGCTTGCCTTGAGCTGAAGAGCTGAAGTACAGCGCCCAGGCCCAGAGTTCAAGCCCCACAACCGACACAAAAAAGGGGGGGAAAAAGGTAAAATACTTGCTTTTAGAATTATTGCCATTGATAGACTTAATTCAAAATTCTACTTAAAATTCTTTGTATAGAACTTGAGCCTCTACTCCCCTTACTCCCCCCACTTCCCCAGCCACTGTCTGCAGTTTGTGTGTATTACCTGAAAAGTGTCAGTCTCATTCACAGGATGGTGTCAAGGAAAGCAAAAATGAAACTGAGATGGCACTGGTGGCTCACGCTAGTAATCCAAGTTACTCAGGGAGCTGAGTTTTGGAGGACTGTAATTCAAGGTCAGCCCAGGCAGAAAAGGTCACTAGGCCCCATTGGAGGTATGGCTCAAGTGTAGCCAGCTTACAACTTAAGGCCTTGAGTTCAAGCCCCAGTACTGGAGGGAGGGAGGGAGGGAGGGGAGAGAGAGAGAGAATGAGAGAGAGAGAGAGAGAGAGAGAGAGAGAAAGAGACACCTCTACATTGCAGAGAAGACAAAGATAATGACATGAAAATATTTTCTTATCAATTTACTGTCCATTAAAATTATCTCTTGACAAGAAAATATATTTTTATGATTCAAATAAACAATCATTTTCTATATACGTACTTTGGATTACAAGGTAATGGTTGTGAATTTTTAAAACCACAGTTCCCAAATCTCGCATGTGGAGAATTAACTTCTTTAAAACAGTCATAGGGAGCCCCTTGAGCACCTTAAAAATGCAAACATGTGCTTGAGTTATCACCTTTCATCGAAATTAAACATCAACAAACTAATGAAACTTTTATTTCTAAATAATCATGCTTCTTTTGATTACACTTCAGTTTCCATGTGCATTACATATAACAAAAGGCAGTAATTACAGCTAACACAAAACAATTGCAGAAAATTATATAGCAATTTGCTGTCCTTACCTGTGGGAGCAACTACTTCCTAGTCCAATGAGTGTTGAGCTTGCTTTGTAACCTGCTCTCTTAATGAGAAATTACACATTGGTAGAAATATCTGCAGCCAGTGCATAATTTCCTATAATGGCATTGTTCGTTTGTTTTTTTTCCTCTGCTGTGGAATCCGCAGTATTTTAACAGAATCTCATGGGATGTTGAATAGCTAGATGAGCTGTGTAAATCTTGGGAGATTTAGGAGTTATTCCTATTTTATTAGATGCTAGGATGGAAACCTAGAAGTGGAATCTAGGATGGAAATCTCAAGGAAACATTTGGGGAAATGGTTATGTCAATCTTACAGACAACAGTCCTGATGGATAGGTTTTCCTAGGCAAAGAGGTCAGACAGCAGAATCTGTCCCGGTTACTGTGGGCTACACTAGTCAAGGAAGAGATAAGCTAAATTCAGAAGAGAATCTACTATTTCAAAGCAGGAAACAAAGGAAACACAGTAAGCAATCCTAGCTACTCCAGAGGCAGAGATTGGAAATCATACAGTTCAAGACCTACCTAGGCAAAAAGTTCCACAGACCTCAAGTCAATCAATAAAGTGCTGGGCATAGTGGTACCTGTCTGCCACCACAGCTATTTGATGTGAAAGATTAAAGAGAGAGTAAAAGAAAAGGAGAGGGAGGGAGGGGGAAAGAGAAAGAAAGAGAGAGAGAGAGAGATTTAAAAATAAGAAAAGTTACTCAGGAGGCTGACATCTGAGGATCATGATTTGAAGTCAGAACAGGCAGCAAAGTCCATGAGACTCTTATCTCAAATTAACCACTTCAAAAAGCCAGAAGTGGAGCTGTGACTCAAATGGTAGCACATTAGTTTTGAGCAAAAAGCCCAGGACAATGCGTAAGTCCTGAGTTCAAAGCTCCATACTGGCACAAAAAAAGGAAGAAGAAAGCAAGAAGGGTCAGGAAATGACTCAGAAGTAGTATGCCTGCCTAGCAAATGCAAAGCCCTCAGTTCAAATCCCAGTACCATCAAAAATCTCTACAGATTTGATGGGCAAACGCACCTTATGGGAAATGCGCTCATCTTACTCTCAGTCCAACCACTATAGATGAGACGGGTGGAAGGCTAGTATCTCTGGAAGTGATGGGGAGAAGGCTAGAGAAATGAAACTGAGAAGACAGTTCAAAAAATAGTCACGGACAACACATTTCTAGCTGTGCAGTATAAACAGCGGTATATGCTTGGGCTCAAACAACCAGGCCAATTACTTACTGTATATGTGCTGCCCTAAGAAGGATGGGCCTTTGGAAAAGATGTCTTCTTGAAGTTGAAGCAAGTTCGGAAGGAGCTCATGGCTAGAGACATCTGACCACAGCTGGCACTACAACTTGCCCAAAACATTGCTTTATTTTACATGTTCATTATTTAAATGTACTTCGCATAACCAGTGGCTTTATATTTCCTTTATGCTTTCATCTCTTCATCATAGACACGTTTCAAATAATTCAAAAGACGACATGAATCACAGTATATATATATATCATTTGGTACAAACTAGACTCCTGAGGACATCGTTGCTTATTTAACTGGAACTGGGTGTTTTTGATCTTTATTCCATCTGGAAAACTTCAATTTTTCTTTGAATATAGTTAACTGTATAATTTTGCTGTATTCAAATTATTTTGATTTCTCTAATCTGTAGTATACTGAGAAAGCAGGAGTCATAGTTGCATTATTCCAAAAATACAAATATAAACCATGTGACCTATGAGTACAGTTATCCTACCAGTTGTTCATCAGTGAAGAAATCTGACTACCGTGATGAAATTCATTCTGTGTTTTGAAAGTTTCACATTATTATGATTAGATCTTTGAATGTTAGGAGTAAGAGGGGTAATTAAGTAAAATTATGGACTGAATGGATTCACTTTTAAAATGGTTTAGATGTATTGCGATCTACAAACGACAAATTTTCTCCCCAGGTAGTTAAATACCCAAACCAAAACTTACACCATGAAAAAAGGAACATACAGCAAACACGACCTGTGAAAAATCTCAAGTATACCTATAAGCACCTACCTATACCTTATATATTTCAAGTCTGACCTTTAATAAGGTTCCAACCAGATTCATCAACTTCTAGTGTTGTACAATGCTTAATATCAACAACACAGGGATTCAAATTTAAGGTAAAGGAAACTGAAAAGAAAGAGCAATACCTTTACCAAATAATGAGGCGCACTGGTAGTCAGTGGTTTGGCATTGTCCATTATAACAATATGCAGACCCCATCCTGCACAAATGTCCATTCAATGCATACGTGTCAGGAACACAGTGACTAGAAGTTCCATTGCAATACTCCGTGAAGTCACACTCCTGGTCAAGGCTCTTTCTACAGGGAGTGCCTGCTACTGAGAACTAGAAGAAAAAGAAAAGGAAAATCATGTTCTGTGAATGAGTCTTCTTACTGAAGAGACTCATCCAATAAAAATAATCTGGCCATTTACATGGAAGGGAATAGCATAGCTCCCAAGACTGAAAACTCACCTAAGGAGAAGTCAGATACAGTATCAATTGTAAAGCCCAAAGAGTGCCTGTCTTAAAGTAATAAGCCCTTCTGATAGCAGATCTGCACCTTCCTACCTGCTCTTTGCTCTACAATGTTAGAACTGTAACTTGCCCAGCATTTGGAGGGAGACCAAACAGATTGCCCAAAACATTTTTGTTCCTTGAAAGTGAAGGATCTCTGTGTTCAGAGAGACCCGGAAAGCAGTCTACCTGGTAGCAGCCCCTGGCTTTTGACTCTTGCTGGTTTCTTTATGTGAGGGAGTCACACAACACACATGTTCACTTTTGTAACTTGTAATGATAAGCACATTCTCATAGAGTCCTTAGTAGTATTAAATTGATTTAATGAAAAACTGCTTAGAATAATATTTGGAAACAATGTATGTTATACTTAATATGACCACCACGAATACATTATCTGAGAGCATAACTGTCTCTTTCTGCATAGTTCCTATAAAGAGAATTAATATATAAATGCCTGTCTGACTACAAATGTGTAGATTGAAATATGGTAGATTAAGGGGACAACTCAAAGAGTATAATTCCTTAGAAAGACTAACTCACAGTCCAACAAAATAAGCACCAGGAAATGGGTCCTTAAAAGGGGAGTGGATATCTGCAAAGGAAAATAAATCTGGAAATGGAATAGATGGTACTAATTATAAAATTATTGTTTTCTTATTTCACTTGTTCTAAAAGACCTGCTCACAATTCAGGAAGTATCATACTGTAAGCCAGCGCTCCCTGATTAATCAAAGATTGGCAAACTCCTGGGGAAAATAATAAAATTATTTTCAAAGATATAAGGAGCAAACCAATAGAGAATATAAAGGTAAGCCATATTTTGCATACTTGCAGTTTTTATTTAATTTGCAAAGCAATTTTAAGTCTTATAGTAGGAGTTGGGAATTCAAAGTAGTATATTTGTTTTGGAAAACAGTTTTTCAATTTCCCATGAATTTCCATATTCACTTACTCTATGAACTTGCAGACTCATTCTGAAGGATTGAAATAAGAAAAATGAAACAGTATGCTCATGCATAATTTGCCCACGTGTATTATTATTGTTTATTGTTATTATTATTATTATTTTCTTTATTTTATTTGTCTGCTTGAGTTTTGGGCCTGGGAACTGTCCCAGAGCTCTTCAGCTCAAGGCTAGCACTCTACCACTTTGAGCCCCAGCACCACTTCCAGTTTTCTGATAGTTAATTGGAGATAAGAGTCTCATGGACTTCCCTGCCCAAGCTGGCTTTGAACCATGATCCTCCCATCTCAGCCTCCTGAGTAGCTAGGATTACAGGCATGAGCCACCAACGCCCAGCTACCAACGTATATTATTTATAGTAGGAACATTTTATTCACCCCAAATCAAAAGTGGTCCAGATGTTGCTCTACTAGGGAGTGAGCTGACAGACTATGGCATATTATTGTAGTACTAACAGGATGGCTCAGCAACTCAAAGGGTAAAACACTATTGCCTAAACATTTAAATGTGTTTTGTTAAGATGTCTAATCCACATGCTTACAAATATGATTGGGATTTATTACATATTTTTGTAAAGCTGAATTAATTATAGAGGCCCAAACAGACTGCCAGGTGCAGGAGTAAGCGTGGAGGCTGCCTGACTACAGGAGGAGGGGACGGAGAGGAATCCCCTGCCTACACTGGGATGCTGGTTATGCTTAGGAAGTGGATGCTTCGCCTCTACTACTTGAGCCATTCTGCCATCCCCTTTTGCCTCAGTTATTTTCAAGATAGAATCTCACTGTTTATGTCCAGGGCAGCCTCGGCTGTAATCCTCCTATCTGTGTTTCCCTATGTCCCTAGTATGCCATTGTGCCCAGATATTGTGTTTCCCCCATGGCTGGGGATAACAGGCTCATGCCATTATGACAACTGATTGAGATGGGGTCTTGTAATTTTTAGCCTGCCTTGTTCTATTGATCTCTGAATCTCAGCCTCTCAGGGAGCTAGGATTATAGTATTGAACCATTACAATTTCTTATCCAAGAATATTTTATTGGAGATAATGTTATATTGGTACATATATTTTTATCCACATTTTCTAACTTTTGAACAATAGACAATAATTTAGGTAACTGTTCATTAGCTGTAACTATCATTTGCTTCCAGTGTGTAGATGTCTGTGTGTGAGAGAGAGAGATTTGCCTTTTACTTGACAAGTGAGAGATCTTTACATAATCTCATTCATGTTACAACTAGTCACTTCATTTTTTAACTACATGATTTTATGAATGTCAAGAGTGTTGATAATTTAGAAAGTGGTAAGCTTGCTGGTTTCAACATCACTGCCAATCTAAACTGCCCTTCTAATTTCTGAGTCATTTTCTTTATACTCTTGTTTTATGCATGGATATCCGTTTTCAGTTCCACGTTAACTCTGTGAATGTAACCTTCCACTAGAACTCAGTTTCCCTTTCACCACTGCCGGTCACTCACCTCACACTTCAAGGTACAGCACGCTCCAGACCCACACTTTGCTGAGCTTTTCAGTTTACATGTTTGATAATCACAGCACTTTTTAAATTGACATTCCTAAAATTTTAAAAGAAATATTACCCCAGTCCTGTTTAAGAACTCTTGTTTCTTAATCTCAACATCAATTTAATACATTACACTCGAGTTATATATATATACATGTATATAATTATGTAAAAGGAAGGTTTATATTTCTAGAATATCCAAATACATAACTAACTAAAGGTAAAGATCTAGGATCTAAATTAGCAGTATCTAATAGCATTTCTGTTTGCTTGTTTGTTTGGTTGCAGGGCATTAGGGGTGGAACCCGGGGCCTTGCACATGCTGGACACTCTATCACCGAGCCAGTTCCCCAGGGATCAGTAACATTTGTTAATTAACTCATAAATTCAGTGTGGAATTGAACCTGTGGGAGGGAGAAAGGTGGGTTTCTAGGAGGAACATAAACATCACTCAATTGTCTTATCAATGATTTGTTTGCTAACATTCCTCTTAGTTTAAAAAGTATAATTAGTTTAAATTCATTTTTAAAGATGGATTAAAGACTATTACTGTGCTTTAAAATACTCCTTGAATTGGAATACTGAACATTGATCCCACTTCATTCACACAGTATTTGTCATTTTAAACATTTATTTAGAAAGATTGAAAAGTATAACTTAAATACATTTCACATGACCAAGCATAAAGGTTCATGCCTATAATCCTTGCTACTCAGGAGGTTGAGGTCTGTGTACTGTGGTCACAAGCTAGCCTGGGCAGGGAAGTCGATGAGTCTCTTATCTCTAAATAATCATCAAGAAATAAAAGCCAAAAGTGGAACTGTGGCTCAAGTAGCAGAATGCCAGTCTTGAGTAAAAGAACCAAGGTATAGTGCCCAGACCCTGAGTTCAAGCCCCAATACTTGCACACACAAATACTTGTCACATGTATTTGTGTACCTTTTACCCCTTTAATAGTGTTAGTAGTAGTTCAAGCCCCAATACTTGCACACACAATGTATTTGTGTACCTTTTTCCCCCTTTAATAGAGTTAGTAGTGGCTACTCAATTTATTTTTGTAAAGTACAGACATTTGTTTACAAAACAATCAGATACAGAATATGTGCTAACAGATAGTGCTTGGGGGCCTCTGATGTCCTACCTGTCAGCATAGATTTTGTATATAGTATTTAATTTCTTTTGACTTATTCATCCAGAAAATATTAGTCTTTCTTCATGTCTATCTTGATGGTTTCAGATGTTTCCATTTGGTCCTCCCTTTCCTATTCCTCTTATTGCACAGGACAGGGGAGCATTGTCCACATTGGAAAGTCCACAGATTGCTGAAACCTTCTTCCATGGACTAGACTGATCACTCTAAGTGTCTCTCTAATGTTGCTAGAATCATCAGATTCCAGAATAAAGAGGCTAAGAGGCCATAGGTAGCCCTTTAGTCAAGTGGATGTAGTTAGCATAATGAGAAATGAGGCAATGTAACTTGCATGCATTTATATTTTTGGTTAAGAGCTCTGAGTACTTGATGATAGTTTGATGTAGTCAACTAAAAAGTATATCTAAGGACATCCACCTGTGTCACTAAAGGACTGCAGAACTGATCACAGGTTAGGACAATAAATCCATGTGACCTAAGATATATTTTTGCAAGAATTCTAGTACTCACCTGGACTTTCTGCATTGTGAGTTAAACCTGTTGGTTTTGGAGTCCAGCTGAGGTATGTATTGGGAGAAAGAGTTTGTGCCCAATGTTCTTGCAAAAACTTGGGTTTGCTCTGTTCCCAAAAGGAAACGATTCTCATAAAAAGGTATAGACCACTTTAGGAGAATGCTTGAAGCAACAGTTATTCTTTATCTTTGTGGGGATGTTGTAAGAGCTCATCTTCTATTTTAACTAGTTGCTATGACTCTGAGAATAGGCTGATATTTGAAAATTTGGCAATAAATTGTAGTATCCATCTGCAGCAGCCAGCACTGGTTCACATTCTTTCCTTCACTAACGTTCAGTTATATTGCAGGAGTCATGAAAAACAAATCTGCATCACACATTTGTCTTCCCAATTCAAAAGGCAAGGAAGTATATTCATTTATTTTAATTATCCTCATTTGCATACGCCAATTATAAATTGAAGATGCAGTTGCACATATTATCTCACATATTACCATTACAATCATGTTATATGTCTTTAGAATTGTAAAATTTTCTCTCAGACATCAATATTTATTACTTACCCTTTCCATACCACAATCACATTCTTCATCAGGTTCCAAAATTCCATTTCCACAAATGGGCTGATTTTGATCTAATGGTTGTAAATTTGAAATGTTATGAAGACATTTAGTCTCAATTTTTGAAATGATGTGAGCATACTTATGAATGCTACAGTTGCTAAAAATCTTTATGCCACTGGAACTCCTGGAATAAAATAATATTCTTCAGATAATATATCTTTTTGTGTGTTTGCCAGTATCTGGGCTTGCATTTAGGTCCTTGAGCTTTTGCTTGGCTTCTTTGCTTAAGGCTAGAGTTCTAGCTCTTGAATCACACTTCCCCTTCTAGATTTTGCTTATTAATTGGAGAACATCACGGATTTGTCTGCCCAGGATGGCACTGACGCTTGGTCCTTAGATCGTAGCCCCCTGCATAGCTAGAATTAGATATGTAAGCCACCAATGGCCAACCAAATAAATTCATCTAGCTACTAACACCACATATAATTGATATTCCACACATGATTGTATAAATCACAAGATGGCTCAAAGTTTGAAAACAAGCCTGTACTTTAGCAAAGACTGTTAGCTATAAATATTTCTCAATTTTAATGTTTAACATTTTTCAAAAGAAACATTTCTTACAAGCTGTTATGACTTGAATATGACATAAGAAATTCATGGTAGAGTTCTATACTTATTGTGATATATTAAGCATATAGGATCCTAATCTAACTAGATTCACTTCCTAAATGGAAGTGATAAAGATTAGACAAAGTCACTAAGTGCTTTCCACACATGACTGGATACTTGTGGCTCTATTAAAAAAGATCACAGGACACACATACCATGTCATCATTCATGTGCTAACCTATAATGCCTCAGACTCTGTTAGGAGGAAGGCCACCTGGGAATGTGGTCCTTCAATCTTGGATCAGAAAATTTAACCAACCTGTGGTATGGTATTATTATTTCCAACAGAAAATGCAGTAAAACACAAAGTTAATATGAATGGACAAAGGCATCACTTAACAATGGTGACATGTTCTAAGAAGTGCATCCTTAGGTGAATCTGTCATTGTGCAAGCATCATAATGTGCATTTATATAAACTACAGTGGCTATAACATACCTAGACTGTAGAATCTTATAGGATCACTCTAGGGGATGTGGTCTGTTGTTGATGACACACACACACACACACACACACACACACACACACACCTGATCCTGAAGTATGCTTTGTTATTGGTGGTGGTGGTAGTCATGGGGCTTGAACTCTGGGCTCAGGTACTGTCCCTGAGCTCTTCAACTCAAAGCTAGCACTCTACCACTTGAGCCACACCACCACTTCCGATTTTCTGGTGGTTAATTAGATATAAGAGTCTCACAGACTTTCCTGCCCAGGCTGGCTTTAAACCTTGATTGTCAGATCTCAGCCTCCTGAGTAGCTAGGATTACAGGCATGAGCACCCAGCCTAATGACTCTCTTTTTGGGGCCTAATGATTCTCTTTTTGGAGAAGATTGCCACGCTGGCCAGAAAGACAAGTGAAATAAGGTAAGCTAAGACAGTTGTCTCAAAAACTATTCTCATCCAAGGTTCTAAGTCTGGGGAAGGAGAAAGCAGGTTCTACTACACATCCCTCTTTCTGAATCCTATGGAAATTAGCTGATTAAAACTCAAGCAGGAGTTGAATAAACCTAAAAGAATAAACCTGATAAACCTCATATCAACACTGGCTAATGAAAAATACTCAAGAATCCCTTCAACATTCCTAAACTATATTTTGTCTCTAAGACAACTATTTCACACCTCCCCAAAATCTTATATTCCTTGCTCTCCACTTCTTGTCTTCACACCTCTGCCAGTTAGACTGCAACACTCTCTACAGGTACCCTCCCAATCTCTCATCATGATTGTTAAACATGCTCAACCCTAACTAAAGCTATGCCCTACAGATAGGCATTAGGGATCCAATCCTCTGTGATTTTACTACAGTCTGTAATTTTAATTCTAAGTCTTTTATTCAACATCATCTTTCCTCTCATCTCTTCATTGCTATTCATCTACACATAGAATGTAGTGTCTCCTGTCTATAAAGTATCTCCTCTGACCATACTGCTCACAAGCATGTCTGCATTAACCACCTCTACTTCCTCGCCTTGCCTACAGAACTTATTGAACATCTTTAAAGATTATGTAAGATAATGACATGAAGCTGGGCACTGGTGCTTCAAACCTCCTAGCTACTCTGGAGGCTGAAATCCAAGGATTGTGATTCAAACCAGCCCAGGCACGAAAGTCCATGAGACTCTTATCTCCAATTAACCACCAGAAAAATGGAAGTGGAGCTGTGGCTCAAAGTGGTAGAGACTAGCCTTGAAAAATAAGCTCAGGGAGAGTGCCCAGGCCCTGAGTTCAAGCCCCATGACCAACAAGGACAACAACAAAAATTAGTGTCTTAGGTTGTGTGGACTTATGAAACTTTACTGAAAAAAATTATAACTGCTAAGTCATCTAATTTGCATACTCCTGGAATAAACATGCCATTGATTTTTTCTAGACCGATTCATCCTAATGAACTTTTCATGATATTATTGTCCTAATGCATATTGATTGTTTTTCTAGGTGGAGAGTGAGCCTACTTGCAAATTAAGGAGATATTTTCTTCTTCAAATTCTTCCTGTTCATTTCCCTCACAATATCAATCAAAGCAGCAGTACTCTGTAACATTATTAAGGGGACATAAAGCATCTTTTACTTGAGAAATAAAGACTGTAACAAAAATAGCAGTAGTATCGTATTTCTAGAATATGTTCTAGTTCTCATTAACTTCAAGTGTATCTCTCATTCATTTGAATGAAATTTTCTTTTTTTCCTTTTTTTTAAAGCTTTATTCTAACGTATCTTCATGTTGTCTTTTCAGTGAATTCTTTTTCCACTTTTTTTTAATTTCTTAATCATAGGAAACAGTGCTTTCCAAACTATTAAATCACCTAGAATATATTCCTTGTGAAATATTTTCAAGTATAATATACCTTTCCAACATAAAAAATCAACATAAAAAATTTAAAGCCAGGTGCAGTGACTCATGCCTGTAGTCCTCGCTATTCAGTAGGTGGAAATCAGGAAAATGACAGTTCCAGGTCAGGCAAGCTAAAAGTTAGTGAGACCTCATCTAAACCATAAGAAGCTGGGCAAGGTGATACACACTTGTCATTTCAGCTACATAGATATTCTAAATAGGAGGATCATGGTCCAGGCTGTCACAAATATAAATGCAAAAGCTATTCAAGGAATAATTAAATTTTGAAATGCTAGGTATGTGACTTAAGTGGTAGCGGGCCTGTTTTGCAAGAGCAAGAATCTTACTTCAAAGCCCAGAACTATAAAAATTTTAAAAAAAAAACCTCAACAATTGAAAAGTTTATTACATCTAAGACACAATCTTATCAAAGAACATATGAAATTAATTATTGAAAGATCCTTACACAGCTCCCTGTTGCATTATGCATGAAGCTCTTGGACAAGAACAGTTATTGATGTCATCATATGTCAATCCCATGTTAAGGCCAAGCAGTTGAGTTATCACAACTGAAAATCCCTCCAAACTTATAGAGTCTGGATACTAAAATTAAAAAAGTGAAGAAAAAAGATATGTAAGAAGGAAAAGAAAGTAATAACATCAAACATTTTGATTCTATAAAATTTTACATTTTAATTTCCATGTTGAGCAACTTTATAATTCATTTACATATGCTATTGATATATAAATATATGCGAATTTTCAGATTGAGTCACATTAACCAGTATAAAAAGTAATCAAATTGTGACATTTTCTAGTTTAAAATTTAGCATATACATAGTTTTATGGTTTGGAACACATAATATTTCTGATGCAACCAAGTAAAACACTTTCACTTTAGTCAAATTAACAGATATTATTTCAATGTCTGTATGTGTCATGTGTTACATGTGATAGGAAAATGGCAGCAAGTATGAAGGAAATGGATTTTGCCCAAACCTGCCTTACAGAAAGGCGAAAAGGTAACACATGAATCCATAAGAAACTTCTTATGTACAAAACTGGGGCTGGGAGGGTAGCTCAGTGGTAGAGCGCTTGTCCTGCATGCATGAGGCCCTGGGTTTGATTTCTCAGCACCACATAAGCAGAAAAAGCCAGAAGTGGCACTGTGGCTCAAGTGGTAGAATGATAGACTTGAGCTAAAGAATGAGGGACAGCATCCAGACCCCAGAGTTCAAGCCCCAAGACCAGTAACAACAAAAAATTAAAAATTTATCATTAATTTTATGAGATAGTTAAACAATGAGTCTGGGAAATGGCCTAGCACTGAATAGGAAATTTGAGCAGGGGTTAACTTAACAGGTTGGGCCATACCGTTGTGGTAGAATAATCTTAAGTGGGAAGTTTTTTGGAAAATGATTGGTAGCAGTATAAAGCATTCTATATTTCAAACCATTTAACTCTGATAAATATCAAATACTAAGTTTTTTTAATCATTATAAGCAAATTTTCCAGACATCCCTGCTTTCTATGTTAGTTGAAATTTATAATAAAATTTAAGCAAAGCTTAAAGAAAAAATAAGTTTTAGGTATGTATAATTATGACTGAAAACATAGAACAGGTCTAGAAATATGGAAAAATAGTTGTTAGCTGTCCTTTGGAGGGGGCACTCCTGAAATAACTGAACTGGAAAACTCTGGTATCAGAGTATGAAAGAAGGTAAAACCCAGATGAGAATGTGAGCTAGGGGTAACATGCAGGAGCCAGAACCTGAACTTTATTATTATTATTATCCAGCTGACAATAATCCCCCACCATAAAATCATGCAGCAGAAGAGATTCCCTTAAAACAAACTAAAACCCCAGTTAAACTGAATTAGACAAGAAATAGAAAAAATAATTAACACAAGTACTGAACATGAAGACATCACTACAGGGCCTGTGACAACTGCTTGTGGTGATGCACACCTGTGAAATAGCACTCAGAGATACAGGTAAGGGTACTGAAAGTTCCAGGGTAGCCTGGGCTGCTTAATAAGGTCCAGGTTATTCTGGGGTACACAGCAAGACCCTGTCTCAAGAACAGGAAAAAAAAAACACAAAACCAAACAACAAAAAGCTACTATGAGGGTGTATGTGTGTGTAAAGAAAGAAAAATGAAGAAAATAAGCACATATATAGTAACAATATTATATTATGAATTATATAATATAATATAATGTATTATACAATATCATATAATGATGTATTATATATTATATTGTTATATAATATTATCATATTATACATATTATATATATGTATACATGTTATTTACAGAATACAGACATGTAGCATGGACTGTCCCTGACTTAACATGATCCACTTCAGGTAAGGAAGAAGTTTGGTCTTATTCATTCCCTTGTACATAATATAAAAGTCAGTTACTCAGCTAGGCATTGGCTGCTCTGCTTGTAATCCTGGCTTCCTAGAAGGCTGAGAGCTGAGGAGGTTGAGGTGAAGCCAGGCTACACAGGAAAGTCCATGAGATTCTTATCTCCAATTAACTTCTAAACACTGGAAGTGGAGCTGTGGCTCTAGTAATAGAGCTCTAGCCTTGAGCACAAAAGCTCAGGGACAGTACACAGGCCCTGAGTACAAGCCCTACTGCTGATCCAAAAAGAAAAAAAAATCAGCTACTCAATAATGCTAAAGAAAGCATGCTGGCAAAATTTCTGCAGAAGGAAAATTATTGCCGGTTTGCAACATTTAGTGTGGCTAAGGACAAATAGGATTGGAACAGCACGTGAATTCAGTGGAGTTTTATGGGAAATTTTCCTATCCCTGGCCTGTAAAAGAGAAATTATCGATATGAAGAAATGTTAGCTGCTGGACAGACAGGAGTACACAAAGGTGAAGACCCAGTGGGCTCTCTATGGTCTGCTAGAACATGACTCATTTCAGACCTGGTGTAGCCCTAACACTACTCAGCTAAAGGCCAAAGATCTGCCCTGGACAAAGAGCTCTCTGGCTCTCCACAACATAGAGTGGCTGCTTTGCAAATAAACAGGAACAGTTGAGATAAAACAAATTTGTGAAAATCAAAAGGCTGACATCAGTAAGATGCATGGTAAGGGCCCTCTTGTTCCCCAAGACAATCTCTAAACTATCAGGCAGAGATCATCTCCAGAGTGCAGCTAACAGGTTCTATAACCTCTTGGGGAAAAAAAAGGAAAATAATCATACAACAGCCACATTGGAAATGATAATAACAAGAGTGTCTCTTGATCTGCTTTATCCACCCTCAAGGTGAACAGCCTAGGAGAGGCTCCCTCTAAATGTGCCGTCTCCTGAGAGAAAAAAAGCAGATGTAGCACTCAACTTCCCCGGCCCTCCTGGAAGGCCCATCTCTGTGCTGTCTGCCCCACAATACTGAGGGAGTAGGAAGAAGGAGTAGGTGGTCCTCAACGTGGTGTATCTCTGAAGGGTGAGTGAGAGAAGGCAGGAGAAGAGAGGAGTAGATGCGGCTGTAAGAAGAAGTAGGGTTATCTCCAGAATATCAAAGCTGACTAGTAAAGTTTTAGTTTGATGGTTTGTTCTTGCTGTTTTGATTACACTTTACTTCTTGTGTTCGAAATTGATAACTAAACTCTTTTAAATGATACTAATTTTATTGCAACAAAATGAATGAATAAACTATTGAACTACTACTATATTAGTACTTACAAAAGACATTGTAAGGTTTTATGAAGTCGTAATAGAAAGAAGAATGAAAATCACATACCAAAGCAATACCTGCATCATAATGTTTGGTGCATATCTTGCCAGGAAATGTTGCTCCCATGTGTTTAGGGTGTTCCCTGTAACTGCATTATTTGAGCAGGGCAAATTAAAAACATATCATAAATCAAATGTTATTCTAATAAAACTTGTAAATGTACTAAGTCCTTGTCTGAATAATATCCAACATAGTATAGAAAATTGTTCATTAATCAAAATTGTAATTCATTGTAACACCTACTTTCTTTCCTCACCAGATTTGATAGGATTTTATTATTTCACATTGAATGTAGTTTTCCTTATTGTACATTCACTGTTTTGTCCACACAAGTTAAAAAGAAATGAGTTTATACTGGACACTCTGTTGGAAATGAACTTTACAACTTGGTCAGGAGGGGAATGGGGAGAGGAAAGGGAGAGAAAATGAGGGAGGGGGGTAACAATGTTCAGAAAGAAATGTACTTATTACTGAGCTTATGTAACTGTAATCCCCTGTTCATTACCTTTACAATATATATTTTTATAAAGAAATGAGTTTAGAATTTGTAGAAGGGATCTTAGTTGGCCTAAAGATAAGTGTTTATTTTAAATTAAATTATTATCCAAACAAAACAAAATAAATTCCTCTAAGTTAAAAAATGAACATGAAAGACATTAGCATCATTGGTAATGTTAAATAAATACTATCTACCTTTACATTATCATTAAGCTTAGAGTCCTCTGTATTCTTTAGTGAAGTTAAGAGCATAAAAAGAAGCTGGGCACTGGTGGCTCATGCCTAGTCCTAGCTACTAAGGTGGCTGAAATCTGAGGAGCATGGTTCAGAGCCAGCATGGGGATGAAAGTCTGTGAGACTCTTATCCCCTTAACCAAGAGCTGGAAGTGAAGCTGTGGCTCAAGTGGCTCAAGCACTGGCCTTGAGCAAAAAAGCTAGGGAAGTGCCTAGACCTTAAGTTCAAAGCCCCAGGACCAGCACAAAAGAAAGTGATGAAATATAGATTTTACATAAATTATACTTTAAAATATACTGGTATAGACTTAATTGTTCTATTTTTATTTTTATTCTACTTCTACTTACCCTGTCACCTCCATGGCAAAAGCGATAGATAGGTAGGTAGGTAGGTAGGTAGGTAGGTGGGGGGGTGGGGAGAGAGAAAGAGAGAGAGAGAGAGAGAGAGAGCGATTGATTGATAGATTTTAACGTTTTCAAAAAGGTCTTACAAAACACAAAGATACTATGTATGCATTACTTTGCCAACTTAGTAAATTATTTCTGCTTATTTTTATATTGTTGCAGAACTCTATGCTTACATAAGTAAATGTGCTACATCATGAGGCTGTAGGGTCAGATACTCTTGTTTCCAAGCCCAAAATCTTTGCAATACATCATCAGCCTCTCCACTGGTAGAAATTTGATTTGCGTGTGACCACAATTCCACAGAAGACAGTATAACAGTCAATTTGAAATTGGCAAACATCTAAAAGTAAAATGAATAGTATATTTTCCAAGTAGCATTAATAATTATATTAAAATAGCACCTAAAATGTTTTTAAAGTTCATCTGAACATTTTGAGTATTAAACTAATCAGATATTTAATTCATATTTTCCTAATAAAATTGAAAACATTTTCACCAATTTTTCATAAAATCAGAAACATAAAACACTGATACTTACAGTGTTGACAAGCCCAATAATCTGGATAATTTTCTGTGTTACAGCCATCATTTCAGAGCCCATGTAATCATACTGAAACATAAATTTTATTTTTAGAATTTTTTAAAAATACAAAGATACCAATTTTCCTAAGGAAAATAAAGCTTGATGACATGAAGTAGGAAAAGCATCATGTTTATTGAACATTTAAAACATGCCAATGGAAGATGATCATTTTTGTAACAAGAAAGAATGCACAGTAAAACATCAACATTCAAAATCAAGGAAAACATGAAATTACTTGGAGTCACTAAAATAATTCTGCAGATTTACATTTGGATAGAGGAACTTCTGGAGCTAGAAACTTCCTATGAAACAGAGAATCAAAGCATGTTGTTGCAAGCAAGGTAATTAAGTAACAGTAAATAAATAAATAGAAAAGTAATTGAAAACATGTATTTGTAAGAGGAAATGCAGGAATCAGCAGAATGCATGGAGGCTTTTGTGGATTAATAAATCAGTAATGTCTGATAAAGAATGAAATGAAGTGATGGGAAAGGAAAGGACAAAGGAAGATCTTCTTCTCAGACTGGCAAGTTCTTAAGAAGACATAGACCCTCCCTTAAGAGCTTAAGGAATAGGATGCTCTTTAGCTTCACAAGTTAAAAAACTTGATACCTCTGCCTAAGCTGCCAATTTTATAGATTGAAAATAAGGACTCCTATCAAATCTTCGGAGCATTTTCAGTTGTTTACTCACAGTTATAAGCAGGTCAATGGATGTACTATTTTATAATTATTGAGGTAAAAAGTAACGTAAAACTTACATATTTCTGCTGACTGAATTTAAAGTTAACTGCCTGCACACTGAGTAACAGAAACATTATTTTATAATTATTGAGGTAAAAAGTAACGTAAAACTTACATATTTCTGCTGACTGAATTTAAAGTTAACTGTCTGCACACTGAGTAACAGAAACAAACACCCACATTGAGATGGGTGCAGAAAGAAGAGTTGGCCACCAACTCCAACAAAGTATCTCAAGAGTCAATTGAGGGAATCCCAACTCCCCTGCTCCTCTCTGTGGAATCACAAGTTTGTATCATTCACAAGGCCTCCCACTGCCTCCTTTTTGAACAAGGCTTTCACTTTCAGCCATCTAGCTCCTAGAGTGGTAAGGGCTGCCCTGAACACAGAGAAGGGCCTAGGGCCTCTGGCTCAGCCCCTCTTCGGTCTCACTCTGGAAGGAGTTTGTATTCCTTCCAGCTGCTTCAGGAGGGTGGAAGGAGTTTGTACTCCCTCCAGCTGCTTCAGGAGGGTGGAAGGAGTTTGTACTCCCTCCAGCTGCTTCAGGAGGGTGGAAGGAGTTTGTACTCCCTCCAGCTGCTTCAGGAGGGTGGAAGGAGTTTGTACTCCCTCCAGCTGCTTCAGGAGGGTGGAAGGAGTTTGTACTCCCTCCAGCTGCTTCAGGAGGGTGGAAGGAGTTTGTACTCCCTCCAGCTGCTTCAGGAGGGTGGAAGGAGTTTGTACTCCCTCCAGCTGCTTCAGGAGGGTGGAAGGAGTTTGTACTCCCTCCAGCTGCTTCAGGAGGGTGGAAGGAGTTTGTACTCCCTCCAGCTGCTTCAGGAGGGTGGAAGGAGTTTGTACTCCCTCCAGCTGCTTCAGGAGGGTCTGGCTTCTAAGCAGCCTTGATCTGAGCAGATCAATGACTGGTAAATTTTTCCTGGAAACTGAGATAGCCAGAGATTGGGCCTTTCAGTCTTATATCTAGGTCTTCAGCTTCTCCCAGGAAGAACCTGGTGTGTGGCGGTGGAGAGCTGTCTCCACACTCAGAAATGGTGTGTCTCGATATTGCTACTACACTATCTGTTTTGCTTCAAAGTAGCTCAGGTTGGCCTTGCACTTGCAATTCTGTCTCAACCTCCTTTGTGCTGGTCAAAATATTGTAAAGATGACAATTCTTCCCAAAGTGAACTAAACATTCAATGGAATCTCCAAATCAAAATGACACCAAGCACCAGTGGCTCACGCCCAAGAGGAAAAGATCTGAAGATCACAGTTCAAAGCCAGCCCAGGCAGGAACCTCAATGAGACTCCAATTAGTCAACAAAAAGCCAGATATAGAGCTGTGGCTCAAGTGGTAAAACACTAGGCTCGAGCACAAAAACTCAGGGACATCTCCCAGTTCCTGAGCTCAAGCCCCCTGACAGGCATGCATGCGCGCGCACACACACACACACACACACACACATACACACACACATACACACACACACACACACACACACACATACACATACACACACACACACACATACACATACACACACACACACACATACACACACACACACACACATACACACACACATACACACACACACACACATACATACACACACACACACATACACACACACACACACACACACACACACATACACAGTATTTTTGAATGTTTGTACACATCTATAAAGTGATTTGAAAATGGATTTAAATATAGAGGACTCACAATATTACAGAGGAGGAAAAGGGAAAAAGTCTGTTACAATGAAGCTGCAGTAAACGCAAAGTGCTCATAGTGTTGCTTCCACAGAATGGATGAAAACAACAAGCCACACATGAGACATCTTTACCATAAATGGGTTCACATATGGGAAAATATCCCTAATCCCAGCCCACTGCATACTGGTCACCAACTACAAATACACAAAACTCCATTTGTAAAGGTAAGAAGTATGAATTACAAATGTAATGTCATTGGAAATAGTTATGTACTTGGAGTAGGAAAATAGTTCTTAAGATGAAAATAAGTAGTGAAGAAAAAATAATTGGGCTTAATATTTACTATAATTAAAAATGTATATCTCTCCAGGCACCAGTGAGTGGCTCAGACCTGTAATCCTAGCTACTTAAGATCTGAGGATCACGTTTCAAAGCTAGCCCAAACAGGAAAATCTGTAAGACTTTTTATTCCCAATAAACCATGGAAAACTTGTAAGTGGAACTGTAGCTCAAGTAGTAGCGTGGTAGAGCTCCGATCTTGAGTGAAAAAACTAAAGAACAGCACCCAAGCCCTGAGCTCAAACTCCCAGCATTGGCATACAAAACATGTATCGAAACTTTGGCAACATAGGGCGGCACAAAATTCTCCTTAAAAATCAATGGCTTTCCTGTGTGTAAATAATAGAAGAGCATTAGCAAACATCAGGAAAGCAACTCCTTTTGTAATAGCCCCACAAAAAATAAAATACCTAGGAATTAACTAAGGAAATAAAGGACTTCTTTGATGAAAACTTTAAAAACTTGAAAAATGAAATTAAAAAACTAAGGAAGTAGAAAAACTTCCCATGCTCCTGGAATGGGAGGATTAACATCATGAAATGGCAATACTTTCCAAGGCTATCTACAAATTCAATGCCATACCTATCAATATCCCAACCTCATTCTTCAATGAAATAGAAGAAGCAACCCAAAAATTCATATGGAACAATAAAAGACCCGGAATAACAAAAACAATCCTTAGCAGAAAGAACAGTGCTGGAGAAATAGCAATACCAAATTTCAAACTCTACTATAAAGCCATAGTAATCAAAACAGCTTGGTAATGGCACAAGAATAGACCTCAGAACCAATGGAATAGAACTGAAGACCTAGAAATGAACCCGCAGACCCATAGCCATCTAATCTTCGATAAGGGAGCTAAAAAATAGAGTGGAAGAAGGACAGCCTCTTCAGTAAATGGTGCTGGCAAAGTTGGTTCAACACCTGTAGAAAACTAAAGCTAGATCCTTATATATCACCCTTCACCAGAATCAACTCCAGATCGACTAGTCTGACATTGATAATTAATAGAATTCCACTAGTACTAATTTTAAAAGATCAAAGATTTATTTTATTACAAAGTATACCAAGATGTGTTTTGGGATAAAATTTAAAAATCCACAAAATGACACTATTATTAAAGTAACTTCTTATCTAGGAGAGATTAAAAATAAAAGGTATGTGGACAAACAGCTGGGGTAAGGCTGGTGAGTGAGATTTGAACTGAGCTGGGAAAGGGAAGATTTGCAGGACATGGGAAATTTGAGGATTTATTCAAATGTGAAAGTCACATTCTCATTTATATAACACATAAAATAAAGTATCTTTATTAGAAAATATTGACAAATATCCCTGTCATTAAAATAAAGGAGGGAAAGAAAAAAGTAAGGAAGGGAGAGAGGGAGGGAGGGAAGGAAAAGAGGAGGGAAGGGGAGGCGAGGGAAGAGAAGGGAAGGGAGGGAAGAGAAGGTAAAGGAAGGGAAGGGAAAGGAAGGAAGGGAAGGGGAGGAGAAGGGAGAAAAAAGGAAAGATTAAGAGAAAGAGAAGGAAGGGGGAAAACAAGAAGAAAAATTTGGCTTACCAAAGCTTTTTCAACAATGATATGCATTTGTAGACACTTGGGTAATAGTTTTGAAGGAGCTTTTTCCTGAACAAACAATAATCGAAATTTATCAAACGTTAACATGCATTGAATTTGTTAAGAGCCAAAGGTGACATGTAAAAGAGACACAAAAGATGCACATAAAGCCATTATGAGGACATATAAAATATAAAAATGGCACAGCCTAAAATTTCACTTCAAAGCATCCCAGTCTTAAAAAATCCTCAGTGGGCCAGGTGCTGGTGGATCTGCCTGTCATTCTAGCAACTCAGGAGGCTGAGATCTGAGGACTGCAGTTCAAAGCAGCCTGGGCAGGAAAGTCTGTGACACTCTTATCTCCAATTAACCACCAAGAAACTGGAAGTGGTGCTGTGGCTCAAGTGGTAGAGCGCTCGCCTTGAGATGAAGAGCTGAGGAACAGTGCCCAGGCCCAAGCCCCATGACCAACAACAATAACAAAAAATCCCCAATAAGACTGCAGAGTATACCATGAATCACTGAGAATTATGTCTCTCAGATGCTTTTGTTTTGTGTTTGCATTTGAGAAAAGGTGTTACTTTGACAAAGCTCACCTCAAACTTGCAATCTTCTTGATGCATCAACTTCCCAAGTAGCTGAGATTATAGACATGTATCACCACCACATTCAGGTTCTATTTTGTTTTACTGTTGTTAGTTTTCCTGGTGTGTGTGTGCGTGTGTGTGTGTGTATGTGTGTGTGTGTGTGTGTGTGTGTGTGTTTATATACTCTCGAGCTCATGCACTCGTGCACACACACCAGTGCTGAGGCTTGAACTCAAGGCCTGAGCTTTTATACTCAAGGCTAGAGTTCTACCACTTGAGCCATACATTCACTTCCTTTTTGTTTTTGCTAGCCATTGGAGAAAAGAGTTTCATAGGTTTTCCTGCTTGTGTGGCTTAGAACTGCAATCTTCAGATTTAAGCCTCCTGAGTAGCTAGGATTATAGGCATGAGCCATCGGTGCCTTGCTCTATTGAGTCTTTAAAAAATGACCACATAGTTGATTGGTTCAAAGTGGAATAATATGGATTAGAAACAGGGGATACCAAAGTAACAAAACTATTTAATTACTCCTGTGAATATTTAACGACTGAAAAGTTAGGCTTTATTACGTGGATAGATCTAAAACACCTTTACTCAGGAAATTATTTCTAACACTACATTTTTTTCTAAAAAGAGTATCTGAGTTGCCTTTGGAGAGCAAGGTAGTGAGACAGTAAGGACAGTGATGATTATTTCCTATTATAGCCCTTCTATTCGACTATACAAGCTATATAAAGTTTTTTTTTGTTTTTTTTTTTTTTTTGGTCGGTCGTGGGGCTTGAACTCTGGGCCTGGGTGCTGTCCCTCAGCTCTTCAGCTCAAGGCGAGCACTCTACCACTTGAGCTACAGTGCCACTTCCAGTTTTCTGGTGGTTTATTGGAGATAGGAGTCTCACGGTCTCTCCTGCCCGGGCTGGCTTTGAACCGCGATCCTCAGATCTCAGCCTCCTGAGTAGCTAGGATTACAGGTGTGAGCCACCAGCGCCCGGCTAAGCTATATAAAGTTTTAAGCATTTGAAAATCTTAAGATTTTGCCATGTCTGAAATGATTATCCTTTGTCTTTAATTTGATACCTATAAAGTCTTTAGTCACTGATGGCTTAAAACAATCTGGTAGGCTGTTCCTACCTCCTGTATTTTAGGCAGAAGCTGTTGTTCTTGCCCTTTGCTATTTGTCTCTACTTTATCCTGCTTTGCTAAATAAATGCTTACTAAACTTCCCAAAAAAAGAATATCTGAGTACATGAAGCCAAAATTGTAAGGATATTTTCAATGATCCTTGCATGAACAAGCAAATATGGTAGTATATACCCATTATTCCAACACTCAGGAAACTGAAATGGGAATCATGAGTTCAAGGTCATCCTGAACTACATAGGGACACCCTGTCTGAAAAAAAACATAGCATAAGTAAAATAATAATTCTTGGTATTGTATTTTCTTACAAACATATTCTACATATAGACATACTTCTAATATTTGGAATGATTTACTTTTTTTTTTTTTTTGGTCAGTCATGGGGCCTGAACTCTGGACCTGGGCACTGTCCCTCAGCTCTTAAGTTCAAGGCTAGAGCTCTACCACTTGAGCCATAGCATCGTTTCTGGCTTTTTCTGCTTATGTGGTGCTGAGGAATCAAACCTAGGGCCTTGTGCATGCAAGGCAAGCACTCTACCACTGAGCCACCTTCCCACCCCTGGAATGATTTACTTTTAAATATCATCTTCAAACATTATTCTATCACCTATGAGCTTATTCAAGTTCAACTTTTTAAGTTTTTGTCAGCACATTTAAAATTATGCACAATGTTCTTTTCTAAACACCATAATGCTGTCTTCAATTTTTGGTTTCAAAGTTAGCTTTATACTTGCTAAGCAGGTACTACACTGCTTGACCCACACCTCTAGACCATTTGGCTCAGGTTATGTGAAATAGGAACTGGCTGTTGCTTGGGGTGGCCTGGATTACATTCCTTCTATTTTTTTTTTTTGTTTTTGTTTTTGTTTTTGTGGTTGTGGGCTTGAATTCTGTGCCTGAGCGCTGTCCCTCAGCTCTTCAGCTCAAGGCTAGCCCTCTACACTTGAGCTACAGCACCACTTCCGGTTTTCTGGTGGTTTATTGGAGATAAGAGTTTCACGGACTTTCCTACCTGCGCTGGCTTTGAACCTCGATCCTCAGATCCTCCTGTGTAGCTAGGATTACAGGTGTGACCCACGGGTGCCCTGCTGCATTCCTTCTATTTTATGCTTCATTCCATAGTTGGGATCAGAAACAAGTATCACCATACCCAGCCTTTTCTCCTGAGAGAGGTTCTTATGAACTTTTCCCCCTGGGCTGCTCTAGAACTGTAATTTTGATCTCTACCTCCCAAATAATTAGTATTACAGGTATGAGCCACTAGCACCTGACCAGGACAAGAATATTTTTAAATTAAGTAAAATGCCCTTTCAGTCAGTGATAACATACTTGCACATTCATAAGAAATTTAAATGTTGGGTTATATGGGCATAAAAACTAAGAATATTTTAAGCCAAATAAATTGCATTACTATTATTTAACCTCACTTATTCATTTCTACTTTAAAATTTTTTTATTATCTTTAAGGAGTTGCCATTCAACAAAGAAGTTTATGAGTATATCTTGGTCAATGTCATCCCTTTCACTGAATAGTCTCATTGGATCATTTTCAAATGAGATATTTTTCAAATAGTTTTCTCATATGTGTATGGTCCTACTAATTATTGACCTGCTAAAAGAAAAAAAATCACATAATAAACATGCTGATTTATTACTTTGCATTCATCAATGTCTTAAAAATTAATTTCCATTTTAGTTACTCTTAATGTGTCTTTATAAAAACTTCAGATGAATGTTGACAACCATGGCTTCTACTCTGCAACTTTTATGAATTGTGTATGCATATCACCAATTTAAAGTCCATTCTGCTGGAGATGATAGCTCCTGACTCTGATCCTAGTGACTTGGGTGGCAGACCATGAGAGCTTCAAGCTTTAGAACCTGTCTCCAAGCACTGGAAATTACCCAGAGAGCTCAAGACCTTCTGTATCATTCACTTAAAGACCTCCAATGGTTACATCTTAAAAAGATGTAGTATATTATGAAAATCAGGAAATCAACATTGATGCAATGAGTATTTGCCAAGTTGCAAAACATACAGACTACTCCACCCCCATAAAGATTTCTACTGACATATGGATTTTGTAATGCGAGGGCTCAAACCCAGGGACACTGCATTCTAGGCACATGCTATTACCCTGAGTCCCACCCCAGTTCTCATTGCTAGGCTTCTTTAAAGGCATTTGCTCTGACCGCCCCATCATCTTGAATTCTCTAATTCTACCCATAGCCATTTAAAAAATGTACATAATCTTCACACATTGCTTTGATTTACTCTTAATACTATCCTTGAGATTCACCCAAGCCTACAGACTTACACTTTTTTTAAGTCAAATTGTATCCAGCTTTATCAAAGATACTTTTCATCAGCAGCCATGTTATTTCAGGAGGACAGGGAAGGCACTGGTTAATGATACGCAACTACTTTTAAACTCCTTCCTGGATGGAATGTCAAAATCATAAAGCCACTATAAAACCTACTGACATCTTCATCTGAAGCTGGGAGAGGATGGACATTTCACATCACACACATCGTTTGGTACAAGCCATCCATGGCTTATAGGAAGTACAATGAAATGGCAGAATTATCTACCTGAAGATCCCCAGTGCAGTAGAGACCCCTGCTCTTTGGAAAACACCATCTCATAATGCCACTGCCAAACCTGAATTGCCCAACACACTGGCAAATGAATTTTGAGGAGTCAGTCCTGCAGGATTGTGGTTTGAACGGAGTTAAGTCTACACTGATGATGGTGAGTGGTGTGGAGGGGGGATATGATGATTTTGGAGTTTCCCATATCACAAGGGGTTTGTCCTTTAAAGCTCTTAAATCTCACAAGGATGAGTGGAAAGTTCCTGAGAACCAAAAAGACAGTTACGGCTTCTTAGAGCCATTGTCTCCTGAATCTCCACAGTAGATATGATTAGGAGTCCTTCATGGGGCTGCCTGTGGCAGGAAAAAGGAATGGAAGGTCATCCACTACTGAAACTGCCCAAGCCCATGTATCTCATCTTATTTATAATTTTTTAAGGCCCAAATCATCAGTGAATGGGAAAAGAGGTTTGTGGCTTGCATGACCTGGTAAAACACATAATGCTAGAAGAAAGAAGAAGGTGGAAACTACCCCAGGAGAGAAGAAAAGAAATACTTGCTAGATCCAGCATTACATTTGGAGGAGAAGGTCTGGGACCTCTGTAAAGCCAGCACCTCCAAACCATGGTTCACAGTGTCTGTGAAGAAATGCTGCATAGAACATCATTAAACTTGCAAAATCATACTATGTGCTTTCCCAGATGTTTTATATAAAGTTTGGGTGGTGTATCTCAAGTTTTTTAAAAAAGACAAAATATAATCATGGAAGCAGCACTGTGCTCAAACTGGTAGAGCGCTAGCCTTAAGTTAAAAAGCTCAGGGACAGAGAGCATGCCCTGAGATCAAGCCTCATGACCAGAAAAATAAAAAATCTTATAATATTGTCTGTCCTGGGGCTTGAACTCAGGAACTGGGGGCTGTCCCTAAACTCCTTTAGCTGAAGGCTAGCACTCTACCACTTTTAGCCACAGCACCACTTCTGGTTTTCTGATGGTTATTTGGGGATAAGAATCCCATGGACTTTCCTACCAAGGCTGGCATCTAACTGTGATCCTCAGAACTCAGCCTCTTGAGTAGCTAGGATCACAGATGTGAACCACCAGCTTCTGGTAGATATAATAAATTATATAAAAACAGTAAGATTATATAATCTTCTTATTCAGTAACTAACTTCCTTTAATGACTACAAACATCCTATAGGAATATGTTCCTGTCATGCTATGATATCAGCATGCCCAGTTACCTGATAGCTTAAGTGAATTTTATAGAGCTGGTCATTCTGAAAAATGCTGCCATAATTTCCTACTAACATGGGAACATCTAGATTGACATTTTTCATTTGATAAATGATGTGCTCAAATTTTGGTGAAGATTCCAGTGGTTCAATTCCATAGGTGATATTTTCCAACTGTAGAAATCCCCTGAGATTCAGAAACACAATAACAATTAAAATCCAGCCAATGATCCTATCATAGCTATAATCTGTAGTATACATAACTGTGTTAAATAAAATATGGTATTTTCAGGGGAGAAATCAAATGATGTTAATTCCCTAGAAATACTATCTCACAGTCCAACAAAATGAATACCAGGAAACTGAAGAAATGTAGTATCAACTACAAAAAATGAATAAAATCCCATCATTTTCAGAAAACTTGATGAAACTCAAGATCATTATGTTAAGTAAAAAAGTCAGACTCAGAAAGAGAAATAAGTTTTCTCTCATATTTAGAATCTAGATTTTAAGAGAGAGAACATTAAAATAGGGTAGCAATAGGGTATTTAAAAAGGCGAATACAATCACATCATAATATATGTACATAGAAAATGACATAATGTAACTCATTACTATGTATAATTAATGCCTTTATCATGATTAAAAATATATTAGTATCTTTGTGTGTGTGTGTGTGTGTGTGTGTGTGTGTGTGTGTGTGTGCTGGTTCTGGGGCTTGAATTGTTGGGGTCTTTCCTTGAGCTTTTTTGTTCAAGACTAAGTGCTCTTCCACTTAAGCCACAGCTCCACTTCCATTTTTTTGCTGGTTAATTTGAGATAAGAGTCTCCTGGACTCTCCTGCTCAGGCTAGCTTCAAACCATGATCTTCATATCTCAGCCTCCTGAGTAGGTATGGGTGATAGGCATCCAGCTTATCTATTTAGTATTTATTAGACTGTCCTGCCGAGGATCAAGATATTTGGTGAGAATTCTATGAAGAAAGTTCTACTTGTTACAGATATTACAGATTTTTAAGATGAAGGAAATTAAGCAGCTGTGCAGAATGCCCATCTAAAGAGGTTCATACTCATGAAACACATTAGGACAATGTTACTTTTTTAAATCTACAGAAATAAATTCTAGAAACCAGGATACTAATATGAAAGGGAAGGAGAAATAACTTTTTTCTCTATTCTTGACTCTCTGTCCTCTGGCACACTTCAGACAGTTTATCAATGCCTCTCAACAGTGGGCAAGGATGACAAAAATCACTTAACTCTGCCCTTTTACCTCTGAGACATCTTCTAAAATGGTTCTTTTATATCTACTACTACATGGAGGTTGATATTGACTATTGTATTTAAAATCACTAACAAAAGGTGTTTCCCATAATTGAGATAATGATAGTGATAGCACTGACTTTCTGGGGATGTCCTAATGTTTCTTTTTGTGTCACTGTCCCCTCCTGCCTGGAAATGTCTCCATCCAATGCCCTGGATGATGCCATCTGAAAGGAAACTAAGATCCAAGTATTCACATCAAAATAAACAAAAGCAAGTCCATCACGAAAGAGTCTTTTCAGTTTGGATTTTAGATTTTCCCTAATTTATGTCAGCTAGCCAGTGTATTTCATTGTAATGTCTATCTGCATTCTTCCATTTACAAATATCTTGTAAGCAAATATTACCTGAGGCCAGAGCAGGCACTGAGGGTCACAACAGAATTTGGAAATTCAGCAATATAACCTCGGTAATGACAATGCATCTGAGAAAGCGGACAGACCGAGAAATATACATGTTTTTATGAATATGAATATGAAACATCTCCAGACATATTGCTCAGGGCTTTAAGATTTGATTATATGGAAACAGTGAATTATATAAAATTATTAATGCAAATTTTGAGAAAAATATGTGACAACTCTCTTCCCTTCATATTCCAGGGGACTCATAAATAACTTTTTGCACTTGAGTTTCATCCTCTACCTGCCACTTCCACATGCAACAGTCAACCATGCAACAGGGCAGAGTTACCAGAACAAAACACTCATATTAGTTTGTCAACATGAAACAAAATATCCCAATGGTAGTGGTATGTTCACTTCAACACAAAACAAAAATTAAAAATATCTAAGACATCTAATTCTTACCATAAAATATGAAGACTCAGAATGCAAAGATCCAGTTTCATTATATGTATAAATCAAAAAATTCTGGGATAAGAATGAGCTAAAAAACAAATCAATAAATAAAGTTTCAGTTGTGGATTAATCATGAATACACACACTAATTGAAATAAACAGAAAGTGTATAGAATTGGTATGGCATGATTTAGTGACAGTTATTTTGGTGTGGCATGATATTTGAAACTGAAAACTGCTGTTCAGACTCTGGACTCTGGAAGAGACTATTACTCTGTGATTAGATATTTGTATTTGTACTTGTATATGGTATTTCCTGCTGTGTATTTCTATGACAGAGCCTTTTCTGGGGCTGGAACATGGCAGTAAATAAAAGACAAAATCTCTGCTTTTATGGCAGGAACGGAAACTTCTACTAGTTAGACAACAATAAATAAGATCTGGATGCTGAAGTGGTTACAAAGATGTACATAGTTTTGGCCTGAAAAGCTCACTGCAGAGATGACTGGAGACAGGAAGAACAAGTCATAGAGATTTTTATAAGAAAGTAATTCCAGACAGGAAAATAAAAATTCATGGAGCCTGAGGCAAAAATGCACTTGCATGTATAGAGAACAATTCTGGGCAATGGGTGAAGGAGACAGACAGTAGTATTAGGTGGGTCATGGGAAGGAGGAATTTCTGGATGGTAGAAGCTGGTGAAGACAGAAGTAGACCAACACTTGAGCATTGAATTGAGTCAGACTCAACACTATTGAGAAAATTTGCATTGCAAGGATGAAGAAGCCTGCAGAACAGTTAGGAGGCTTTTAGTATCATCCATGCCAGCCATAATTAGGGTTTGATCAGCTCTATAATACTGGAAGAAGCTTCACTATAAATACAGTTTAAGGAAGAACACACAAGATTTGATTTCTCATTGGATCTGGGGAAAAACAAAAGAAAAAATGTGCCTAAGATGCGTCCATGGTATTTTTCCCCTCATTTTCTTTTATTTTTTTTTTATTAAAGTAACTGGAAGAGTAGAGTTGCCATTATTAAGGTAATTTATCAAAAACATAACTTTAGAAAGAAGATCAGGAGTTAATCTTCATCAGTAACTGCATGGATCTTAGTAAGCATGTGCTTACCAAATAAAAAGATAAACATCCTCTGGATGTCTTCAAATGAATGAGGCAAGTATGAATTTCAGAGCACCTACCACCTACACTGCACTTAAATACAGAAGACTGAATGAAACAGAATTAAAATAATTAAAGAACAGTACCATGAACTATTCTAAGGTTGGACAGCAGGGAAGGAATTTTGTCTTGACAGAGGAGTAATAATAATGGCAGGAGACCATCCAGGACCAGAAATCTGTTACATTCTGATAAACGATGAGGAATATATTTTATTCTGACCACCAGCAACAAATGCTGTCAATTGGCAGAGTTAAAAATGGTGACTAAAAAATCAGCCATGACATAAAAGAAAATTCAAAAAGCATTGATAATCTTGCCAAAAACTGTTCTTAGTGAAAAAAAATGCCATAGGGGAATGAAAGACAAACATAAGGTTCATAGACCTCAATTAAGCAAGAGCAGTCAGGAATTCAATGAGAATACACTTTCTCCAGCTTTGTTCAACTATAAAGGTATAAGTAATGCAGATAAATAATGGTTGCTGTGTGCTTTAAAAATCTCAGGCTATGGGCTGGGAAGGTGGCTCAGGGGTAGAGTGCTTGCCTTGCATGCATGAGGCCCTGGGTTTGATTCTTCAGAACCACATAAGCAGAAAAAGCTGGAAATGGCGCTATGGCTCATGGCAAAAAAAAATCTCAGGCTAAAACCAAGCCTATTTTTAATATAGTACGTTGAAGAAATGCAAATCAGGATATAGAAAGTAGACTGATTGTGGCCTGGAATTGTGGGCAAGCACAGGGCTTGACTAGAATGAAACAAGGGCTCTGAAATGGGGAAGGAAGTGTGTTAGGTGCTGATACCTGCAGCAGCGTATTCAAGATTGGGATATTCCTGAATGGTACTCATCAGTGTACCTCATTTGTGAAATATCTCCCATAAGGTAATTAAAAAAATAAAGGTTTATAGTTAATACATCATAGAAACCATGCCACTACTTGACTCTCCCACAATAATCTCTCATTTTCAGACATCTTTAATATTTAAGATACTCAGTACTTAAGTTATTTGGGTTCAATGACATATTTAAATTGAAATTTCCAAATATATACTTTATTTCTTAACTTAAATAACATCAAAATCTGTAAAACTAAAAGACAAGATCCACATAAATCTAATACTCAAGGCCTATGGATCAAAATTGAAAAATGATAGAAACAAGACTACATTATATTGCATTCCTGAATTTAATTATTATAAAAGAAACTTTAAAAGAGCAAAATCTAAGAATAAAAGTTTCCCTTTTTCTTAACGTACTGTTTTCTGAGATGCAAGGTAAATGGTTTCCCATCAATTGCAACACTATAAAACACCTAAAATAAAACAAATCAATAAATATGACTCAGTAAATCAGATTTATGTATTTTTATTAAAGTTAATAAAAATAACTCATAGTATATTAAAAATGAACATTTTCTTTAGAACTTATATAACTCGCAAGAATGTGTGCCCAGAAGACATTGTGCGAAAGGCAATGTACTCATTACCTGACTCATGTAATTGTAATCTTTCTGTACATGACCTCTATAATAACAATAAATTAAATTTGGGGAAAAAAGAATGTGTGCCCAATTAATTCTCACACAATGTGATTGATTTTACATGTATGGTTGACTTGATGATAAGAAACGTAATACATTTTGAAAAAAAATGTACTTTAAAATATTTAGTACTATATTAATTGCCCTTATCTTCGAAAGATACTTTTAAGTCAAAATAAATGCAACATGACTGCAGGTTTATATTACACAGTAAATATTATGAAATAACTCATTTATAAATGTGTCTATTATACATATGTAACTTAAATACATTTATCAACTCTCAATATATAAAAGCATGAGGATAAGACTGAATGTGGTGGTTTGCACCTGGTATCCCAACTACTTGAGAAGCAAAAATAGGAGGCAAAAACACAAAACCTTATTTCTAAAAGTAAAAGGGCTGAGTGGCACAGCTCAAGTGGTAGAACACTTGCATAATGCTTTAAGTTCAAACCCAGCACTGTAAAATAAATAAAACTGAGATAGAAAAAAAAAAAAAAAACCTGAAGGACTGTGCAGGTTAGAAGCCATTATGGAATGCCATAGTACCAAGGTAAAGGGTCATCACGCACTAGGAACTCCAGAGATAGGAGGTGCCTATGGAACTAAACAGATTAAACAATGGGACTAGATCTATAACTATGTTTATTGTAGCATTATTTACCATAGCTAAGATATGGAACTAACCCAGGTGCCCCTCAGTAGATGAATGGATCAAGAAAATGTGGTACATATACACAATGGAATTCTATGCCTCCATCAGAAAGAATGACATTGCCCCATTTGTTAGGAAATGGAAAGACTTGGAAAAAAATTATAATAAGTGAAGTAAGCCAGGCCCAAAGAAACATAGGTCCCATTGTTTCCCTTATTTGCGATAATTAGTATATATCTGGGACAAGCAGAAAAGGTTAGATAAGATGATGTTAAGTGAAATGAACCCCAAGATAGGGACACAAATGGTTTTATCTTCCTTGCTATTGTTTCTAACTTATTTATAAGGTACCATGTGATTTTTTTTGTTGCTTTGTATGTCCCTCCCCCATGGTATAATCCCTGTTTTCACTGTATTTGATGTTGGTACAATTTGGGGAGGGGAAGGGAAAAAAACAAATTGTTTAAATAGGGATACAGATTGACCCTTTGCAACAATGAGATGCACAAGACGATATGTCAAAAAATGAACTTTACAACTTGGGGGGGGGAGCGGGGAAGGGGTAGCTGAGAAGGTAGGAGGGAAGGGATGGTAGGGGAAAAACAAAGCAGGAGGCAGCAATACTGGATAAGAAATGTACTCATTACCTTGCTCATGTAACTGTAACCCCTTTGTACAGTATTTTCACAATAAAAAACAAAGAAAATACAGACTGACATCTATCCTGGCAACTTCCCCAAATTTTTTTTATGAGCTAAACCAATCTGAAATGAGACAATCAGTTTTAAGCTACAACAGAGTATGGAAACTTAGAGAGAAACTGAGCAGTGCTGCTTAAAACTGATTAGGAACACCTAGAAGCATTCCCTAGTGCAAGGAGCACACAGACTCAGGCCAGATGTTAATAAACAGCAGAGACAAACCTTATCCCATTGCTCCCTTAAAACTTATATAAGCTACTACAGTGAATCCAACATATTATTCCAGATCCAGTGAAAAACAGAGGCAATGAAAAAAAATCTCATAGGGAGAAAGGCACTTATAGCTCACACCTGTAATCCTAGTTTCAGCTATCTGTAAGATTGTGGCTCAAGGCAGCCCAGGCAGAAAAGTCTGTGAGACTACATCTCTAAAATAACTCGCAGAAAGCAGGGCTGTAATCATGGTTTAAGTGGTAGAGAATTAGCTGAGTAATCAAATCAAGCAAGCACAAGGCCCTGAGTTCAAACCCTGATACTACAAAAAAAAAGTCTGACAATTTCTCAAGTTCAGGAGCAAATACAAACTTTAAAAAATTCTGAGTTCAAAAACATCAAGGGTGACAGATAACAAGTTCAGCAAATAGAATAGAAACCATAAAGTATTAGAGTGAAACAAGAACTTAATATTTGGTATCTTTAGAGTAGTAAAATCAGATACTATGCTCAAGAAGCAAGAATTAGGTGTAATTCAATATTTTAAAATTTTTCTACTGCTTACCAAGGGTTTATTAAATGGCTAGCACTGTCTCATGCCCTTTTTATGTCTATTATGCTAATAAAAAACGACAGAAATAAGTATGATGCCAAAGGTATCATACAACTTTAAATGTTTTATATTAGAATATGTAATTTATATATGGGGATTATATAATGATAAGAAGTCATTTCTCCAAGAAGCTATAACAAACATTAATGTATATATGTCTTTAAAACAGAGCATCAAAATGCATGGAGCAAGATACGTGTGTGGCACAACCCTGTCTGTAATCTAAGTTGCATGGGAAGCTGAGACAGAATGATAACTCAAACAAGGCTGGACTCTCCAGTGAGTTTCAGGCCAGCCTGAGAAGATGCTGAATCTACTCTAACACTTGGATGTTTAACAGCTCTCTATAACAATTGCACAGATCCAGCAGAAAGAAAGTCAGTAAGGACACGGTGGTTAACTCATCAGCACCATCTGTCAACTCCATATAATGGACATTTGTATAGCTAGTCATGCATCCTCTATTTCATCCAGCCATAGTAGAACACACATTCTTTTCAAACTCAAATACAGAAAAACCTATTCTGGACCATAAAACAGACCATAGCAAATATAAACTGACATACATCATATAAACTGTGCTCTTAGACCAAAACGGAAAGGAATTATATTGCTAGGCTTGTGCTCTACCACTTGAATCACACTGATCAGTATGAAAATGCAGGCTCCAAACCAGTAAGTCAAGTGGCTATTTTTTAAAAAAGATAATCAGTGTAGATGAGGGTGTAAAGAATTTGGAACTCTCATTCACCATAGATTAGAATAAAAAAATGGAAAATGGTAAGAAAATTTCTCAAAAGCTTAGAAATAGACTATCATTTAATATACCAATGTAACTAGGGTTATACTCCTAAAAGTGCTTATCAGCACACACACACACACACACACACACACATATATAACATATATATTAAAATACTACTGAGTCTTAGAAAATCATAATATCTGAACAACACACAGGAACCTAGAGGTCATCATGTCAGGTGAAACAAGCCAGTTACAGAAGATAAATACTGCAAGGTTCCACTATATGAGGTATATATGACAGTCAAACTCCAAGAAGCAGAGAATAGAATGATATTGTCAGTGTCTACAGAAAGGAAGAGGTAAAGACTCCACATAGAGCTCCCCTATGACCCAGCAATCCCACTTTTGGGCATTTACCCAAATGATCACAAACAAGACCATACTAAAGCTACCAGCACAACTATGTTTATTGCAGCATTATTTACCATAGCTAAGATATGGAACCAACCCAAATGCCCTTCAGTAGATGAATGGAACAAGAAAATGTGGTATATGTACACAATGGAATTCTATGCCTCCATCAGAAAGAATGACATTGCCTCATTTGTTAGGAAATGGAAAGACTTGGAAAAAATTATATTAAGTGAAGTAAGCCAGGCCCAAAGAAACATAGGTCTCATGTTTTCCCTTATTTGTCATAACTAGTATGTGTCTGAGACAAGCAGAAAAAGTCAGATATGTTGATGTTAATTGAAATGAACCCCAAGATAAGCATTCAAATGTTTTTTTTACTTTCATGTGATTGTTTCTAACACTTTTATAAGATGATTTCTTTGTTGCTTTGTATGTCCCTCCCCCATGATATAACTCCTGCTTTCCCTGTATTTGATGTTGGTATAATTTGTGGATGGGAAGGGAAAAAACAAATCGTTTAAATAGGGATACAGGTGGGCACATTGCAGCAATGAGACGTACAATTCATTATGTCGAAAATGAACTTTACAACTTTGGTGGGGAAGGGAGAGGATGGGAAGGGATAGGAAGGGAAAACAAAGGAAGAAGCAACAATGCTTGATGAGTAATGTACTCATTATCTTACCCATGTAATTGTAACTCCTCTGTACGGTATTTTCATAATAAAAATTTTTTTAAGAAAAGAAAGGAAGAGGTAGGGGTCTTGTTCAGTGAGAATAGGGTCTCTGAACTGAAACATGAATTTATTCTTTAAAGCTGGTCCTCAGCATAGTGCACACAGTAGGTGATTCTCTATTGTACACTTGGACAATTGTTAAAAAGGCTAGAATTCTTGTTCTTACCCAAAATAAAAGTACACAAAGAGATGTCTGAAGGTGATGAATGCATTTAGTGTATTGATTGCCATAATGCTATGATGGCTGCATGTATATGTCTAAACTCACCAAAATGTGTACCTTCTACACATTTCCTTTTTATATCAAGTATGCTACGGTAAAACTTTCAAAACGTAAAATGATATCCTCTATTGTAAAATAGCTCCAAGAATTCCAAATACAAACTACTAAAATGTAGACAAATAATGGAATGCCTCATGTCCTCTTTTAGTAAAAAGCATTCCAGGCCTGTTCAGTTTCTGTATTCCGTGCTTCCTGACTTGGTGCTACGCAAGTAGGCAGTTTTGCAACTTCTTTTTTTAATACTCTATTCGCATACTGCAATCTTTTTCTTCATTATCAAGCTAACATGGCACTTTCTCCCTTCTCTCCCCCTTTTCTTCTTTCCCTCCTTTCCTTTCTTCCTTCCTTCCTTTTTTTATTTACACCCTCCTCACCATTCTTTGTTCCTCAGATCATCACATCTACTAGTTCTGATGCTTAGAGGTCTAATTTTGCAATGTTTATATTTTATCAAAACCAATTTCTCTATTAAAGGGCTCCAAGAGAGTTATATCAACATACACATGCTTTCCAAGTGATTATAAATTAGTATGACTAAGTACCAGTGTAAGTGCCAAACAACTCATGATTACTTACTTGCTCCTCTGACACTTCCCTCCCACTTGGCCTTATCTTCCGGGGCACTGTGAGGTGCAGCAGTATTCCTTCCGCACCTGAAGCGAGAGTGTGCTTTTTCTAGTGTTCTTGATTTCCCCTTGCATTATTTATTTTCTTAGGTAAAGAAAGGTCATGGTTCAGTAAGTGTAGAGTGAGTGCCTACCTCTAGGTCTCTAACACAGCAAACTGTAAATTTCACCCACCCTCCTTCTTGGTGCTCAGTTAAAAGTGGTTGAAGATGGGCATCGTCGATGGCTCATGCTTGCACTCCTAGCTACTCCATCCTGGGAAGGAAGGTCCTTTGGACTCTTACCTCTATTTAACTACAAAAAAAAAAGCTGGAAGTGGAGCTGTGGTTCAAGTAGTAGAGCACTAGTCTTGAGCAAAGAGCTCAAGGACAGCACCCAGCACCCAGGCCCCGAGGTCAAGCCCCAGAAGTGGCATGTGTGTGTGCGCGTGCACATGCGCACGTGTGCGCGCACACACACACACACACACACACACACACACACACACAGGGCTGGTCCTGCGGCTCAAGGCTCACCCTACTTGTGTCCACAGCCGGGCAGAGTTGAGGGCCGTTGCCCTCGGGACTCAGAGCCAACTGTGGGCACTGCTCGCACACTTGTAAGGTCCAGCACTGGGCAGAAGGCGCGGGGACACTGGCCAGGAGTCTGGGGCTGAGTCCCAGAAGCGAATGCAGCCCAGACTCCTCCACTGACATCGGTGACTCGCCTGGCCTGGTTTGGGGGCTTAAGGAGAAGGTGGTGAAGTAGGGTAGGCAGCAGCAGAAATGCAGGAAACGGGTGGTGATTGTCTGCGGGCTAAGGGACATGGTTTCCCAGGAAGGAGGGTGGCAAACATGCCCTCAGCAAGGGGGCATTGGGGTGCCCGCGGACTTGGACTTACCCAGGCAGGCCGGCAGCGTTCCAAGCTTGGCGAGCAGCGCCAGGAAAAGGAACATGGTCGTCATCCAGGGCACCTGGCACACACAGCCCGGACGGAGGCGGTTGGGCAGGGATGAGGCGCGTGGTGCCCTTGGCACGTGGGTCAGATGCGGGGCCAGAGGCCTGTGCGAGAATGCGGTTCCAGCGGGGAAGGACGAGCGCACACGTGTGTGCCTGGCTGGCCGGAGCCCTCTGGAGGGATAAACAGGCAGATGAGCATGCTGGGCCTGCCCTGGTGTGCTGGCAGCTATCAATCACGGTGGTGGAGCGAACCAGAAATGTCTACCACCGCTAGAAATTTCCTCCACGGTGCTGACTTAACCTATCTATTAAGAAAATACAATACTAGAAGGTACTCGGTAGAGGAAAGGAAAATCCAACCTAATTGTGTTCTGCTGTGCCAATGGCTACTCTGCACTAAGGACAGCAGGCAGGACTGCAAGGCTGGACCAGAGGCCACATGGCTGGAAAGAGACACCACTGTCTCTGTCTTCCCCACACACATGTGTCCTAGCTGCACCTGCCCCACACCCCACTGGCCTCCCTCACACCTCACCTGGAGTTCTTTCCTATCTACCCCCCAAGCTACTGCCCAATGGCAATTGTGTCCGTAGTTGCAAAAGTAAAATCTGTTTTGAATCTATTTGGTACTGCTATGTTTAAGCAACTGGTAACTAAGAAATCATTGCTAACTGTGGGTGCTGTGGGTCAAGCCTGTAATCCTACCTTCTCAAAAGGTTGACCTCTACAGGTTCAGAAGCCAACATGGTCAAAAGAAAGAGTAATGGGCTAGAGGGGGGTAGGGAGAGGGAGAGAGAGGGACAGAGAGAGAGAGGGAAGGAGGGAGGGAGAGGGAAAGATAAAGAGAAAAGGAAGGAAGGAAGGAAGGAGGGAAGGAAGGAAGGAAGGAAGGGAGGGAGGGAAGGAGGGAAGGAGGGAGGGAGGGAGGGAGGGAGGGAGGGAGGGAGGGAGGGAAAGAGAAAGAGAATAACTAAAATAAGATGTGTTCATCATGGCCTAAATAAGTTAGAACAATGAGGCAGAAGGAAATGTAGTAGAATCATAAGAACCTGTGTTCTCTAGGCAGCTATATTTTGATGTAATTTCATATACCACACAATTCACATACCTAAAGTGAACCAAATGATCATTTAATACATTCACAAAAATGTGCAATTCAAAAATGTGCAATTATTTGCAGATAATATTAATATTATTTCCTCAAAAATAAGCTATTGATCCTCTACCATTCCTTCGTCTCTGGACCTCTAAATACTAAACTGGATGAGAACTACTCAACTAGTTCTTATCTCTAGAGATATCCCTAATCTAGCTACTTGACCCAAATGAACAACATGACTCTAAGTCTTCCTCCCTGGCTTTACTCACTTCGCATGATGGCTTCAAGGTGCATCCATGTTGTAGAAATCACAATGTTCCATTCCTTTTACGGATGATAATGTTCCATTGAGAGACTGTTGCATATTTATTAGCCCTTTCCTCAGTGGACTGATATTTGGAAAAGGAAATTCTGCTTCTGTAATGAGGTTGTCACAGCATCATCTCTTTTTTGGGGTTTTGGTTTTGATTTTGGTTTTTGAGATTTGCTAGATCTTAGACTCTAGTTGGTCATGTGGTCCCCTAATCCGTGTTAAATGCCTTAAAACGTGCAGAGGCACACTCGTGTTCAGGAAGGAAGGGAGGGAGAGAGAGAAAAGTTCAGCTCTACTGAAAACTCAGTAGGAAGTTTAGCTTTCGCCAAAGACCAAAAGAGAAAGTAAAAACAAAAAACTAGAGCTTAGTTTAGGAGACCATAGAAGCATCGCCTGATTTCTGTAACCAGAAACTCAGTCTGGAAAATTACTTTAAAACAGAAAAGATGCTACTGATTATCCAAAACTCCCCCTACCTGGCCCAGAGCCTGGAGTAGACAAAACTGTTGAAGAGGGAAACATGTTAGAGGTATCACTTGAGGAAGACCATGGGCACTTGAAGGTGAATAGCAGCAATAGACAGTGGCAGGTTGTTAGCTTAGACTCCTTGGCTACCTATTGCCTGTTGAGGAACCAGAGCAATGAAAAGCATCAACCAATCCAAGCGTGCATGCTTTCAGTCATAGGATTTATTTTAGTTTGTGAAATTGAAAGGTGTGAGATATACAAAAACAAAGACAGGTTGTTGGTTGTTGGGTTTTTTTTTTAATCGTGTATCAAGCTGCTTAAACGTGAGTTTCTTGGTGGTATCTTTTCTCCATTATGGCCTTTGATGTTACTGCACAATTACTGTTGCAAAAGAAATACAGAAAAGTAGAAAAGCTACATTCTTACTATTATTGAAAGCCATCCAGTACTTCTTTGCAACTACAGCTAAAGCAATTAATTAATACAATCCTGTGTCAATCTGTGCTTAGAATTCAGAGCATTTATAAAGCAAAGATTATTTTTAATGAATAGTTTGTAATAGCCACAGTAAAAGAAAACTAAAAATGGGATGTATATGTTTCACTTGCAGCTTCAAAGCTTTACATGAGTAAAGGAAAACCACAGTCAAAGAAGAACACAAAACCAACAATACCAACAAGCAAAGAAAAAGAGAAGAGCACTTACTAAACCCCTCCAGTTCCTCTGGCCATTGTCCTGCTTACACTTGTTCAAAACCCATCAATTCATCAGCACGTGTTAAAGTGGTCTTACCTGATTTTACAGTATGCCATTGCTAAAAGATTTCACTGTTGATTCTGCAAAACCTTTGAGGTCTTTGTACTTGTTTTACTCTAAACCCCTATCCATCAGCACTCCGACTGATTCTACCTCTGCCTTGCCTCTCAAACTTTGTCCTTTCTCCTCTTAATCAATCCTGTATGGAATAAGTTCTTACCCGCTTCACTATTCTCCATTCTACCTATTTCCATTCTCTCTTGCTTATGCCAGGGAAATTTGTAAAACACAAACTTATATCAAACACTACTTTTATCATCTAAGAAATATTTTTGTACATTTTTTATTGTAAACCCCTGTACAGAGGGGTTACAATTATAAGCGCAAGGTAATGAGGACATTTCCTATTGGACATTGTTTTCCCCTTCCATCCCTTCCTTCTTCCCACCTCCACAACTATCTAAGAAATATTTTAACTATGTCCCTATTAATACAGGAGACAATTAACCCCTGATCATGACACACCAGACGTTTTTCTCCATTTTTCATTAGGACATTATCAAAAGGGACATTGGAAACAGATCTATAATGTAAAAGTCTTTCTTTTGAAATTATTCTAATGTCCTATTGTTTTTCTGCATTATGTCACTAAACATGTTAACACTTTTTTTCTTTTTTTCTTTTCTGTTTTTTCTTTTTATATTTTGTCGGTCATGGGGCCTGAACTCTGGACCTGAGCACAGTCCTTCAGCTCTCTAGCTCAAGGCTAGCACTCTACCACTTGAGCCACAGTGCCACTTCTGTCTTTTTCTGCTTATTTTGGTGCTGAGGAATTGAACCCAGGGCCTCATGCATGCAAGGCAAGCAGTCTACCACTGAGCCACCTTCCCAGCCCCAACTCTTTTTTCTTAAGCACTCAATGAATTTGGTTTTTACAATGATCTCTCCTTCTATCCCTCCCATAATAGATTGGGACAAAACAGCAGCAATTGGTGTTCTTGGAATTTAAGTCCTCCAATAACTCTTTTCCTTTACTCAGTAAAAGAGACATGGACTCTGCAGCCTCCAAGACTTCCAATCCCTTCAAGACTTTCAATGATGCTTGCTTCCCTGACCTAATCATGGATACTATACTTTTTTTTGTCAGTCATGGGTAGGGCTTGAACTCTGGGCCTGGGTGCTGTCCCTCAGCTCTTCTGCTCAAGACTAGTGCTCTACCACTTGAGCCATAGCACCATTTCCAGTTTTCTGATGGTGGTTAATTGGAGAAAAGAGTCTCATGGACATTCCTGCCCAGGCTGACTTTGAACTGCAATCCTCAGATCTCATCCTCCTGAGTAGCTAGGATTATAGATGTGAGCCACTGAAGCCCAGCTACATACAACACCTTTATCTAACTCTGATCCAGATAAACAGAACATCTTATGTCATCCAAGCCCTCTGGCTAATTTCTGGATTGGACCTTTCATGTGTTTGCAGAGCCACTCCTCTCATATATGTGTAGATAATTTAGCCAATAGTTTGTCTGTATAAATTAATATAGATGCTATAGAGGTGGAGTTGGAATAATCTATCCTCATCTCTGTGAAAGAATGAGTGTCTGCTTTAAACCTATTGCCAAGATGTGGACAATGGGGCTTTAACAGTGAGACATTTAAAAAGTGAAATGAAAGCCCTTCAGTCCTGTGTCTCTCAAATCTCCAATGATTGGTGACACACAAAGACACAGCAATCCATTGACTTCCAATCATATATGAATATAAGCAACTGGAAGAATTTTTCATCTAATGCTTTGTTGATATTTTAATTATTCTTACTTAGTTCTAGTGATAGACCTAATGTATAAAAGACCACAGATAAGCTGGATGCCAGTGGCTCACACCTGTAATCCTAGCTACTCAGGAGGCTGAGATTTGAGGATCACGGTTCAGAGCCAGCCTGGCAGGAAAATCTGTGAGACTCCAATAAACCACTCAGAAAGCCAGAAGTGGAGTGTGGAGTAGTGGCTCAAGCAGTAGAGTGCTCGCTTTGAGCTGAAGAGCTGAAGGACAGCGTTCAGGCCCAGAGTTCAAGCCCCATGACCAAAACAACAACAACAACAACAACAACAACAAAAAGACCATAGATCGCATCTTTTTTAGTCTTATGGTAAAGTGGGTGCACTTAAGCATTTGTCTTGGTTTCCAGGCAATATAAATCCCATTGCTAATACCCAATCACAGATCAGGCTGTATGAATCAAGATGGTTCTTAAGAGGTAAACTCAAGTCTGATGCCTTAAACTCCAATATTCTGTACACATGAGAAATTATTTAAATTCCTCATATTTGTTTCTTTATTTTTAAAGTAACGATAATAATAATCATGGGTTCTTATGAAGAAAGAAATGCATGTAAATGTGGAAAGACAATCTCTGGTTAAGTTACCAATTAGAGACTTAAATGAGAAAGCATAAAGTATACTATGTTCAGAGGTACTTTAAGAAAATATTGAAAATTTCCTTAAAACAATTTCATATTATAAGAATATTATCTACTAAATCTTTGCCTAGTATTATTTCTAAAACAATATAAAGCATGATTAACATTAAATGCTCTACCATAGGTTATTTCTTGGCAACACTGGGGCTTGAACTCGGGGCCTTACAATTGCTAGACAGGTGCTTACTAGTTGAGCCATGCCCAACCCTTTTTTGCTTTATTGTTTCATAGATTCGTCTGCTCTTTGAAGGGTTGGCCTACAACATAGTCTTCCTATTTATGCCTCCTATATAGTTGATATGACAGATAATGATTTGCCACCACATCTAGCTGCTTTTTTTTTTTTTTTTTTGTCAGCTGTGGGGCTTGAACTCTGGGTTTGGGCGCTGTCCCTCAGCTCTTCAGCTCAAGGCGAGTGCTCTACCTCTTGAGCCACAGCGCCACTTCTGGTTTTCTAGTGGTCTATTGGAGATAAGAGTCTCACGGACTTTTGTGCCCAGGCTGGCTTTGAACCGTGATCTTCAGATCTCAGCCTCCTGAGTAGCTAGGATTATAAGCGTGAGCCACAGGCACCCAGCTCAGCTTTTTTTTTTTTTTTAAGATGAAAGCTTTCTAAACTTTTGCCCAGGCTGGCCTTGAATTATAATCATCCCCAACTCTGCTCCCCAAATATAGGCATGAGATACTACACCCAGCAATTTTAATCATATAAAACTAACAAATAGGAATCAGGATGAGGAAACATAAAAGTAATAGTTTTTTATGCTATGGTATTATTTTAAAGATAAACTACTTCATAAGTGGTACCACTTTGTTAATAAAGTGATTGGTTTCAGTCACCTTTAACTTTGTGACTGGATAGTTTCCTCACTGTTGTCTTCGGACGGTAACCTAAATAAAAAAGATAGCATTAGTTTTAGAGTAATAAAACACTGTAACTGAGCAAAACTGAAAAAACTAAGAGCTAGATCTATATTGAAAAATCAGTCACTATGTACCAACTCCTGTTAGTGTCTCATATCTCACTCAAACATCATCATTCTAAGAAATGTTCCATATTTTTCAAATATCAAACTAACTTTCAAAGAAGTAAACCATTTCTGGTTTGCCAGTACTTGGGCTTGAACGCAGAGCCTTGCACTCTTATAAATTTTTCACTGAAGTCTAGTGCTCTGACACTTGAACCAGACCTCTATTTCTAGCTTTTTGCTAGTTATTTGAAGATAAAAGTCTCAAGGACTTTTCTGCCCAGGCTGGGTTTGACCCTGGATCCCTAGATCACAGCCTCTTGAGTAGCTAAGGTTATAGGAATGAGAACCCCACTGCTTAAAAATATCTTCTTTAAAATTTTCAAACTAAAAAAAAAAATTCCAACTAAAAATCTATTGTTTTCCTCCATGTTGCCTGCATTAATAACAGGGTGAGGCATTAATATATTTTATACTATTTCACCATATTTTAAAAGATATTTCAGCACATATCTTCCAATTCCTAAATTGCCATCTCTCAAATTATAATATTTAAATAATTATGTAAAGAAAAAATTACTTAAAAGATCATTTTCTTTTCATTGATAAGGCTCTTAATAAGGTCTTCCAACTATATTCAGTGACATTGTATGGTTTATTTGTCCTTTTGTATGTCTGAGACACACTTAAACACCCAGCTTCTGTTAAAGAGGAAGATCATGGGGCCTAGGATCCTATTAACAGCTACAACTCACTGGCCACAATGGTATCAAGTTTGGACATCTAACTGAGGGTTTTACATCCAAGCAGAACACTGAATAGTTTGGAAGCCCTTTCTACCTCCATAGTTGTTTGACAGAGAAGTATGAGGGAAAGTGTAAGCAGAGCAGCCCTAGAGGAGTGGACACAGACAGGAAGAGTTTAGGTCAATCACAAAGCTTTTAAGTGATTGAGAGATGGACTGTCTCCTGACAAGGCCATTAACATGATTTGTGTTTCATCTTTACTTCATTTCTTCTCCTTAAATCTCTGAAATTCTATGGAGTTGAAACACTGAGGCTGTTATGACCAGATTTTATCATTTTTAACCAGTGATCCATTGCTGTGACATTTCTCCCAAAAGTCAGACTTTTGGCAACTATTCAGATATTCCTCTGGTGTCTTATGTAATAATAATACAAGATGTAGGGCAGTTATCATTTAACTAAGTGGGTTTATAAGAATTTGATTATATAAAATGCAAAACATCCAAAACACTATTCTGAATTTAACCAGTTGCTATTACCCTTTAAAAGATACTAACTTATTTAAGAAATGGAAGTGTTTACAGAAAATTTATAACATTACTTTTATCTTCATCAGCACAAGTGAAAAAATAAGTGATTTTCCTTTTCAACAGATACAATGATCCTCACTTCAGCATTTTAAGTTCACTAAGTCTTCACTGAGCCAATTGTGCCTTTCATTGGCATTATGGTCAAGAGAAAAGCTGCACAATGCCTGAATTATAATTTAGCAACACACGAGCAATAATAATTATGTGCAAAATGTGGAAAGGTATAACTGTGTTTTATCACCATTCTGTGCTATTTTTTTCTTACTTTCTACCTATTCTAGTCTCAAACTTTGCATTTATGACTATTTCTGTTGACCTCCTTGTCACAAATGACCAATAATGTGAAAAGTAGTGTTACTTGGGAAGTTAACAGAAACTCGAACACAGTCAACATGTTTGCAAACTAAAAGATACCGTGGGTTTATTGGGTAGCTTTAACAGTTTTTGGCTTGAAGGGATATGAACCATACTTCATTAGCAGAAAGCTGAAATAAGCTCTGGTATATACTGAGACTTATTAGATACTCCTAACAATTCATCCCACTCAATCCATCCAAGGATTCATACTTATTATTACAAAGTTCATTCAAATTATTCCCATTGAACAGTTTTAATATTAAACATAAAATAGTACATTTACTTACTTTATACTTCCACTTGCTCTCGCTCTTTGCCCAAATCCCTTCATTTTATTAAATCGGACAAGAAGAATGGCAATTAAAATGAGAAAAGGTAGAAAAACATAGAAACCAACGAAAAGTTCATTGTTTTTAAGAGCTGGGCGCCACCAGTTTGGAGACAAGGACATTCTCCTCTCTGAAAATATAAGAGTACCTATTAATGTTTGAAAAACTATGATCAGATCAGAATTTGATTTATAAAAATATTGAATTCAAATAATACATTAAAATGGATATTTTTGACATTAGAAGGGTATTCCAATCCACAGAAACCTAAGCCACAAGGTCTATTATTTATGTCAGCTCAATTCAATTATTTATGTCATTGAGAATAAACTCATTTGCACTATAATAATGTATATCTTTGACAGAAATCTATATGTAAGTTCTGTGTATACCTTCCACCTAGCTATAGATATAATTAGAGTATCATAAAATTGAGATCATTTGTAGTTCTACATGTGCTATATGTTCCCTAGAAGAAGGCAAAATAATTCATCACAGAAAAATAAAACTTTCTACCTTAAAGTAATGTATCCTTTCAATTAATCCAGTAAGAATTAACTCCAGTCTTTAAAATCAGCCTTTGGAATGACTAAGCACACAAAAGTCAAGCGCTACCTTCAAAATGATAAGGTTAATGAAAATGGCCTTATGTTATTCATGTTATGTTGTAGACTTAAGTTATTCATGTTATGTTGTGGTGTTTTCTACCTCTGAACAAGGGAGTGAGGAAAGCTTTGTTTCTTTTTGTTGTTGTTTATTATCTTTACAAAGCTGGACAAAGGAGCTTCCTTCCCTTCCCTTGTTTCCTTCCTTCCTTCCTTTCTTCCCTTCTTCCTTCTTCCCCCTCCCCCTCTTCATTTTTTGTGCCAATACCAGACCTCATGCTTGCTCAGATGCCTTACCATTTGGGCTATACCTCTATCCTTGTTTTTTGCTGGTTAATTGGAGATAGTCTTGGACACTTTTCTGCAGTAGGCTGTCTTCAAACCTTGATCCTCTAAGTGTCAGCCTCATGAATAGCTAGGATAACAAGTGTAATCCTATAGCATGCCTAACAAGTTATATAAGCAGAGGATAGAGGTAAAGGCAGAAATCTTCAGGATACAGCAGTGACGAGGTGATCTTTTGGCAACTATTAAGACATTCCCTTGATGTCTCATATAATAATAATACAAGACGTAGGCCAGTTATCATTTAACTGAGTTTGTAACAATGCAATGATATAAATCAAGAGAATTAAGAGAACGTAAGTCATAGATTACAGACCATAGAAATGTGTGTGATCTTCTAAGAGTCCTTTGCAGTAAGATAAGATATATGCATGCAGTCTGAGACAACTTGAAGCTTAATATGGAGATCATTAATGGATTCAGAATCAAATGAGGACATTAGAGGCTGAGCTGTTCTGGGAAAAGTACATTAAGCAAACCCCAATTTCTCCACATTTTCATCAACATCGGTTGTCTATAGTTTTTATTATAATCATCACAGTGATGGTGCGGAGGTATCTCCTTGTGGATTTGATCAGATTTTTCTGAAGATATTGAGTATCTTCTCATGAGCTTATTGATCATTTATAAATTTTTCTGTGGAATTGTGTTAAATTAAATTTAGCATTCTGCTTGACTTATTCATGATTTTTATTATTGACTTAAAATGGTTATTTATTCTGGATATAGATTGCATGTCAGATATAAAATTTTCAAATAAAAATCTGAAAGAATGGGGAGAGGGCTTCCCATTCTCCTGTTTATCTTTGGCCTTCTTGGTTGTATCAATTACAAAACCTGTTGATTTTTATGGATTTCTATCTAATCTACTGGCTTTTAGTTTTGCTTGGGCTGAAGTATAACACACAACATATGCTATGCCAAAGCAACAAAAATCTACTCGTTTTTGTGTTCTTTGTATATTCATTATGGCAGTATGATCTATGGTCTCAGTTAATTTTTGTAAACAGAGTGATGTAACAGTCTGACTTCTTTCTTTTGCATCTGGATATCTACTTTGTTCCAAATTTGTTCCAATGATATTCTTTTCTCTAATAGAATTTTCTATGTATATGATCATGTTTTCTACAAATGAAGATGATTTTGTCCTCTTCAACCTGGTTACTCTATTTCCATGACTTACTAATTGCTCTGGCTAGGGCTTGAGGTATAAGTTAAACAGAAATAAGTGAGCATCTTCATCTTCTTCTAGATATTAGAAGAAAAGCTTTCATTTTTTTTCTCCATTTTGGTGTAACCTATAGATTTGACATATAACATTTACTGTGTTCATGTTTGTTCTTTCCATATTTAAGTTGTTGAGAATTGTCATCAATGTTTTATTTTATCAAATGCTTTTGTGTCTCTAGAAGTTGATAATATTATGTATTATTCTGTTAATGTGAAATAGAATATGTATTAACTTGTTTATAATGGACATTGTTGAACCACTGAGATGGATCCCATTTGTCTTTTTTCTAGATTTAAGGGAAATTATTCCATTTTCCTCATTAATTTGTACATGGTGGATGATCTTTTCAATGTATTGCTGAATTTGTCATGCAAGTACTTCTATTGAGGATTTCCCTGGATCAGAATCATAAATACATACAGATATATGTATGACTATTCAAATGTATATTACATATATATATATATATATATATATATATTTGACTATTCTAAGCACCACATATATCAAAACTATGAACAGTAACCCCTTAGCATTCCATGGAATATTATGAATGCTCAGAATGCATAGGAATTTAGTACCATACTAAGGATGCATGATTCATTTTTCCCTAATGCCACTCAACTTCCTCTAAAGATATACTGCCTTTCAACAAAACTAAATGATTTAAGCACAGTGGAGGATAACATCAGACTGACAGAGAGTTCCCCTGCATCTACTGAGCTGTGTAATACATATGGGGGAATTTTAAATATTTATTTTTTACATTTCTTTTTTTTTTAATTTTATTTTATTTTATTTGAGAACATACTGTACAGAGGGGTTACAATTACATGGGCAGGATAATGCGTACATTTCTTACCAAGCATTGCAGCCTCCTCCTTTGTTTACCCTTCACCTCCCTTCCCAGCCTCCCCCCTCCCTCCCACCCAATCATACCCCCCCTCCCCCCCCCCCACCGACATTGTAAAGCTGGTTTTGACATTTCTTTTGATTTCTAAAAGAAGTACTTTTTACTGTGCTTGGTTAAAACCATGTGTAATTTGATTTAATGCAGATTTAATGCCGTGTTGGTTATATTATCACTGGTTGTTAAGGTCCTTACTTCGTGTTCATATTGTAGCATGCATGAATTGTAATTTCATTCTATTTAAGAAAAAAATAATATTCTATTGTATTTATGTGTCACATTTTATTTATTTACTGCCAAACAGTTTTTCCATATTTTACCTCTTGTAAAAGTACAAATACCTATTTGAATTCTCAGTTTCAACATTTTGGGGGTATACACTTGGGTGTGAAATTACAGAATAATATGGTAATTCTATGCTTAATTTTTTAAACTACAACAATGTTTTTCCAAAGGCTGTATCACTTCACATTCCTACAAGCAATGGAAAAGAGTTCCTCTTTTTCTATATAGTGATCAACATTTAATTTATTTGGATTTTTATAATAGCCGTCCAGAATATGTAATTGTTTATATCATTTTAGTTGTTACACTCATTTCCCTAAGCATTGGTAACATAGAATGTATTTCCTGGGGTTATTGACCATTCTCTACTTCTTTGAAGAATAACTATTTAAGTCCTTTGCCCATTTTTATTATTGTGCTTTAGTCCTTTTTAACATGTTATGAATATTAATCCCTGATTAGATCATGATTTACAAATATTTCTCCCATTCTATGAGTTGTCTTTTCACTGTTCATGGTAGCTTTTGATGCATAATAGCTTTAAAATACGATGTACTCTAATGTTTTTCTTTTTAACTGTGCTTTCCAAATTCAGTGTCATATGGTTTTCCCTTATGTTTGCCTCCAAGCATTTATGGTTTTATCTCTTACAAGTTATTAATAGTGAATTTATATTTATATATAATGAAAAGTCAAAATTCATTTTGCATAATATGAACATATAGTTATACAAATGAAATTTATGAACCGGGCACTTGGCTCATGCCTGTAATACTAGCTATTCAGGAGGCTGAGATCTGAGGATTGCGGTTCAAAGCCAGCCTAGGCAGGAACATCTGTGAGACTCTTATCTCCAATAAACCACTAGAAAACCGGAAGTGGTTCTGTGGCTCAAGCAGTAGAACGCTCACCTTGAGCTGAAGAGCGCAGGGACATCGCCCAAACCCAGAGTTCAAACCCCACGGCCGACAAAAAAAGAAAAAAATGTATTTATAACACTGACCTTCCTCAGCTGAATGATCTTAACACTATGATTTTACCATATATATATATATATATGTATATATATATATATATGGTATATATATATATGTATATCCACATATATACATATATATATATATATATGGTAGAAAATCCTTATATGTCTGCGTGTACATGGATTTGTATCCTACCTTCTATTCCACTTGAAAATGATTTTTTTGTCTTTTTAGTGTAGGTTTTGTTAAACCTTCAAGAATCTAAGTTTTTAATGTTGTGAAGAAAATTAACGGAGGATGACATTGATTAAATTGTTGTAACGAAACAGCAAATATAAAATGTCTCTCATAATTATAATCTTAGTCTATTTAGACTCTAAGAAAAATGTCATATGCTTATAAACAGCAGAAATTATGTTTCACAGTTTGGGAAACTTGTGAGTCCAAGATCAAAGCATTGGTAGATTCGATTTTTAACCTGGACCTACTTCTTCATTTGTTGATGTCCATTTTCTCACAATAACGTCACATAGTATAAAGTATGAGGAAAATCTCTGGGGTTTTGTTTACAAGAACACTATTCTTATTCGTGACCTCTCATCACCTCCACATACCATTACATTAGAACTAGGCTGTGACATGAATTTCAAAAGCATAAAAATACAAGTAATGTTGATCATATAAGTAAAATTTCAGATTATAAGTCTTCAGATGCTGCCATCACAATTTTTCTCCAAAATGTTTCCACCTATTTCTTTCTTTTTTTATGTCCTCAGACTTGAACTCAGGGCCTGGGTACTGTCACTGAACTTTTACATTTAAGGCACAGAATAGCAAAGAATACTAGACTTCAAATAGTAGAATGCCAATATAGCAATTGTGAGGGCCTGAATTCAAACCCTGAAACTCCTAAATGTCTTTTAAAAGAAAAAAAAATAGATATATAAAGCTGATTTAATCTGGGCATTGGTAGCTCACACTTGTAATCCTCACTACTCAGGAGGATGAGATCTGTGCATCATGGTTTGAAGCCAGCATGGGCAGCCAAGTCTGTGAGTCTTATCTCCAATTAACCACCAGAAAACTGGAAGCGGCTCTGTTGCTAAAAGTGGTAGAGTGCTAGCCTTGAACAAAAGAGCTCAGGGACAGTACACAAGCCTTCAGTTCAAGTCCTGACTGACAAAAAAAGAGAAAAAGAAAAACACACATATTGTTTTAGTTACGCATGTTTAGAAGCTAAGTAAAGTTCCATAGCAAACACTGAGTTTTCTGTTTAATTAAAAAATTGTCTGATCTGAGCACTGGTAGCTCAAACCTGTAATCCTAGCTACTCAGGACGCTGAAATCTGAGGATTAAGACTCAAAGCCAGCCCTGGCAATAAAATCCATAAGTCTCTTGTCTCTAATTAGCCACCAGAAAACCTAAAATGGACCTGTGGCTCAAAGTGGTACAGCACTAGTCTTAAGCAAAAGATGCTCAGGGACTGAGTACAGGCCCTGAGTCCAAGCCCTATAAACAACAACAACAACAAAATTATCTCTAAAAATGATATTGCATCACACTGCCATATTAACTTATTCATATATACAGTTAAAAATGAGATTGCTATCCTGGCATGTCTGACTCACAAGTCCAATCCTCATGCAGGTATTCAGGTATAGAATTCTAACGAAAAAAGCTTGATAAAATCAAATAGGCAATATTTATTCATGACTGTTCACTTAAAATTTTTTAAATGGTTAGTATCATTTAATATTCATACATTGGGGGAATGTAAGATTTGTGTATTTTTTCCATTTCATAATACATTTAATTTTAAACATGTAACTTGGTCATACATGAGCACATCAAATATACAGCACCCTTGGAAAATACAGATTGTAAAATTAATAAAACTATTATATTTTCTATAATTCAAGTCTATCTACAAAATGCTGCTGTAGAAACATAAATGCTCTGTTAACCATGATTAAAATTAAAAATAATCATTCCAGGTGACTTTAAAGTGTGTATACAAAATAGCCACACATGGTTATTGACAAGTAAACTGAAGAAAGTTAAACACAAATATCAGTGCTCAATTGTCCTCCCTACATGTCAGCTGCGGGGGGGGGGGGGGGGGGAGGGTAGGGATAGTTACATAAGACAGCAAAGATGAAATATAATAAACTTGTATGAGCAAATCTCATAGCATGGCATTGGACACTAACCATTGGACAGTAACTCATCATTGAAGCCGCCACCTGGTGATGATGTTTCTTTGCAGCTTGGAGGGGAATATTCAGTATCACAATGACAATTAAGTTGATTATTGCAAACCTAAAACCAAATCCAAATAAAATCCCAAATAAGAACATTTTGTACATGGCATAAAAAAGAATGACTTTCTTATGCTTGTTAGACCAAGTAAATTATGAAACTATTTCAATGTATATACTCCTTTAATGTGGAAAATAAAATTAAAATTGATATAATAAGTATAAATCTCATCTCTAAACCAAGTGTTAGTGGCTCATTTCCTTAATCCCTGCTACTTAGAGGTCTGAGATCTGAGAATCACTGTTTGAAGCCAGACTAGGCAGAAAGTTTATGGGACTCTTATCTTCAATTCATCACACAAAGCTAGAAGTGGAGCTGTGGCTCAAGTAGTAGAGTACCAATCTTGAGTGAAAAAGCTAAGGGACAGTGCTCAAGAGTTCAAGCCCCAGTACCAGCACATACATACACTAATATCTTATCTTTATGTGAAAACTATTGTCTCTGGCCACACATTTAAAGCCAGGTGCATGCTTGTAAAAAAACAAACAAAAAAAAAAAACTTCTGTAAATCCCGTGGATAATTTCATAACAGATGGACAAATAAAAGTATAAGTTAAGAGCAGCATCATTAATTACTAAATAAGTGTAAGTTAGTAGAAGAGATTAAACTAGTCTAGCCAGAATACGAGGAAAGGCCAATTTTTATGCATGAGCAAAAGATGTGGTAACATAAAATGGCATAAAACTTTGTCAGATAGTATACTGTACATGAAAATATTTCACCCATTATATTTAATTGTTAATGATTTAAGGGAGCAGATGACTGTGAGTACACAGCTGTATCTGTTGTACTAGTGCTAGTGGTCTTGTTTGTGCTTGTGTGTGTATGCCAATACTAGGGCTTGACCTTGACCTGAGCGCTGTCTTTGATATTCTACCACTTGAACCACAGCTCCATTTCCAGCCTTTTGGTAGCTTATTAGAGATAAGTGTCTCACAGACTTTCCTACTCAGCTGTCTTAAAACTATGATTCTCAGATCCCAGCCTCCTGAATAGCTAGTATTACAGCTGTGGGCTTTCCAATCAACTTTTAACACTATTTAAAAGGCCATGAGTGTATGAATTTTTTAGAAGATCCATAAAAGGAATAAATTGAAACTATTGAAGATGAAATAGATAGGAGTGGATGACAAATTCTGATTCAGTGATAAGCAATGTATACATTAAAACACATTAAGCATATGAGAATTCATAAACATATAAGGTATATACCTACTCATTTGAAACAACATCTAAACACATGTATAAACATACAATATATGTGCAAGGCTTAATGAAGTCAGTTCTAAACTTTTATATGCTTAAACTGATACTGTGTTACTGGGGCTTGAACTCAGGACCTGGGAGCTGTTCTTACCATTTTCAATCAAGGCTGATACATACTACATGCTTATAAAGTTCAAAACCTATTTGCTCAGAGGGATTACGACAGTCAAATAGTAATCATAAATGATGTACATCCTTGTTTGGTTGCAATTTTCCAAAAGAAATTTCTACATTAAATAACTCTGATCTTTATGATCCCAGAAAATGTGACTGGTGTAGGTTGAAATAACTTTATGTAAGAGACAAACTTTTACATACCTCAGTTCCTTGACATTTTTTCTTTGAGTTAAAATTTGGTTCACTTGAAAAATTCAAAAGCTTGCACTGTCCTCCAAGACAAACCTGAAAAACATGTGAAATTAAAAATGTTAAAGAATTCAGCAAAATAAAAGTGAGGTGACTCACACCTGTAACCCTAGCTAATCAGGAGACTGAGATCTGGGGATCACGGGTTTCAAAGCCAGCCCAGGCAGGAAAGTCCATGGGTCTCTTATCTCCAATTAACCACCAAAAAGCCAGAAGTTGAGCTGTGGCTCAAGTGGTAAAGCACTAGCCTTGAACAAGAAAGCTCAGGGACAGAGCCCCGTCCTGAGATCAAGCCCCAGGATAGACACATATACAAAAAAGAAATGAAAAACTTTAAATTTGAGAAATCATATTTGGCACAGAGGTTGTATACAGGGGTAATACACACAACACACCTATTTATATTTCATAATATCTACTTAGTCAAATAAAATATCAAGATACTATGCTATTACTTTATAAAACATTGAATTTTGCAGAAGAAACTACTTTTTCCTTCTAGGAGCAGAGCTGTTTATTGTTTTGAATTTGATAAAAAACAAGCAGAGTCAATGTATACTAAATACCTTTTATGACTAGAGACTGGGTTTTTTTTGCAGGAACTTTATATAATGTACCCATAAAAATCATGATAAGTGGGCTGGGAAGGTGGCTCAGTGGTAGAGCGCTTGCCTTGCATGCACTCAGCACCACATAAGCAAAGAGAAAAAGCCAGAAGTGGCGCTATGGCTCAAGTGGTAGAGCACTCGCCTTGAGCTGAAGAGCTGAGGGACAGCGCCCAGGCCCAGAGTTCAGGCCCCACGACCGGACCCAAAAAAAATAAAATCATGATAAGCTATTTTATATTCATTTTACATTTCATTAGAATATGACAATCATTTTTCAATACAAAAACTGTTTTTAATATATATTTTATTGTAAAGATACTGTACAGAGGGGTTACAGTTACATGAGCAAAGTAATGAGTACACTTCCTATCAAGCATTGTTACCCCCTCCTTTGTTTTTCCCCTCTCATCCTCCCTTCCCTCCTCACCTCTCCAACTTCTCCCTCACCCCTTCCCCCCCACCCTGCCCCAGTTACAATGGGTCAACTCGTATCCCTATTTCAGCATTTTGTTATTTCCCTTCTCCTCCCCCAATTAGAAAAATGTGTATACAAGATGCAGAGAACCGGAATCAAATACAGTGAATACAGGAGTTATACCACGGGGGAAGAACATACAAAAGAAACAAAAAAAAAATCACACAGTACGTTATAATTACATTAAAAACAGCAGCAACAAAAAAACTGTTTTATGCGCTAATCCCAGTGACCCACATCTGGGTTTCTGTTATACTTACCTAGTTTCCTCCAACTTTCACACAAGTAATAGGACCTGGAGCAAGTTACTGAATCTTCCCATATATTAGTTCCTATATAATCATTCTGTTTATCTATCCGTCTGTCTGTCTGCCTGTCTGTATTAGGGATTGAACTCTGGGCTGAGGTACTGTCCATTACCTTTTTTCACACAAGGAGGGGGCTCTACCCTGTAAGCTATAACTCTACTTCAGGCATTTGGAATGTTAAATGGAGCACAATAATATCACCAACTTAGAGTGCTGTTCAATTAATCTTGTCCAGGTGTAATTATTTGTCTTTTACTGTCCATTGGGTTTATTTGTAGATTTGTAGGCACACTCTAATTATTACAAGTGAGAGAAAACATGCAGCCGACATTTCTTTGGCTGTGGCTTACTTCACTTAGTATAATTTTTGCCAAGTTTTTCCATTTCCTTACAAATGAGCAGTGTCATTCTTTCTGATAGAAGCATAGAATTTCATTATGTATATATACCACATTTTCTTGACCCATTCATCTACTGCAGGGCATCTGGGTTGATGCCATATCTTTGCTATGGTAAACAATGCTTTAATAAACATGGTCATCCTGGTGGTCTTAATATGACCTGGTTTGTGGTCAGTTGGATAGGTGCCCAGGAGTTGGATTGCTGGATCATAGCGGAGCTCTTTATTAAGTCCTTTGAGGAACTTCCATACTGCTTTCCAGAGTGGTAGAACAAATTTACACTCCCAGAAACAATGTAGTAGAGTTTCCTTGTCTACATCCCCACCAGCATCTGTTAGTCTTCTTGATAATGACTACTCTGACTGGTGTGAGGTAGAATCTCAATGTTGTTTTGGTTTGCATTTCTTTAGAACAGAGGAGGATATTCTTAGGAAAGGATCACAAGGGCTCAATAGCTAAGTACATAGATAATATAAAATGATATTTTTTGAAATGGATTCCAAGAAATAGACGTAAGAGTTTTTTTAATTATACTGTTCCTAGGTTTTTTTTCTTTTCTGCTTCCTTTTTTCTTTGGTTTATTCACTTCTGCTGCCATTTTTTATTTCTATACCCTTTGTCTTGTATAGAAGTTTATCTAATTTGGAGAGGGGAAGTAGAAGTGCAGAAACAGTGGGACAAAGGGTAAACCAATTCAGCAGTGAAACTCACTAAACACTATGTGGGAAATGAACTTTACAACTTTGGGGGTGTGGGAAATCAGGAGGGGAAAAACTGGAAAAGAATGACACTGTTCAAAGGGAAATGTACTTATTACTTGAATCCTGTAACTGTAACCACTCTGTATATCACTTTTACAATGAAATTTTTAATGGTAAATATTCAGGCAAAAAAAGAATATTACAGACTTCCTTTCCTGGCTTATTTCAAACCACAATCCTCAGATCTCAGATCACTGAATAGTTAAGATTATAGGTATTCCATATATTCATATTTGAATTCATATTATATTATACTTATCTTACAGGTTACAAGGGAAAATAGAGATTAAAAAACTGAGCCACTCCAAACCAGAGGTGGTTCAGAAATTTCTTTGAAGAAAAACTTAGTGTTTGTATAAGAGGAACATAGTAGTAAAAGAAATACTATATTTGATTGGTTATTACCACCTATCTTCTTTAATTTTTCTGCTGGAATGTCCCTAAATCAAGGCATAATTAAGTTTGCTATTTCTGATTCTCTAATACAGGCATTTATAAGAAATACCTTGAAATACATTTTGCTTGTTTTACCTATTTTTCCAAGATAAGCAAAGTTAAGATCACTTAGAAGGCCTAACTGCCTTTGTCTGCTCTGAGATTCTTCAGACAGAATCTCTTTTTAATTTACTTTAACATCTTAAAAGTTTCTTTGTTGTCTATCACCATGGATAAATGGAATAAAAGCCAGCTTGTTCATTAACTGAGTATTCTGCCATGAAACCATTAAGAATGCCGTTTTGGCCCAGTCATCATTACTTATAACAAAATAATTTTCATTCTATCATTGAGGCAACAATAACTGCTTAGTCAAAATTCACTGTGCAAATAATTTTTTTTAAAAAAAAGATCCATGTTTCAGATGCAATTTCCTGCAATAAACAGACCAATGTGCAGTGGCTCCTCAATAGTGAACAAAAAAGTTTGAAAGACACCAATAAAGTACTTGGGCATACTTAATACTTAGGATGATGTTTGGAATGTGAATTCATGCATGTAATTTCCTTCTGTAAACAAGAGATACAAATAGTATCCTAGAGTCAGTAACACAGTGGTTGGGAGGGTAAAGGGAATAGAGCTATCTTGAAAAATGTACTTTGTCAAACACACCCTAATTTTTCTTCTAGTCTTGTAGGTAAGAATAGATAAGAAATAAGTTAATTATTCACAGTCTGCCTCATCTTTCTTATTGTATATTAATTGTACAAAGTAAGAAGTCTCATATTTTCATGCATATATAATGTAAATTATACCCTCTATATTGTTCTCATTTCTCTATCCTATTATATCTTCTCCTTCTACCTCCCCCTTTTACTTTCATGAGTGTTTTTTTTCAATTTAGGGGTGACTATTTAAAGCTTAGCTACCACAAGTAAAAGAAAATATGCAATATTTCGCTTAACATGACACAAAAGAGATTTTAGTGAAGAGACAGCCTGATGAATCAGAGGATTTTTTGCCAAGTATTCCTAGTAAGCAGTAGGATGTTCCCTAGTGATTACTTCAATCTTTTTACTTGAGATTATCTTTCCCCAGTCAGAGATACTTTGCTATTCTCTTGCATTTTTCTGTTGGCATTCATCTCTTTAAATACTACATCTACATGTAAACTATCTGTATCAAAGTAAGTGATAATTATACACTTTTAGTTAGCCAACTAATTTTTAACATGACTAATTTGTCTTTTATTAAGTTTCCAGCAACTTTTATGAAAAATAAAATAAAAAGCTTTAACATTTTATTTTATTATTTTAATATTTTATTATTTCCTTCTTATAGAAGGAAAAATTTTATTATAAATATTGTTTTAATGGAAGTATTAGGAGGATAGGTTAATAATTAAATGTCTTACTTTAATTATAACAAATTAATTCTTTTCAATTTGTGGAAGATTAAAATTCTTATTCTTCCTTAATACTATTATTATTTAGGAAGCACTGACAACCTCAGATTTTGGTCACATTTTTGGTATATTATTTGATCCTTTTTTGTTTATGGATTATATAAATTATTGCAGAACAGATTTTGGAATAAAAAGGCCTACATTCTCAAGTATGAGAAAATAAGTTTGTATTTCTGCACCAAATTCCTAATATGAATGATATTGAAGAAAAAGTTACTTCTTATGGCAGAAATTCTAGTCTTTCTAACTAAAAATTATGATGCAGTAATAAAAAATTTTAACACTATAAATGTAAATATCAAGGTGTTTCTGCACACACAAATTTAAATATCAATTCATTGTGCCTAATACTAAGCAAAAACTGCTCTTACCTTATTTGGACCACAAATGGCACCATCATATACATAGGTATTATCTTGTTTTCCAGAAGGTCGTAACTGTGCAGCTAAACACACGTGACCTGCTAAGTATGGCATATCATAATCTGAAATTGAAAGGACTTCTGAACTTGTCCACTGACAAACAATCTTCCCACAGAGAATAAAACTGGAAATATAAAGAGGAAAAAGTTACTTACTTATCACATACATGTGTAATGTATTAAGTAAATAACACTCAAAACAAAAGCTTAATTTAACATGCAACACAGACACCAAAGCTAAACTACCTGTGAACATGAGGCTCAGCTCTAGCTTGTGCACTGGCTCTTTCCAGTGCACACAACACGTATGCATGAAAAATCTATAATTTTCTAAATACATACTTAAAATTACATCTTTCGAGACAGTCTCCAAATTTTCCATTTTGAAAATTCACTTCTTCTGAACACAAATAAGAAGACTCGCTAGCATCTGACACAGAAAAAAGATTCCAATTACTCATATTAAAAAGTCACTGGAAGTTTTTAAAGGTTTAGGAAGTAAATTAAAGAGATATGCAGATAGTACTCATTGAGTGTCATGTACCATCTACTGTCTAAAGAGAGAATTCTGTACTTTCATGCAGAAACTATTGAGAAATCTGTAATTTCTGTTTCTAAATAAAATTTCTTCTACCCATCACCCCCATTATGACTAATACCTTCTTTTTATTCTGTAGCTAAGGTCCATTTTATCTACTGACAGATCAAAGTTGCTTTGATTTACAATTTTATTTTCAAATATAGATTAAAATAGCGTTTCTTAGATAGTTGTAACAAAGATTAATGACTTTAAAATAACTACAGTTTAGAAATAAACCCCAGGAAAACAAAAGACACAACTAGTACATTTTCCAAATAACTCTATACACTGTCTATCTGGGTCTCGGCAAATTCCATGAAAACAATAGGCACTCTTATTATTGCATGGTCCTAAATCAGTAGTTATCACATCAGGTACACAAAACTCAGATGATCCATCGCAATATTCTGGAAAATCACACAGATCTCTACTTTTCCGACACAATTTTCCTCTGCCAGATACCTGGAAGAAAAAGAAGATATATAGATACATATAGACTTGTCAGGGTGAGTTAGGTTTTCATTCACTGTCAAAGACTGGTATGTTTTGAAATATCTCACACTATGGAAAACAACACAAAAAGATATTATGCCTTGCTGATACAACATAACATCTGAGAAAACTTCTATGACAACAGACACCACCCAAAAAAAGACTATCTAAAAGATAACTAGAATAAACATTGAGGAAGCTCCATTCATTTTCTATGAACATTCCTTCAATATTTGTTCATTTTACTTTGCTTAACCTTTCATCAAGATAAAGCAAGACAAAATTTGTATAGTGTGGTAACAATGATTTTATTGGACTATCTAAGTATTGGTTGGAAACATGTTCATTACTAGTAAATATGAGCCAATTAGCTGGGTTTCATTACTGTCTTTCCTATCTTTACACATGAAGATATGACTAAGCAGGGAAATTTATGATAAAAATCATTGGATCAAATATCTACATTTTTGTCAAGCAACTAAAAGCCTTTGGACTAGATCACAAGTCATTTTCTATGCCATAGCTGTGTGGTAGTGGCTCATGCCTATAATTCTAGCTACTTGAGAGACTGAGATCTTCACAGTTTGAAGACAGACTAGGCAGGAAAGCCGTAAGACTCTTCAGTTAACCACCAAAAAAAGACAGAAGTAGAGCTTTGGCTCAAATATTAGAATACCAGCCTTAAACAAAAAAAAGTCTAAGGGTCAGTGTCTGGGCCCTGACTTCAAGTCTCAGTACTGACACACAGATACACACAAAGACACACACACACACACACAAAACACAAATCTATGCTGCAATGCACAGTGAAATCAATGAGAACTGACATAATAGATTGAATTGTTATTGTTGTGGTCTTGCTTAATTATGTATAAGGTGAATTTTCATTCTAACAGCCTGTTAGAAAAGTTTTAGTCCTCACGATGAGCAAAAATTAATTTATATTGTACCTATATGTAATTCAATGATTTCTACCTCAAAAGATGCCTATTCATTTTACATAGACTCCAATTTACAAGAGAACACAATATCAAGTTGATTTTCCTCCACAGAGACTTTAGGAGAATTTTATTTCAACAAGAGCACATGCCTTTTGACTGTTATTTTAAAATATTTTTCTATGAAAAGAATTTGGAGATGTGAGCTGTAACATCATTTATTATTTATTTACTTCCAAGCATTTTAAAATATATGTTGTTGCTATTTATTATTTGGATTATTCTTTGGGGGAAAGAAACAGAAAATAAAGGCATTAGTTAAAAGGTAAAAAAAAAAAAAAAAAAAAAGAAAAGTTTTAGTCCTCAAAATGTCCTTACTGGGTAACAGAAGACAAGTTCAGGGTGGAGGGAAAAGCAGCAGTCAGTTCCTATGAAATAGAAACCCTAAGCTGGCCTCTACACTAATGCGTCTCGAGAACAAATACTCAATGAGTTTAGTCACTAGTCCACAGACAGAAGAGCCCATTGCCAGACCTACACATTGTGTTTGATATTCTGCCTTTGTGTTAGCTCTTCTACATAGATGCATTTTTTATAGTTTTGTAGTTTCTAAAATGAGAGTGGTTGTTGTCTGTTTGTCAGAACAGTCCAGTCAAGTGTGTGGGTGTGAGTATAGTTTGGATATGATTTTAGACCAATTTGTTTGATCTTATCTATATTCAGATACAACCAAGAGGAACTACTGGCCCTCGAGTAATATGGAATTGGTATTATATGGAAGAATTGAGTGGGCCCTCAGAATGGATTAAAACTACACAGGTAACGTGAAGGTAGAAAAAAGGCAGAAAGTTACTTGAAGACATCCTCTAAACTGGAAATTGAGCATGCGTGAACTGAGTTTCTGTTGTTTGTCATCAGAATTCACTGATTAATTCAAAACAAATTAGATGATATAATACATTTTTTAAATCCTTAGTCTAAGATATGGCTTGCCTACATGTTCAAGGCACATGGGGTTTGATCTCCAGCACTGAAAATAAGGAACTCTTAGTATCTACACTGGTATGGAATAGTACATACCCTCTATATAAACATGCTCCAGGGAATGAAGGACAGAAAAGAAATGGGTATTTGTGATTAAAAATGAAACCAAGTCAGGTGCTGTGACTCAGGAAGCTGAGAAGTGCAGAAAGCTGAGACTAGAAGGATTGAGGTTTGAGACCAACATCGGCAAAAAGTTCAGGAACCCCATTTCAACAATGAGTGTCTATACTCACAGTTATAGTAGAGAGCTTAAAAAAGGATTGTTTGTCAGAATGACCCCAGGGAAGAAAATTAGGGCTTATCTCAAAAATAACCAGAGCAAAAAGAGCATTGTTGCTCAGATGTTACAATGCCAGTGCCTGCCTAGCACAAAACCCTGAGAATAGGAATTAAACAAACAAAAATTCTACCATGTAAAATATACATTAAAATGTTTGAAAAAGATTTCAAAGATGTGTTCAAAAACAGCTGAGAAAGGCTATCTACCAATACAACATTTTCACAGAAGAAAACAATGTGAAATTGTGAAGCCTTACCTGACAAGTTTTTTTATTACAACATGGCCCGGTGCCACACTGGGCAAGTCCAATCAGAGTACAGGCTGTAGGATTGCAGCACTTCCTAAAAGCACATGCCTAAAAAGAGAAAATACAATCAAATTAGGCATAAGGATTTTCAGTCAACTATACAACATGATTTATTTTAAAATATAGCCACATATGTTTTAATCAGTCTATAGACAACCTCTGGATCCAGGCACCATATCAAAAATAGACTTCATAGGAGATATGGTCCCATAAGACTATGAGGGAGTCAAATATTCCTCCTGTCTGGTGAAATAGTGGCCTATGCAATCATACAAAAGGCAAGTACATAAGTCCACAGAGTGACAGACTATATAATACTTCAGAAAGACAAAAAACCTATGCTATTGGTTTGAGCACATATTATGTTATGTATCATTATTTTAGAATGAATTCCTCCTACTTATCAAAAGTTTAGTCAGCCCTAGCTAGTCTGGAGGCTGAGATCCGTAAGATCACAGTTTGAGTTCAACCTGGGCAAAAAATGTTCACTAGATGCCATCTCCAAACTTATCAGCAAAAGGCCAGGCTGGAGTTCTGGCACAGTGGTAGAGTGCCAGACTAGCCGCACAAGGTCCTGAGTTTAAACCTTAGAACTGGGGTTAACTTAAAATTTTAAGTTGAGCACCAGTGGTTCACACTTATCATTCTAGCTACTAATGAGGCTTAGATCTAAAGATCATAAATTCAATGCCAGACTAGGCAGGAAAGTCTATGAGACTCTTATCTCTAATTAACCACCAAAATAGCCCTGAGTTCAAGCGTTAGTTCTGGCACACACAAAAATTAACTGTAACAGAGTCACAGGCAGGTCTCTCAGGAGGTATTACAAAGGATGCAGCCATTGTCACCGTAGGAAATGACAGCTTCATACAAGAGGGAATAAGACTTGATTGTAGAAGATAGCAGTACTAACTGTGATCCTGTAGATGCCTAGGCACATATGTCTGTTACTTTTGTCTTAGTTCTTGCCCTTTTTGCATAAAAGTTAAGAATAGACAAAAGACTGTAGAAAAATACAGAAACTATCTTATGCAGCTTTGCAATGTTTATTAAATCAAATATTATTACAAGAGTCAAAGACTTGAAAATGCACATTTATAAAGTAAATGCACTACACAGTAAAATAAGGTTCACATTTTATTACCAAAAGAGAATTTGTAAACTCAGTCTACAGTAAGAACAAAATGTTTACACATTCTTCAGACTGTGACATCCTAGACCCTGGCACTCACTCACCAATCACCAGAACTTGCCCACAGAACTTTCTAGTCTTGCAAGCTCCATTCATGGTATTGTCTTTATACCATATATTTGCTATATCTTTTCTGTGTTTGTGCATGTTTAGATACACCAATACTTTTCATTGTGTTACAATTGTCTACAATAGTCAGTCCAATAACAGGCTGTGCAGGATGACAGCCTACAAGAAATAGGTACCATACAGGTGAGGTGTGTGCTAGGCTCTATTATTTAGGTTGGAATGGTCTAAACAACAATAACATTACCCAGTGGTGTAGAAATTATCTCCATTTTAAGTGATACATGACTGCATACTGAAATATAGCTCTAAATCGACTGGTTTTTAACTTGCATATATATTGTAAACTTTAATACTACATTAGAAAGAGGGCATTATGCTTCAAGGTACAAATAATACAAAATTATCAAGAAAATTAATGATGGGAGATTAACTATTCCATTGAGGAAAAAAGTAAAAAATTCAATGACATGAAAGGTAAATTAAAAAAAAAAAAACTAGTATCAAAACTTGATCGTAAGGTAGAAGCAAAGTATCAAAACTTGATCCTAAGGTAGAAGCAAAATTAGATCATTCACATTAGGTGATAGGAAGTTGAGTTTTAATGATTATTTTAGGAATGGAACCCCATTGACATGGTTTCAGTATGGTCTATGCTCACCAAAGCTCACGTGGAGGCTTGGTCACCAAGGAAAGTTTTGAGAGGTGCGGGATCATTAAGGCTGCTCTCATAAACTGGGTTAATGATGCTAAGGGTGGCACCAGCTCTCCCACAGTGTCATGGGATGAAGCTGATCGTGCACTGGCACTGGCAACATGTTCTTGGAACTCCCAACTTCCACAACTCTGTAACTTATCCATTCTGTCAGACTTCATTACATATAACAAGAAAATACAAACTGGAAGTCACACATTGGTAAAATAGATAGGTGCAATTCATCACTAAGAAGTTTAAGAAATCAAAAGTATTCCTCGATCCTCAGCACTACTTAGAAAAAGGGTATTTTCTTACTCCTCCTGAACTTTTTTGTGTGTGTAAGTCATGAGGCTTGAACTCTGGGCCTGGGCGCTGTTCCTTTGCTCTTCAGCTCAAGGCTAGTGTTCTACCACTTGAGTCACAGCGCCACTTCCGGCTTTTTCTGCTTATGTGGTGGTGAGAAATCGAACCCAGGGCCTCATGCATGCAAGGCAAGCACTCTACCACTGAACCACCTTCTCAGCCACTTCTTCTAAACTTTTTATTAAGCATTTCATTATTTAACATCTTGTATATTTTGTAATTTAACTATTTAGGTTGACAAAAACTGAAATGTTGCCTGCTGCTGGTTCACACCTATAATTCCAACTATTTAGGAAGCTTGGATAAGAATAATCTCTGTTCTAGGCTAGTCAGGACACCCAAGTCCACAAAACTCCATCTCAGATGAAGAAGCTTGGCACGTTAGTGCTTGTCTGTCATCCTGACTATGATAGAATATACAAAATAGGCAGATGGTGATCCAGGCATAGACCCAGGGGTGACAGGGGGAGAAGAACCTTAGTCAAATATCTAGTATAAAAGTGGACAGATATTATTCAGCTGTAGAGTAGCAGCAAGCCTCAGGCTCAGAGTTCAAATCCTAGTACAACAACACAAACAAATACATCTAAAATATTTCTCTACTTATAGAAAAATACCTCATAAATCATGCTTGCTCCTTTATTCTATATATAGGGCTATATAGAGAGAATATAGTATATATATCCTCCATATAAGATATCCTATATATGGGATTATTTGATAATTTTGATCAATAAACTTTGCAGACATTTCCCTAAAAACAAGCCAGTCATTGAAGCTAATGTTAAGCAAGTTATATGGGGACTCAATAACTTCTATGATCTAAATTTTGTATGCCTACAAAAATCATAGGAAGTTGAAATTAAAAAAAAACTAGTTGCACAAATGAATGAATATTATTCCTGTTTTAAAATCAAAAAAGCTTGCCCCAAAGATTTGAACGTCATAACTTAAAAGGTTTTCAATTCTATATTTTATATTTCTTATTGAAAATAAGTCTTACTAAATCCAGATAAAGTACTGTGAAATGATATTTACATGCTGTATTTTTTATACAGCATGTAAAGATTTACTGTGATTGTCTTAATAAGCTATTGCTTTGTTATAGAACATGGTACTGCCTCCACTGAGTATATTATTGTTGAAAACTGAGAGCCAGCAAAAAATTATTTTTTTTTATTTTTTTTATTTATTTTATTTTATTTGTGAACATACTGTACAGAGGGGTTACAATTACATGGGCAGGATAATGCGTACATTTCTTACCAAGCATTGCAGCCTCCTCCTTTGAGCAAAAAATTATTTGTTCAGATCTGAAGTCAGTTGTAAAACAATACAACTTTTCCCTGAGATTTGTGGGTTAAGACAAGAAATACCAAATTCAGGGGCTAGGATTGTGGCTCAGTGGTAGAACACTTGCCTTGCATGCATGAGGTCTTGGATTCGATTCCTCAGCACCACATAAGCAAAAAGAAAAAAGCTGGAAGTGGCGCTGTGGCTCAAGTGGTAGAGCGCTAGCCTTGAGCTGAAGAGCTGAGGGACAGCGCCCAGGCCCAGAGTTCAGGCCCCACAACCGGACCCTCCAAAAAATACCAAATTCAAATGCGACGATTTTCATATTTATACGCACAGTTATTTGTTTCTTGACAATTTCACCTCTTCTCAGTTTTTGTAATATATGAAAGAACACTGAAAGTCATTTTACACGTAAGAAACATTTATTGCAATAGAATAGCAAGGTGAGAAAGGGGCTGAGAGTTCTTCATTCAGTATATCACTTATTAGACATTAAGGAGGAACTGATATTTTTGCCAAGCAGAGTAAAACACCTGTCCTATCCCCACAGACTTATGGGGAGACAATTTTAAAAAGAAACTAGAGTGACAGAAGAAGTGCAGGCAGACGTGAGGCATTCTGTGTGGTGAAACCAGGAAGACTTCATGAAGAGGCTGAATTTGACACTAATTCTAAAGAGGTCCTACACAGTGCTGAGGCCCTCAGCGTGACCAGTGGGTTTTAGAAGTGGAATTTAGAATTTTACTTAGCTTAGCCAGTGGTAAGCTACTCAGGAGACTGAGATCTGAGGATCATGGTTCAAAGCCAGCACAGGTAGTAAAGTCTGTGAAATTCTTATCTTCAGTTAATTACCAAAAAAGCAAGAAGTGGAGCTGTGGCTCAAGTGGTAGAGCACTACTTTTGAGCAAAAAAGCTCAAGGACAGAGCCCAGGCCCTGAATTCAAGCTCCAGTACCAGCAAAAAAATACACACAAAAACATTTACTTAGCTTTAATTGGTTTACATATAAATAGCCACATGTATATGTTAATCATGCATTATTTTCTTTTTTTTTTTTTTTTTGGGGGGTGGGTCCCGGTCGTGGAGCCTGAACTCTGGGCCTGGGCACTGTCCCTCAGCTCTTCAGCTCAAGGCTAGCACTCTACTACTACTTGAGCCACAGCGCCACTTCTGGCTTTTTTCTTATGTGGTGCTGAGGAATCGAACCCAGGGCCTCGAGCATGCAAGGCAAGTGCTCTACCACTGAGCCACCTTCCCAGCCCCAATCATGCATTATTTTCTATACTTCATGATGATTTTATTGCTTGGCATACTTGATGGTATAGAGATACTGTTCCTCATGGGACTAGCTAATTGAATTATTACAGATATTAAGTAACTTGTGAGTGTGACTTTTATAGACAAACCAAACAATCCAAAGCCTCAATCACATCCTTCATCATATTATTTTGTCATTTGTGGGGCTTGAACTCTGGGCTTGGGCACTGTCCCTCAGCTCTTCAGCTAAAGGTGAGTACTCTACCACTTGAGCCACAGTGCCACTTCCAGTTTTCTGAGCGGTTTATTGGAGATAAGAGTCTCATTTGGTAAAATTATATATAACTCAAAAATATAAAATGCTTAAGAATGTAAATTAAAATTTTGAAGATACAATTGCTTCTCAATTCAATTCCCACAGATGAAGCTAGAACAATTGTCTATCCCTATCTTGATGTACAGAGCATCCATTATTAAAACTACTCACTCTATGATTCATCACAAGATGTCATAAAATGGCCAACATTTTGACAAAAACACATGACTGTTGTAAAACTGCTAAAGTAGCTTATAACTATTATTTTATATGCCAAAAATTACATAATCAAACAATAAAACCCTTAGGTGATATGTCCCATACCTGCTGGGTCATTTGATTACTTTTTTATTTTGTCCAATTCTCATCTTCAGTACATACTATTTTATTTATGGATGCTTTTCCATTCAGGAAAACTAATGAGGTAACTAACTGAAAGTTTATTTTAAACTACTTTCCTAATTGAGAATTCCTAAGAAGTCCCACTGATAAGAAGCACTTGTTTCACTACGTTAGTTTTAACTTGTTACATAAGGTGTTGCAGACACAGTGGTACTTAGGCCACACTGAGTTTGACTGGGCTGCCTAAGCTGAAGTTATTACTGTTGGCCTGTGTGGCAATTAAATTTGCTTTGAATGAAAAGCACATATTGACACTTATCAAACAGTTACTAGAAGGCCAATGTCTTTAATAACAATTTTTTTTATTGTGAAAATACTGTACAGAGGGGTTACAATTACATGGGCAAGATAATGAATACATTTCTTATCAAGCATTGTAGCCTCCTCCTTTGTTTACCCTTCCCATCTCTTCCCATCCTCCCTCCCCCCACCCAATCCTCCCCCCCCAAGTTGTAAAGTTCGTTTTCAACATGACAACTTGAAGTACAAGTTGTAATAACAATTTTTTAAAGCCCCTCATAGGCTCTAACGTGTTTCAAGACTTCTGTACAAGTCGTTATGTCGAAAAACGAACTTAACAACTTTGGTGGGGGCAAGGGGAGGGAGGATTGGGTGGGGGGAGGGGAGATGCATGGGAAGGGATGGGAAGGGGAAACAAGGAGGAGGCAACAATGTATGATAAAAAATGTACTCGTTATCTTGCCCATATAATTGTAACTTCTCTGTAAGGTATTCTCACAATAAAAAAAAAGAAAGAAAGAAAGAAGGAAGGGGGAAAAAAAGAAAATAAATAAATAAATAAATAAATAAAATTCAAAAAAAAAAAAACAGACTTCAGGGTGTCACTGTACTCTGCCAAAGCATGTTTACACTGATGTTAAGTTCTTTGTGACTTCTGACTAGTGACAGCCAAACCCTTCCAGAGCTAGAACTTAGAGATTGGGTCTTTTGGAAATGAACCAACTTTGTCCTTGAATCCATTGGAAGGGGCCATCCAAACACAACACTCCAATCATGTTCAAAAGGACTCTTCAGAACCCTAAGATTGTTCATTGGAGACCTCAAAGAAGAACTGAATAGGGGTGCTTCTCTTTCAATGCAACTGGCATCTGAGATGTAGACAATTACTCAATTACAGGTCAGAACTCTGTTCCTGTTCTTCCTTTCATTTTTATTTCCTATTTATGTATTTATTTATTTGGTACTGAGGCTTGAATGCAGAGCCTCAAGCTTGCTTAGCTTGATTGTTCATGGCTAGCACTCTTCCACCTGAGCAATGCCTCCAGCCTGACTTACAAGTATTTCCATCCTAAAGAACAAGCATTTCCATCCTAAAGAACAGAAAGAACACTGAAAGGCTAAATGGGAAGAATTTCTGTACAGAAACAGCAAAATTTTCACTGTTATTACCAAGATACCTCATGAAGCCAAAAATTGATGAGATTCTTATGGGTGTACATTAATTTCAAAATAAATAAATCTTTTACATCAAAAATTATGTTGAAGAAACTAGTAAAATAGCAGACATTTAACACACTAATGATCAGCATAAGAAATATATGAAGACAAAGTAAAAAAGAACACCTAATAAGGGATGAAAGCCAAAAAATCAATGGGGTAAAGTCCAACTTAAACCATATAGAGATAACTTTGTACACATAATCTGGCAATGCTACATGCTGATTAGTGTGTAAAATCTCAGGCTTTATTGTCAGAAAAAGATTTTAGAAGTATAACTTTGCATAAATATAAATTAAAATTTTCCTTATTCACCTACTTGATAATCCAGAAATTCCCTATGTCCATATTTAACTATCAGACTCTTACCAAAATTAAGTATAACACATTAAAAAACAAGTATACAAACCTTGTAAAAATCCAAAACCAGGAAAAGTCAATTGTATTTTTCTATATATATAATGGATAATTAAATGAACATAAAAAAATCACATGAATATTTTCCACAGTATAATGATGAAAAGCTAGCCCCAGAAGTCATGCTTTTGGTGTTGTCATATTTTTGGTGTTGCCAAGTTGACTGCTGATAAATGTATGATAAAATTGAAACAAAGGTCCTATTAGACAGAAAACTTTGGTGATTGTATCTATATCTCAAATAAAGGAAAGGAGGAGGCATAGAAGCAATTCAACAAGCATCATGGTTGGGCCACGTACATTACAATAGAGAGCAATGAGAACACATTGCAACTAACCTAGTTCTGTATAACCAAGCTGGAATAAATGATGCTTCCATGGATGCCATGACTGAAATCAAATGATGAGGCTACACATGACAGCACATTTGCTACCATGCTGAATCAATGTAGTCACCTCGAAGAAATTTGGAAATAATTTAAGTGATGAATAATTTAAGTGCCTCTGAAATTGATGGCAGAGAATATTGCTAATAATGATTGTGCAGGGATAATGTTTTATTCATACTATATCCATAATTTTAACTCTTCAAATACTTCAAATTCAGAATGAATCAATTGTATGCCTCATTTATATCCCTCTTGGATCATATATGTGTGGGTATATTTTATACATATTCATAAATGTACATGCATGTTTATAGACACACACATATGTCCACACACATTTTTGAGCCAGTCTCACTATATAGTCCAGCCTGGTCAGGAAATCATGATTCTCTTGTCATAGCTTTCCAGTGCTGGGATTACAGGCATGTACTAATATGCCTGGTACTCTCCCTTAGATATTTAATAAATTTGTGCTGTCTTTAACAAAGATGTTTTCCTCCCTTCTGTCGTGACTACATATAAGATACACACAAAAAAAGTCCTTGGACAAGCTAGGAAAGTTTATCACTAACCTCTGGCTTCCCACAATCACATTGTTCTGATGCTTCCAAAATTCCATTGCCACAAGTGCCATTTATGGGTTGGTAAATCAATTCTGAAAGTTTCTGATTTTGAAGACATTCAAATTCAGGCCTTGAAACTATATGCTTAAGTTCGTCCACGCTGCAACTGCTAAAACGCTTTATACCACGGGAATGTCTAAAATTAAATTATATGCCTCAGATAAATGAAATAAAGCCAATATCAAAGTAAAATGTTTTAATAAAGTACTGTGACTTCTGGGCAGCTTCATTTACAGAAGATCCAAGAAACCAAGGAAATTTTCATGTTTAATACAAATCATTAAACAAAAGCAACAAAGTCTAGGGATTAGATTTTTTGTTTGTGTTTGTGTTTGTTTGCTTGTTTGGTGGGGGTTTGAAGTCAGGGCCTTGTTCTTGCTGGGCAAGCTGAATCACACACACTCCAGCCATAAGTGCAGTTATATTCCCCAGAAAATTTGCTTCCTAGAAAAGGTAAGACGCCAGCATTATGTCCTGTAATGACCCTAAGTGCTTTAATGTATAGTTTTTATGCAGAAGTGAATTCTCTGTAGCCAGGCTAGCTGCTTCAAAATCAGAAAAGAATGTATGGCAATAGTCTTCTTGGCTTAGAGTTGTCTATGTTTTGTTTAGCTTTTATGGTCGTGAAAACTTGTATAATTACAGATTGTACCATGGCCCTCACTATAAGTCTGTGGCATATGTCCTAATGATCAGACTTTGGTCTTAACAGGCTTTGGTCTAATCATATGTGTCTTGCTAATGTTACCAACAGAGAATTTTGTGTTTCTTTCATTGTGATCTAAAAAGTGACATGCAATTTCAATTTCTTGTTTTAGTCACAGAAGTCAATTTATTACTGATAACAATTACATTGGAAATACTTTGGTATGTCCACTAATTTTCACTGCTCAAATAAGTACTTTTTTCTGTCTGGATTTATAAATGTTTAAAGAGAATTATTTTGAGTTAACCTAAGTTCCTCATTCCCAATTACAACTTGCAATATACTCAATTATATATTTGCATTCATATGTTTATCTATATTACTGAGTAGATTGTAATCTGTTACTATCATTATTTGATGTTCCAATCATCCTATATTTAGCTCCTTCCTACTGGCTTTGTCCCTTTAAAGAACCTCCATAATTCTATGAGCATTTCCTTAGTATTAGGTAGCATGTTCCAGGCTCATTTTTGCCTTTTCTCCTTAGCCCTAGAATAGACCCTTTCTTTCCCTATTCTATTTAGTAGACAAGAGTACTTAAAAGACATAATCTAGGTGACACCTGCACTCATTATTGGATTTCTTTTTAAAATTATCTTTAAGTAGTTGTACAAAGAGGTTACAACTCAACATGTCAGTTTATAAGTACAATGCATCTGGATCTTTCAGCATTCTTCCCCCATCTTCCTCCCTACCTCACCTGTCCCCTCATTTACACACATTCCATTTTCACACATGCACATTGCCTATTATGACTGTATTTACTCACCTTTTCTCTCTCTGTTAGATTTCTTTAGGTTAGAGATCAATGTCATACCAGCCTATGTAGCTCCCAGTTCTTTGCCCTCTCCTGCAATTTGTGAAATCTCTCCTAGTATTGTTCCCTGGCTGCCATGAACAAACTTACTAGTATTTCAATGCTGACTGGGACAGTTGCATTCTGGGATGTGAATTACTCAACCATTTCTCACTGTTTCTCCCACACATTTTTCCATAACAGAGATCTTACTTCATCCCTGATTGGCTCTACTTTGTCATAAATGTGGGGAATTCTTTTGGGGGGACTTTCACTATATACTTTGGTTTTGGTTTATTTTCCTAAGGCTTTTGTCTACTTGATCTCAGGGATGGGAAGAGTAAAATACAAGTTGGTGCTTTCACTCTGTGGACTCCATCCTGTTTTATCATTACTGTTCTTGCTGCTGCTCCGGCGGTTGCTGCTAGGGTTGCCAGTAATGGGATATGAATTCAGGGCTTCATGCTTTGCTCAGCTTCTTGATTGACACACCACCACTTAAGCCACAACTCTACACTGACTTTTTCTAGTTATTTTGAAGATGAAATTATTCCTTTGGCCCTTAGCCTCCTGAATAGCTAGGATTACAGGAGAGAGCCGCTGGAATCCAGCTTTCTCTCTTATTCGTGGGGAGGGGGGGGGTGAGGGGGGGGGCGGTCACATGAACTCAGGGCCTGGGTGCTGTCCCTGAGCTCTTTTTACTCAGGGCTAGTGCTCAACTACTTCGAGCCACAGCATTGCTTCTGGTTTTCTGGTGGTCAAATGGACTTTCCTGTACAGGCTAGCTTCAAACCACAATCCTCATATCTCAGCCTCCTGAGTAGCTAGGAGTATAGGTGTGAGCCAGTGGGGCCCCGCCCCCATATTCTTAAAACACTTTCTTCCCTAGGTAAGACTCCATCAATAACTTGTCCCTATCTCTAAGCAAAATTTTCTTCCTTTTTGTGTGGACCTCATGATGGTGCTTTCCCAAGTCAGCCTACTGACTTGGGAAAGAAAAATCTGGCCTTAGTGGCTACTTGCTACTCTGTGGACTCTTACAACATTATCTGCTCATGAATTTAATTCTTTCCCATATGGTGATGGCTCGTACCTCTTAGAACTTCTGTCCTCTAAGATGACTCTGAATAACTCATATTTAACATTAACAAATTGTTCCATAGATTTCTCCTCATTTCTTCTTCTCTGAAGAAGCACTGACCTTTTTCAATATCCATTAATCAATTGTGATATCCAAGAATCCATGAATAATTCTTACCATCTCCCTTCCTCTTAATCTTAAGAAACATCTACAAGTTGATATGGAATCTTCATTTGTAAGACTATCTATTTCCCTCAGATATATTGTCACTCAGTTAACAGGGCAGTTTTTATGATCCATACTGCTTTAATTGGCCAAATTGTGTTTTGTCACATTTATTATCCACCCCACTTTACCACACCATCAAAGGCTTTCTTCCATTTTCTGTATCATCTCCTGGACTTCATCGCTTAACTCATGTATTTCACTTTGCTTCCCTGAACCTCAAATAGTCTCCTGTGCAGCTCCAACCAATTTATTTGCCTTGTCCATTCTTGCCCACCCACTCCCACTACCATATCAATTTCTTCCTAAGTCTGTGGAGTTCTCAGACTTCTTATTATTGGTATATAGATGCATTTTGTCCCCATGTAATATCTACCAACAATTTCAACAAGACTCCAGTAACTCTAGAAATTTTATCAAAACCCACTTCCCCTCTATGCACAGATATCACCCTACACTCATTTCATTTAATGTTTTAAATAAGTACATATGTATTTATTAATAAAATTCAATCCATTTGTGATGTAAGAAACTATGCGTCAAAAGAATACTATAACTATTTCCCAAGAGCAGTTATAAATTTAATATTTTAAGAAATCAGCTTACATTGCTTTGGTATTCATTATGCATATTTGTTCTGGACAGTAACAATCGTAGGTATCATCATATGTCATTCCCAGATTAATTCCAAGCAGCTGTGCTAGAACAACTGAAAATGCCTCCAAGCTTATCATCTTCGGGTGCTAAACAGAGAAACAAAAACATAGTTACTGCCTAGGTTATTACATTAACAAACTGTCCCATATATTTTTTTTCCTTTTCTAAAGCACTGATCTTTTCAGCTTTTATTAATAAATTATGATATCCAATAACTCATGAATAATTCTTACTATTTCTCCTCCTCATAATCTTTTTTTTTTTGTCGGTCGGGGCTTGAGCTCTAGGCCTGAGCACTGTCCCTCAGCTCTTCAGCTCAAGGCTAGTGCCATACCACTTGAGCTACAGCACCAGTTCTGGTTTTCTGGTGGTTTATTGGAGATAAGAGTTTTACAGACTTTCCTGCCCAGGCTGGCTTTGAACTGCCATCCTCAGATCTCAGCCTCCTGAGTAGCTAGGATCACAGGCATGAGCCACTGGTGCCCAGCCTCCTCATAATCTTAAGAAATATCTATAGATGGATATGAGAACCTTCACCTCTCCTGTATTACTATTTCTCTCAGATATATCTTATCAACCATTTAATAATATTATCTAAAGATAATGCTATTCAAAGCTTTTTCTTAGGAATAGATATAAAATAGATAAATAACTAAATTTGTTACTCTCAAAACTTTGTCATAAAATACATCATAAAAAGTAAACAAACATTTTGGGAATGAGAATTTTTTCTAGCTCTGACTTTTTAAGAGAAAGCTTAGGGGAAAAAATTGCAGGTTCCAAAGGACTAAACGTTCAATTACTTTTGACCACAGAAATAGTTTACTCAAATTATTTGTTTCAAAAATAGAATAGCATATAGTTTTTGCCAATAGTATTCCTATAAATCAGTACTCCAATAATTTTGTCTGTTCCTGGGTATTACATAGCATATATATATATATATATATACATATATATATATATAAAATATGTTATATATATATTACATATGTATGTATGTGTATATATATATATATATATATATATAGAGAGAGAGAGAGAGAGAGAGAGAGAGAGAGAGAGAGAGAGAGAGAGAGACCTTTCTTTTGGCTTCTTTCACTTGGGTATTATTTAAGATTTCCTTGTTTTCCAGTGTGTTTTTTGAAGTTCAATGGCTAATTTTCCTAAATTACTGTATGATATTCCATTGTATAGTTATACTGCATTTGAATCCATTCTGTGATTAAATGACAGGTTTGTTACTTTTAAGCTGTGGCAATGATGAATGAAGCTGCTGTGGACATTCATGTATGCTTTGGGGTATATGTTTCTTGTTTTCAGTACATTTGAATACCAAGAAGGATAATTGCTGGATCATGTATTAACAGGAGGTTGGGAAGTGTAAGACATTTCCAAATCCACTATTTTACTAGTGGAAGCCATGAGCACTGAATACGGTAAAATGATTCTATAATGCATTACAGACAATACAGTAGACAGAAGACACATACTGCTTGGACTGGAAAGCTTCATACTGTTAATGTTTCATTCCACACAAAGCAGCCTCAAGTCACTGCAATCTCAACCACCACCTTAATAGCATTTTTTTCAGAAATAGTAAAAAAATAAAGTTCAAAAATTCATGTGTAATCTCAAGGGACTCAAAATAACAATTTTGGAAAAGAAAAAAAAAATAGCGGACCCACATACACTTATTTCAAAACAGTACAAACTAATCTATAGCAATCAAAACAATAAGTAGTCATAAGAAAGATGAGTGAACAAACTAGAGACCCTAGAAATAAAATCTTATATGATCAAATGACCCATAAAAAAACATTAAATTGGGCTAGTACTTTATACACTATTGAAACATTAACTGAAAATGAATTAAAGACCTAAGACAGAAGAACCAAAACTCTAAAACTCCTAAAATTTAAGAGAAGGGAAGGTTCGTGACATTGATGCCACCATGATATTAAATATACAACTCCAAAAGCACAGAAATAAATATAAAAATACACAAATTACAGTACACCAAATTTCAAAACTTTCTGCTTAAATTTGTAAATCAAAACAGTAAAGGCAACCTACAAGAAGGATAAAATGTCTGCAACTCATGTGTCTGATATATCTAGAATATACAGAACTGAATATTGTAGGTGTCACTTAATGGTAAAGCATTTGCCTAGTAAGTCTATGGTCTTGAGTTCAAACCCCAGTACTGCCAAAAAAGAGAACCACTCTCAGAATATACAACTCTAACTCAACAACAATGTAAAAATCAAATAAATCACTTTAAAAATAAGCAAAAGACTTGAATAGACATTTCTCAAAATATACTAAAGGCCAATAAGTATAAAGAAGATATTTAACATTAATAACAATCATAGAAATGCACATCCAAACATGAGCTGTCACATCACATCCATTAGGATGCTTCTATTAAGCAAAAACAGTCAGAAACTAAGTTTGGTAAGGATGTGGAAATAAAGTGTGAATTGCTGGTAGGATTCCAAGTTAGTAAAAACAATATGGTGATTCCTCAAAATATGAATAACAGAACTAATGTGATCCAGCAACATCACTTCTGGGTATATATCCAAATAACAAACAGATATTTCTACTCCATGTTCTTTGCAGCATGATGACCAAAGTATGGCAATGACCAAAATGTCCACTGACAGAATGGACAAAGAAAAATACAGCATATAATTATAATAAAATATCATTCAACCAGCCAGACACCACACCTGTAATCCTTTCTACTCAGGAGGCTGGGATCTGAGGATCACAGTCTGAAGCCAGCCATGAGACTCTTACCTTCAATTAACCACCAAAAAACTCCAAGTGGGGCTGTGGCTCAAATTTGTAGTGCGCCAGCCTTGAGCAAAAGGTCAAATCAACAACAAAAAAATGTATTCAACCATTAAAAGAACATCATGTCACATGCTACAATATAAATACATTACATTACATGTAATAAGTCAGTGGCAGAAAGACATGTGCTGTATGATTTTACTTATATAATGAATCTAAGCTTGTTAAGTTGGGGGAAACAGTAGAATGATCAGACCAAAGAAGAGTTGTTCACTTTATGTAGTGCCTCAGTTATAAAAGGAACAAGAAAGTTGTAAAGATTTATTTTAAGGGTCTGGGAAGGTGGCTCAGTGGTAGAGTCCTTGCCTTGCATGCATGAGGCTCTGAGTTCAATTTCTCAGCACCACATAAGCAGAAAAAGCCGTAAGAAGGGCTGAGGCTCAAGTGGTAGAGTGCTAGCCTTCAGCTGAAGAGCTGAGGGACAGCGCCCAGGCCCAGAGTTCAGGACTCACAACCGACAGAATCAAAACAAACACAAAAAAAGATTTATATTAAGTGTATATGTATATATTTAATACCACTGACATGTATACAAATGGTTAAGAATAGAATTTATGTGTTTCCTCTAACAATAACCTCTCAAATCCTTAAAAGAGTCATAATTATTTTTCAAGACAGTATGATAGTCACATCATATTTATTTTTGACTACTGGAGTATCTAAACCTTCTGTTTATAGAGTTGAGAATTAAACACTCACCAGAGCAATTCCTGCTGCAAACTTTGGGTTGCAGACCAGTCCATGATAAGCTGCTCCCACATAGTCAGAGGAGTCCTTAAAACTACATAATAAAATTTCTCTTGTGAATACATGTATTTCAAAAGATTGATAACTTAATGCCCTTTTAAATAAATATCTACCTTCTTCAAAATATCAATGCTACATGTTATAAATCATTTCTCATCCTGTCAATCATTTCCTAATAATTTAAAAAAACAACAGTTGGGTTTTCTTTCATAGATTATATGATCATAATTCTAAAAGCTGTTAGATTTTATCTGGTACTCATCCCCAAACCTAGCACTACATAATCCTTCCCAAAACATTCTTCATTCTTGACACCACTGGACGAATGTAATTCTAAAATCAAGAAACCAATGTTGCTTATTGGTAAGACTTCCAAGTAGTGAGCAAATCCTCAAACCACAATTTTGACATAGTGCTGGAGAAGTGAGAGAAGAAAGGAGGAAGAGCATTAATGATGCACAGTACAAGCAGAGATTGCCTGCAGCTGGTGAACTCACTCCTAGTAGCTCATTCATTTTGTTTTTTAATCCTGACCTGAGATTCCACAGGAGAAAACAGTAGATGTACTTATATCCCATATTATTTAGGGTATTTCTAATTGTATGTTCACTATTCACATGTAATCAAAGGATTAAAGCAAAAACTTACTACATAAAGACTCTTGAAAGACACTGAACAAGTAACTAGATAAATGCATCGTAGGTAGCATAGGAATACTACAAGGGAAGCATAGGGAAAGAAAAGTGGCCCCCTCCCCTCCAGCTGACCATCATTTGTATGCCTTGTTATATGATAACCAACTGCTATGGGCACCCATTGCTTTCTGTGGAATAATTTTCATTTTATGGAATGTTAAGATGATGTTTTGGCTATTTACCATTGAGAAGACCCCCTCCCTTACAATGATATGAACCCAATGCTTTCCTTACCAGCTTAGAAAAATCTTATGTTACAATAAAAATAGTTATTTTAAAAAGTTCTTACGTCAGCCTCTTCAGTAAATGGTGCTGGCAAAATTGGTTAACTACATGTAGAAAACTAAAGCTAGATCCTTATATATCACCCTGCACCAGAATCAACTCCAAATGGATCAAAGACCTTGAACTCAAAGCAGACACTCTGAAAACATTACAGGATGGAATAGGAGAAACCCTAGGTCTCCTTGGCTCAAGCCGAAATTTTTTGAGTAGAGACCCGGAAACACAACAAATCAAAGAAAGGTTGGACAAATGGGATTGCATAAAGTTGCAGAGCTTCTGCAGGGCAAATGACATAGCTAGCAAGATCAATAGAAAGCCCACGGATTGGGAGAAGATCTTTACTAGCCATACAATGGACAAGGGTCTCATATCTAAAATATACTTGGAACTCAAAAAATTAAACCCCCCAACAACAAATCCTCAAAGAAACAACTGCCCAATAAATAAGTGGGCGAAAGACTTAAGGAGAAACTTCTCTGAAGAAGAAAGAAGGTTGGCCAATAGACACATAAAGAAATGTTCAACATCCCTAGCCATAAAAGAAATGCAAATCAAAACAACATTGAGCTATCACCTCACCCCAGTTAGAACGGCAAAAACCAAGAACTCTAACAACAACAGATGCTGGAGGGGATGTGGACAGAAAGGAACCTTACTTCATTGTGGGTGGGAATGTAAACTTGTTCAACCACTTTGGAAAGCAGTATGGAGGTTCCTCAAAAGACTTCACATAGAACTCCCCTATGACCCAGCAATCCCACTTTTGGGCATTTACCCAAATGTTGACAAACAAGACCACACTAAAGCTACCAGTACAACTATGTCTATTGCAGCATTATTTACCATAGCTAAGATATGGAACCAACCCAGATGCCCCTCAGTAGATGAATGGATCAAGAAAATGTGATATATATACACAATGGAATTCTATGCCTCCATCAGAAAGAATGACATTGCTCCATTTGTTAGGAAATGGAAAAACTTGGAAAAAATTATATTAAGTGAAGTAAGCCAGGCCCAAAGAAACATAGGCCCTATGGTTTCCCTTATTTGCAATATCTAGTATATGTATGAGTCAAGCGGAAAAGGTCAGATAATGTGATGTCAGGAAAATGAACATTTAGATATGTATTTTAATGTTTTTTTTCTTTCATGCATGTGTTTCTAACGCATTTATAAGATTATCTCTTTGTTGCTTTGTATGTCCCTCCCCCACAGCATAACCCCTGCTTTCACTATATTTGATGTCAGTATAACTTGTGGAGGAGACCGGGAAAAACCAGTTGTTTAAGGATACAGGTGGACCTGTTGCAACAATGAGAAGTACAAGTTGTCATGTCCAAAACGAGCTTTACAACGTCGGTGCGGGGGGGGGGGGGGGGGGGGGAAGGAGGGGGGGAAGGGGGAGGAAGGAGAAAGATTGGGATTGGGGGGGCGGGGGGAGGCTGGGAAGGGATGTGAAGGGGAAACCAAAGGAGGAGGCTGCAATGCTTGATAAGAAATGTACGCATTATCCTGCCCATGTAATTGTAACCCCTCTGTACAGTATGTTCACAAATAAAATAAAATTAAAAAAAAAATAAAAAAATAAAAAGTTCTTACATGACTGATCTAGTATAGGAAGAATAGCATACTGTCATTCTGTTACCTAGTTACCTGAATTTTATGTATTGCATTTTGCCAGGACAATATTTATTCTGATATTTTCAAAGTGTCTTATATTATACATGATTTGGACAAATAATATATACAACTAGATGAATCAGTGCTCACAGTAGTAAGAATGTCACATCATCAAACCTCTGGAATGGCATGCTTTGTTGCCATAACAGAAACCTTTGGAGTATTTCATTGGCATCCCCATCTGTTGAAATCATATTCTGATCTGTCCAGACCTCCAAAGTTGATAGCAGGACAGTCACATTCACCTGAGAGTACATCTGAAAAGACAAGATTGGCGCTGTGCAGCTCTGGAGGGCTATGGACATGCCCTCCCTACACAACTGTGAGCCACGTAACTCTCACAAGTTCACCAAGGAACCCATTCTTCAGAGTAAATAGTAGGAACACAGATATGTTCTCAAATAAAATAAAATAAAATTTAAAAAAAAAAAAAGAAATGCAAACGCTATTCAGTCAAACAATGTGAATTCGTTATCTAAATATGAATCCTAAATACTTACAGTGTTAATGAGAGCAAAGACATAGACAACCTTCTGGATTGTGATTCCCATCTCAGAGCCCATATAATCATACTGAAAGACAAATGTGTTTTCTTAATCACTAGTCTAAGTGATAGAAAAACTATATGATTTTTCATTCAATTTTTTTCCAGTACCAGGGTCTGAACTCAAAGCTTTGAGAGCTTGCTCTGCAGGTTTGGCCATACGGTTGGCACTCTACCACTTCAGCCACACCTGCAACCTGGCTTTTGCTGGTTATTTTGAAGATGGAATCTCACAGATTTGTCTGCTTGGGTTAGCTTCCAACCATAATTCTACAGCTCTCAGCCTTCTGACTAGCTAGGATTACAGGTGTGAGCAACCAGCACCCGGCTTTTTCTCTCATTTGTCTTTGTTTTGGATGGTAGTTATTTCTTTTTTTTTTTTTTTATGTGAACATACTGTACAGAGGGGTTACAATTACATGGGCAAGATAATGAGTACATTTCTTATCAAGCATTGTAACCTCCTCCTTTGTTTACCCTTTACATCCCTTCCCACCCCCCGCCTCCCCACCCAGTCCTCCCTCCCCACCCACCCCCCCCCCCCACCCCCACTCCCACCAAAGTTGTAAAGTTCTTTTTCGACGTGACAACTTGTACTTCTCATTAGTTATTCCTTTTAGATAATGAGTCTTTCACATTTTTGCTTAGAGGGGCTGGGAAGGTGGGTCAGTGGTAGAGCGCTTGCCTTGCATGCATAAGGCCCTGGGTTCGATTCCCCAGCACCACATAAGCAAAAAGAAAAAAAGCCGGAAGTGGCTCTGTGGCTCAAGTGGTAGAGTGGTAGCCTTGAGCTGAAAAGCTGAGGGACAGTGACCAGGCCCAGAGTTCAGGCCCCACAACCAGACCCCCCCAAAAAGAATTTTTGCTTAGAGAAGCCTGAACTGTGATTCTCCCACCTGTACATCCCACTCAGCTGGACCACATATGCATACCACCACACCTGGCTTACTGGTAGAGATAAGTCTCACTCAATTTTGTCTAAGATCTGTCCCTGAACTGTTTTACAGTGAGAAAACAGAGAAACCACATTTTGAGAGGTAGAATTGGGAGTCTTTATTGGAAAGCTGGCAAATGCAGGCACAAAAAAACTCTTGTCACAAAGACTTGCAACCCCACACAAATACAATAGAAATTTCGTATTTCTTCAAATTTTAATATCAAACAAAGGTATTAGGAAATAAATCAACAATGCCTTACCAATGCTTGGCCCATGATGACTTTTATTTTCAGTGTTCTCTTCAATAGTATAACATCTAAATTTTTCTGCAAAACAGTGGACATGAATTAAATAAAACAGATTTTTACATTGTAGTTACCATGTGTTGAGTACATATTAATGTATTCTATATACTCACAGAGATTTATATATCAATATCTATATATATTAGATATGTTTATATTGAATACATACATGTACATGGAGATTGCAGATTCAGATATAGATACAGAGAGATATAAGATAAGAAAAGAAGAAAATGGTCTGGGCAACAGTGGCTCAGGACTGCAAAGTGAGCCACTTGGGAGGCTGAGCCCTGGAGAGGTGAGGTTCAAAACCAGCATGGGCAGAAATGTCTCCAAAATCACCAACAGAAACCAGGGCTGTCTTTAACAAGAAAGCTGGGTGAGAATGTGAGGCAATATATGTTTAAATATAAATGACAGGAACAAATCAGAAATATTTTATATTTTAATTACGTTTAAAATGCAAACAAGACACTGAAATTAGGTAAGAATCTGTTTTTCCTCTTAAAGCATTTTGTAGACAAGCTTCAAGGTGAAAAAAACTTACCTCAATTTTCTTCTAAATATTGCCTGCATTTTTTTCATTGCTTTTGTACTTTTCTTGATTATATTGACTTTGTTGAGCTCTTGACTTACAAAAGAAGCCATTTTATGGATTGGCAGCTAAAATATACATTCATGTAGCCATTTCCTTCCAGAAGATAACATGTCAATAGCCGACAGGATTTTCTCCCATTCAGCATCCTGCCCTATTGTGATTGTTAGTAGTTCCTATCTTTTTGGTAAATTGTGTGTCATTTTATACATTTCGTTTATGCATTGGCTTGTTCGTTTTTGTTTTTATACATTTCAGCGATTGTAAATAAAGTTGCACTGAATACCCATTTACAAGTCTGTGTGCAGCAATGTTTCATTTTTCCTGGTTAAATACCTAAAGATTATTGCAATTGTGAGTTTCTACAGGAATATGAATGAGACACATGAGCCTCCTAGGGCTTAAACCAGATCATTATTCTGCTCATCAGGTGTGTGAATGTGGGAGCTCTTTACATCTGTCAGTGACTTTTTCAATTTCTTCATATTTGTTGTTTTGTTGTTTTTTCTCCATAGAAATCCTTAATAGGTCTTGGTAAGTTTATTTCTAGTTATTTTTTGTGGTTATCGAGAATAAGACTGTGATTTCTGTCATAACACCTTTAAAATATTAATCTATAGGTTTGTTTAAATTTATTTATATTTTGATGTGTCTTTATGTGGTTTTGGTATCAGGGTAATGCAGGCGTCATAGAATGTGTTTAGAAGCATTCTTTCTATTTCTTTCTTTCTTTTTATTTTTAATATTGGAGTTCGAAGTCAGGGCCACACACATGCTTGGCTTGCTTGCTTCAAAGATATTCTATCACTAAAGCCAGGCCTTCAGCCCTGTTCTTTTGCTGATTATTTTGGAGATGGGGTCTAGTGGATTTTTCTGTCCAGGCTGGCATCCAACCACCATCCTCTAGATCACTGCCACCTAAGTAGCTAGGATTACAGATATGAGGCATCAATGCTTGGTCTTTCCATTTCCATTTGATTTCTCTGTTCTGGTCTATAGTTCTATGTTTTGTAAATAACATTTCATTACAATATAACAAGTCCATTTATTTACATTTTGCTTATGTTGTTTTTCTTCTACAACGTCAGAATGAAAAAAAAACATGAATATCTGTGAAGTTTTGTGAAGTGACTTTTCTGTGATTTTTATATACATCTGTTAAATGATGTGGTCTAATTCCTGTCTTATTGTATTAATTTAAGTAATATTGCCACAAAGCCCAGAAGATACTGTTATTGTCTAAGATTTCTTGGGAAAAAAACGCCAAAAATGCCATTCTTAGAAACTTCAGTAGATAAAACAACTAAAGTAGAATATTTTATATCCCATAAGGAAGCCAAAGAATTTGTTTTAAATGCATTTCATTTTGAAAAGTTTTCTACTTTTGTGAGTGACTTTTTTAGAGGCTGAGAAGCCTATACAGAGTGAAGCATTACTTTTAAAATGGAATATACTAATAACATTATATCTTTATGTTGCCAATTTAAATCAGTTTCATTGATTTTTTTCATTTCTTAAGTATTTTTATTTCAAGAAACATTTATTTTTAATATGTTAAAATATTTTTGGCTGGGCGCTGACTGGTCATACTCTGTAGGCTGAGAACTGAGGTTCACAGTTCAAAGCCAGACTAGGATGGAAAATTCTGTGAGACTCTTATCTCCAATAAACTACTCAGAAAAGACCACAAGCAGCACTGTGGCTCAAGAGGGAAAGTGCTAGCCTTGAGCAAAAGAAGCTCAGTAACAGCATCCAGGCCCTGAGTTTAGGCCCCAAGACTAGGAAAGAAAGAAGGAGAAAGAGAGAAAGAGAGAGAGAGAAGGAGAGAGAGAGAGAGACAGAAAGAAAGAAAGAAAGAAAGAAAGAAAGAAAGAAAGAAAGAAAGAAAGAAAGAAAGAAAGAAAGAAAGAAAGAAAGAAAGAAAGAAAGAAAGAGAGAGAGAGAGAGAGAGGGAGGGAGGGAGGGAGGGAGGGAGGGAGGGAGGGAGGGAGGGAGGGAGGAAGGAAGGGAGGAAGGAAGGAAGGGAGAAAGGAAGAAGGGAAGGATGAAGGGAAGAAGGGAAAAGGGAAGAAAGGAAGAAAGATTTTGTACTCTTTTATGACAATTTTAGTATTTTGGAGTTTTATTTCTGTTTACCATACTTCCAGCCAGTTCTCCACAGAAGTTGCAGGACGAATTTTTCCTTTTATTCTATGGGAAAAAATATTTGTAATTGGCTCATACGACCATAGAGATTAGCTAACTTCATATCTGCAGAGAAGCCCCAACTGCCAGAGACAGGAAGATTCAAAACCATATTTTAGGTACTTGCTTAATTTAAAATAATTGTCGCACTGCCTTGCAACTTTTGTTACTGCTGTTCTGAATTTTGGTGCCATTTTGCAGTGTGGGTATGCATGAAAAGTCAGATTTTTTTTTTACTTCAGTCTGAAAACTTACTTTAAATAATGCTAAGAATTTTTCTTGGATTCTTTTTATTGTTTTTTGATGTTATAACTCAATTTTTCTGTTAATTCTTCCCTGAACGTGTGTGTGCACACGCGCGCACACACTCATGCATGCTAGTACTTGGTTTTGAACTCAGCACTTACGTTTGTCTTATTGACTCATGGCTGGAGCTCTATCATTTGAATTGCATTTCAATCTAATATTGTTAGTTAATTGGGGAAAGATTTGAGAATATTTCTGCCCTGGCTTACTTCAAACCTGATTTCACCCTTCTGAAATCTGGCTTGAGTCCATGGCACTTAGCTTGGTTGTTAGTTCTTAGTGGAATTCCTTTTGTTTTATCTATATTATGTGGCTTAATTTTCCTATTTCTCAAGTTTCCCTTATTTCTCAAGTCATTTTTGTTTATTCCTTACTTTCTGGTTTGGCTTTGGAATTTTATCTTTTAACCCTCCCATTTAATTTTAAGTTTCATTGCTTTTTTTATATTTACAACTATCATGAGTCTGCTGAATTTTATCATTAACAGCACGCTATTCTCATTTGGCGAGTGAAATATTTTCTTTTCTTTTTTTTTAATTTTATTTTATTTTATTTGTGAACATACTGTACAGAGGGGTTACAATTACATGGGCAGGATGATGCGTACATCAATGATTGGTAAGAAGTGAAATATTTTCTTAAATATCTCTAGACATATCAAGAGTCACCTATTGTCTTGTCCTCTATTTTCTTTGGAACATCAAACTTTAACACTGATTTTTTTTTTTTTTTTTTGGTCCGGTCGTGGGGCCTGAACTCTGGGCCTGGGCGCTGTCCCTCAGCTCTTCAGCTCAAGGCTAGCGCTCTACCACTTGAGCCACAGCGCCACTTCTGGCTTTTTTTCTTTTTGCTTACGTGGTGCTGAGGAATCGAACCCAGGGCCTCATACATACAAGGCAAGCGCTCTACCATTGAGTCACCTTCCTAGCCTGTAACACTGATTTTTTTAATGTCTTTATCTTCCACATGGAATTGTTTCATTGTGTGACTGTTGATTCTTCATAGTAGAAATTTCACATCAACTATATACTGACCAATAGTGTTTTATGGTCTCAGATCTTCTCAGAGGGTAATTTCTCAGACTGTCTTTAGGAAAATTTTGCTGTTAGGTGTTTTTCTTTCTTAGACTGGCTTTCTTCCCTCTCAGAGATGGGTCTTCCAGTAAAAATCTCTGGAACGCAACTTTTTATTGGAAGTCTGGCTCCCAATATCCAGTGTGTCACACATTTAACTTAGCTACAACAGTTTCTGTGTAGCCTGCTCTCTCTCTTGTGGAACACAACACCTGTGCCCGGTGTTATCATTGAAAAGACACCCAGAACACAATCCCTTCTAATTTTCCATGAGCGTCTGGGAGGTAGCCGTTAGGGAAGGAGAGCTAAACACTTTCCTAGCATACTTTTACTCAGCCACACTTCCTAAGGAATTGCAATCTAAATCTACTTTTCCATACTATTTCTATCTCAGTTTCCTACTTAGGGTCATACCTCTAGAGGCTGAATGAGCTGTCCCTTATTTTCTACTCAAGTTATACTGCTGTTGTTCTTTCATTTTGTCTCAGTTTGATATGCCGTTTTACTGGCATGTAGAAAATGGTACACAGTAAAGGATTTGTCATGACGTTCCCATACACAAGTAAAATGTACTTTGATCATATTCACTCTATTGCTCTTCTTCATCTTCCCTGTTCCATTGCCCTAGTATCACCCTTTTACTTTCGTGACTTTGGTTATTTTGTTTGTTTCGCTTTGCTTTGTTCATATGTGGCTAAGTTTCACTCACAGTTGTTTTATTTCTCCATAATGAAATTCCATAGTGATGACAAAGTATGAATACAAAGCCACTTATTTAACCACTTATGATCAAATGTAAAATTGTACAAACATTTTAAAGGGAGAACTTAGAATAACATGTATGTTTAGATGCAATTGTGGATTAGAACAGTTTGAGTTTTTAAAAAAAAACAGGACATTCACAAAGTTCAGGTATTGATGAAAGGAAAAATGTAACTATGCAAAATAGACCACAGTTTTATAAAATACATTTAAGTGTAAGCATATGCACTTTTTAATATGAGTATCAAAACATGATTGTAATTCATGCCACAACAGCATTTAGGACTACATACTCATTTTTCTTATATTTTAATACATGTAATAATCAAATTATTTAATTTCAAAATAAGTAAAACATTAAGTAAAAGTATGCATAGTTTCCTAACAGAAAAATAGAAGTTTCATCTCTTTGTGTGGGGGGGGGGGGGAAGGGGTGATCTTGAACTCATGCTCGCTCACTTAGCTTTTTCCCTAAGGGCTGGTGCTCTACCACTTGAGCCACATCTCCACTGAAAAATGGAAGTTTCATTAAACATTATGTAGTTAGATCATTTATGTCCACAGAGTCTGTATATTTGTAATCTACACTATAGTTTACAGTACTGAAACAATTAGTGTAAATCAACCACAATTCTAAATGCTAGCTTTAGGCAATATGATTTTTAGTGATTATCTTGCCTTCTTTCTACTTCTAACTCTGAATCAAAAATCATACTTTATTTCACAAAGAAAATGCATTGATAAAGAAAATGTTTACAAAGTAATAAGTAAATTTAGCATAGTAGTAGTAGACAAATATAGCAAAAAGCAATTGTGTCTCTGTACACTAAAATATTTGCAATTAGGAAAATATTGTGAAAACTTAGTTATTAAATTGGGTATATTTGTATCTATGATTCTCAAAGTATTATCTGAATAAATAGTATTTTTTGTTCAGGTCCTAGGGCTTGATCTCGGGGCCTGGGTGCTATCCCTAAGCCTTTTGGGGCATGGCTAGTGATCTATCACTTGAGCCACAGTTCCACTTTCAGCTTTTTGATGGTTAATTGGAGATAAGAATCTCGTGAACTTTCTGCCCAGGCTGGCTTTAAACAAGAGTCCTCGGGGGCTGGGAAGGTGGCTCAGTGGTAGAGCACTTGCCTTACACGCATGAGGCCCTGGGTTCGATTCCTCAGCACCATATAAGCAGGAAAAAAAAGCCGGGCGTGGCACTGTGGCTCAAGTGGTAGAGTGCTAGCCTTGAGCTGAATAGCTGAGGGACAGCGCCCAGGCACAGAGTTCAGGCCCCATGACCGGACCCCCCAAAAAAATAAAAAATTAATTAAAAAAAAGTCCTTGGCTCTCAACCTCCTGAGTATCTAGGATTAAAGGCCTGAGATACCCACACACAACTATAATAGTACTTTCCATCAAAGATTATCCAATGTAGTTTATTTATTTGTGTGTGTGTGTGTGTGAAAGAGAGAGAGAGAGAGAGAGAGAGTACACTGGTACTAACCTCAGACCCTTGCACTCTTAATTTACTTTTCCAATAATAGCTGGTGCTCTAACACTTGAGCCATTCCTTCACTTCTGGCCTTTTGTTCATTAATTGCACATAAAAGTATCCTGGATTTATCTGTCCCACTGTCTCTAAGCCATTATCCTCAGATTGCAACCTCTGAGGAGCTAGTGTGGGCCGCTGCACCTGCCTAGAAATTCTTTTTTTATTTTGTCAGTGATGGGGCTTGAACTCTGGTCCTGGGCAGATGTCCCTCAGCTCTTCAGCACAAGACTAGTGTTCTACCATTTGAGCCACAGCCAGACTTCTGGTTTTCTGATGGTTTATTGGAGTCTCACGAACTTTCCTGCCAGGGCTGGCTTTAAACCAAGATACTCAGATCTCAGCCTCCTGAGTAGCCAGGATTACAGGTGTGAGCCACTGGCTCACCTGGCTAGAAATTCTTAATACAATATTATCAATTTAAATTTATCAAATATATCCAATAGGAACATTTCAACGTATTTAACTTTCCAAACATAACACAGATAATGAAGAACACAAAGGTGGTTACTCACTTCTGGCTTCACAAGAACCCGGTAGGGCTGATCTACATGTTGGAGCTTAGAATAATTTTCTTTTAAAGGGAAATAATCAATTTTATTATCCTTTAGTTCATAAAGCATATGTTCATATGTAGCTGATTGTTCCAATGGCTCGATCCCATAGCTGACGTTCTCTAATTGCAGTAATCCCCTAAATATTCAGATGCAGAAAAAGAAATAAAATTTCAATTAGTATAGTTTCCCATGAGAAACATAAATCAATACTATAAAAAAAACCTCTTTATACAAATTGTATAGTAGTCTTTGTGATCTTCTAAGAATTATTCTATTTTTTTGTATTAATTGTCAAACTCAATTTTAATTTTTATTAGCATCACTTTTTATTTGTACAAGGGGGGTTCATTTTGAGATATGCACATGATGTCCCTTGATCTACTACTTTTCCTCCTTCCCTCTCCACACTCTCCAGATCACTCTCAATAACCTTCCTTGAGGCTGGGGGTGTGGCTCAAGTGGTAGAGCACCAGCTGAGAAAGCAAACCATGCAAGCCTGTCTCTGAGTTCAAATCCTAGTACCAACAAAAAACGGTCATATATATGAATGTAATCTCAATAACCTCCCTTGTTCTATTTTCACATATGGATATAAAGTTATTTGACCATATTCACCCTCCTTCAAATTGTCCATTCACCCTCTCCTCTCCCACAAGTGCCCACATCCTAGATAGACTCTGGTTTTGTCTCCCTCATAGTCATTTTGGTTAAAGGCATGTTACTTGTTTAAAGGGGCTTCACCATAATATCCCACACATGCATGTACACAGCATTTAAGAAGAGTCTGTGTGGGGAGAGAGAAGGAAGGGGTGACATTGTCCAAAAGGAAATACACTCTTTACCTGACTTATATAACTGTAACACCTCTGTATGTCACCTTTATAATCACAATACATTGTTTTTTAGAAAGAAAAGTTTGTAGTTCTGATATGGATAAAGGATGTAAATTGACTTCATGCTAGTAGGAGGCTTTTCTGTATAAATTTTATAACTGCAAACTATAAAGGCAAGAAACCATAAAAAGGATAAGAGACAAGGAATCAAAACAAGTACAGGAACAGGCCCAGGGCTATCAGGTGGCCTCACTGACAAATTATTGCTAACAAAATTGACATAGACTCTGAATTCATTGTTATTCAATAAATTCTGACATCCTAGAAAGACACAAGTCAGTATATGGTTCTGACAATTCACTAATGAAAGATTCCATCTCCAAAATAACCAACAAAAAAGCAGAACTTAAAGCATGGCTCAAGTGGAGCAAGTCTATATTTCTTTCTCTCACTCTGTCTTTCAAGAAGATTCTAGAAATTAAAGGCTGGCATAAGATTTCAATGCACACTTTCATAATATGTCATTACCTGAGTCCTGAGCATGTGCTTAGTGTCACGACCGATCTTGGAATCTCTGCAACATGTCCTTTATAAAAACAATGACCCTAAGAAGGAGCATAGAAAGGTTTATTCATTATTGGTTTCCAAATGAAGTCTTCAGTTTTATCTTTACCTGCTTGATATCCTCCAACATTTATATTTAGCCAATTTAATATTATTTATCAGATTTTCAATTTTTGCTACCTTACTTTCAAGTTCTCCTTCTAAATCTTCAATTATCATGATTACCATTCTTCCCCTCAAAAAGTTCTGAATTATCTGCATCTTTTCTAAGTTCATCACCTGTGCCTGCTTGTTTGTAAGCAACTATGAACACTCCATTCAATTTTTTTTCTGGATCATCCAAAAGTAGCTAAACTGATATTTCTTCACCTTAATTGACTTCCAGTATCGCACCTGAGAAATCACTGAGCATGTGTAACTCAAACTTTCCTCCTCATTGATTCTACCAATTTCTACCTTAATATTCTAAGTGAATTGCTCTTTCTATTTGTTTTAAATTCTAGTAATCTTGAGATTCAGTTCTGTTTTCTTCTTGGCCCTATGCTCTGAAAACTTAAGTATCATCATATTCTTTCTTACAAATTTGTTTATATGTTGTTAGCTCTTAGACTAATCACAGGAATCAGTAGTCATTTACCTTAAAAAAAATTAGTGGGAGGAAAGGGATGGCAGGGGAAAAACAAAGGAGGAGATAACAAATGCTTGATAGGAAATGTGCTCATTACCTTGCTCATGTAACTGTAACCCCTCTGTACAGTATTTTCACAATTAACATAAATAAAAAAGTAGACCTCTACTCAAGGAGAGTGCCAAGCTAGATCTACTCCTAGTGGCAATCAGTAGAGCCTGGTTAGGCAATCAATCACATTCCTGTCCACACACAGTATCAACATGCCATGAGGACCACCTCCAAGCAGGGAGATTTATACCTTCAACTCCAGAATTTTTATCAGCATTTATTGCTACAAGTTCTTCACAAAGGGGCTGAAGACAAAGAAGGTCCCAAACCATTTACCAGCAACCCAAATTCAATACTTGAAGCCCTGATCCGATCCACAAATACATACATATGAACCGCATAGAAAGTAACTACATATGAGCCACTTAGAACGAAACTCAATTCTAATTATATTGCAAATGTTAAGAAAGCTAAATTGTCATTGGAACTGAAAAATATAACTAAACAGACCAAAAAATGAAAAAAGAATTTAGGATGATCTATATTGTAGAGGGTAGCTGACAGAAGAAAAAGATCACTGCAAAATGAAGAGAGATCAATAAAATGCACTCAGAGTATAAAAGAGGAAAATGAGCTGAAAAAAAGTCCATGTAGCCTAAGACAAAAGATTCCAAACTTTTATCATAATCTCTGCAGGAGAAGAGAAATAATAGTCAAAGAGATTATAGTAGCTGAAGTTCTGGCCATCAAAATGCTAGAGTAGGAAGCCCACACCCTATAGGCACACATATCCAGCAACATTTCAACCAAAAAAAACCCAAAAACCTCTTCAAAAGAAATTAGACTTTAATATACATTAGACACCACTATTAAAGCTAACCTACATTCTAGGAAAAAAGTTAGAAAAACATAAAACCACAAATAAATATTCTCTCTTCCTGTCTGCAATTAGTTTGCCCTGATGGGGAGGGCATCAGGGGCTTAGCTGGCACAGTGCTGCTGGCCTACTTGGGGTGTGCTGTTAGTGGGAGAATATGGGGCCTGGCGCTGCCAATGGGAAAGAATGAAGATATTGTGGAAATCTGAAAACTCTGAAAAGAAAAGTGAATAGTCACACAACATTACCTCAGCAAGGAAGTGAAGGCTTCTCCTTCATGATCAATAAAAAGCCACACATTTGGGCTGGAGCAGGGGAATCACCAGTTCCAGACCAGCCTGGGCTACATAGAAAGTTCCAGACAAGCATGGGCTATGTGATATACTGATTTACAGTTCTGATAAAAAAAAGAAAAAACACGACTCCCACTGTACTAGTGGTGGCAGAAGTAACAAATGGGGACTTTTAGAGTCATGCGACACAAGGATTTTGAGGAAAGCAGGATCTTTTGTCAGGAATCCTGAGTCAGTTTCTGTGTGCCTGACATTCTGCTACCCAGGGTGTGGAGACCGTATTTATTAGATTTAGAAGCTTGCTGTCCTTCAGAGCCTATCCAGAAGTCAGCCGCAGCTAGGAAAGAACCTTCTTGACAAATTGCAGCCTCTTTCTACCTCTTAAAAACACAAACTTAGTCACTTCCTTAGAAATCTTGAAAAGGGAAATGCAGTGTGGCAATGGGATCAAGCAAACACTGAGCTACATGAACTTATATAGCATTTTCCATGTCTTACATGCAGGTCTATACTGCCAACAGACACTTGGACAGACTTGGGCCCAGGAGAATCCAAGACTGTCCACCTCAGACACCACCACTGCATTCCAGACAAAAATTCCAGAGAAAAATTCAAGGCTGTGGACAGGACCAATGAGAAAGGAGGAAATGGGTCAACTCACCAAAATATTGGCCCAGAAAACTGCTAAACTGTTGGAAGTTCGGGCAGCTTTTGTGTAACTGGCTCCAACAGGAAGAAAAGGCCATAGAGAAGATCACTCACTGAGGCAGTGCCTGACAGAACCCAAGGAAGAGCTTCTTAGGAAAGGAATCACTAGGATGAGTCTCATTCACACCCTCAAACCAGGAGAAACACTGTGTTTGGTGTGCAATCCAGCAACATTAGAGTTAAAATATCTAACTCCTTATCATCTTAGCATCAAATTATGTGCACAAGTGAGTTAAATGAGGAGGCAGAAGTATGCTGGGAAGGCCATTTCTCCTGAAAGTCTCAGCATTATCTACTCACGAATGAGATGCTGTCTTAGTCACGTATAATAGTATATTTCCAAGATAAATAATTCTGGCTTGGCATTTTGGATTATTTGCCTGTGTTAATGAAATACATTTGCTTCTTTTAATTGTAACGTATTTTGGAAAAGGAAATGTTGGGAAACTCAGAGGAAGAACTTGTTATATTTCTGTTTTAAGTCTGAACATTTTCTTTTTGTAAAATGATTCATGATACTAGAAGACGTCCTAACCAAAAGTTTGAAAGCAGTTGACACTGGTTTAAAAGGTGGTCACAGAAACTTTTGCTTGAAAACTCTTCTTAATTGAAGAAGCATTTTCTTAGCAATAAATCTAGATTTTTCCTAAACTAGAAAAATACATATAACAACTCAGCATATTCCCCAAATCCAGTATTTCAGATTTTTGTTTTACTGTTCATGGAGCTTGAACACAGGCCCTGGGCACTGTCCCTGAGCTTTTTCACTCAAGGCTATCATCCTACCACTTTGAACCACAGCTGCACTTCTGGCTTCCTGGTGGTTGAAGAGTTTCACAGAATTTCCTGCCCAGGTTGGCTCCTGACCACGATCCTCAGATCTCAGCCTCTTGAGTAGCTAGCATTACAGGTGTGAGCCACCAGCACCCAACTACTGTTTCATTTTTAAATGGAGGTTCAGAATTCATAAAATGAAAGAATGTAAAAATTGACATACTAAAAATGTCTGAAAGTTGTTTTCCAAATCATTTGAGTGATATTACAGAGATGGATTTCATTTCATCCTTTCTTTGCATTCTGTTACTTTTCTATCTTGTGTGTCTCTTAAAACATAGATATTAAAACTTCTTGAGAAACCTATATATTATAGAATCTTTATTGGCTATCATTAAATATCCTACCTTGTAGCGAAATTTAAATACTTCTTGCTCATACTAAATACTTTAAAAATGTTTTTATGTTGTCTTGTCTATATATGGAGAAAAGCTTAGGATTAATTTATAATATTTTTGCTTGATTCAAGAGCAGTGAATTTAAATGGCCATCAAATTATTTTTTCACATTTATTTATTTCTTACATTTGAGTTACTAGTTCTGCAGTTAGTTATGACTATGGAGTTTGGGATAGAGGCTGCTTGAATTGTGATTAGATGTGATGAAGGGAAAGGACCATATGGTTAGGTGGAGATTATTGTCAAGGTCCTAATTTTTGTTTGGGATAGCACGTTCAAGGGTGTTTTATTATTTAAGATGATTGATTAAATAAAATTGATCTATATAGGGATTTTAAAATGCATTTATTGATGAGACAAAGGACAAAGGGGGAAGCAATGCAACAGCATAACTCACAAGACAGTAAAGGGAAAGAGGGAGAAAAATGAGGGAAGGGGTAACAAGTTTGACAAGAAATGTACTCACTACCTTTCTTATGTAACTGTAACCCCTCTGTACATTACATTGACAATTTTTTAAACACACACACACACACATATATATATATATATACACTCTTACTATTTTGACTGTTCAATATAGGCCTGGAAATCTTAGCCAAAGGAACTAAGCAAGAAAAAGACATTCCAAAACAACATCCAAATTGAAGCTTTTACATGTAGGAAACAATATTAAAGATATCACTCTACAAATAATAGAGTTAGAAACAAATCTAGTACAGTTTCAGGATGAAATTTTAATAAAACAATCTTGATATGTTAGGGCTTTTTTGTATCACAACAATAGTTAGTGTTATTTTTTGTCTGTTTTACTTTGTTTATAATTCCTTTGTTTTTCTTCTCCTGCCTGCTTCTGACTTTTTTGAACATTTTATGTTCTTATTTTGATTTATATGTAGTATTTTAAAACATTTTGATAATTATAATTTCCTCAGCATTTTGACCTAGGTTTTATAATACATACATGTAATTACTTATAATACCCTATTACTCTGAGTTTTACACAAAATATTGGATCCTAGCTGCTAAGGAGGCTGAAATTTGAGGATCATGATTCAAAGCCAGCCCAAAAGTCTGTGAGACTCTTATTCCCAATTAAGCACCAAAAAATCAGGAAGTGGAGAAGTGGCTCAAGTAGTAGAGCACTAACTAGCCTTGAGCAAAAAGCTCAGGGATAGTGCCAATGCACTGAGTTCAAGCCCCAGGACTCTCTCTCTCTCTCTCTCTCTCTCTCTCTCACACACACACACACACACACACACAGAGAAAGTGAGAGTGAAAGAAATATTCAAACCAAACAAAGAGACACTGATAGGTAAAAGAATTTTTAAAAACACTATGAAGGTACATTTTTACAAAGAAGGTTAAAAAAAATAAAATATTAGAAACAGAAATAAAATGTAAAAATAATTTTGTATAAAAATGCATGTGATCTCCATCATGAGGAATAAACAATTAAATAAAGAAATAGAAATAAGTACTGTTGAAGGGTGATACAGATCAAGATGCATTGTATTCATAAACTCCTTTGTTAAGTGGTACCTCCTCTGTATAATTACTTATAGATAGGAAACAATTGAAGTTGAAATCAAGAAATGAGGGTTAAAGTAATGTGTTTTATTGCAGATGGTTGGCTGTTCAGGGATAGAAAATTATAAACATTTTTTTAAATTTTTACCTAAATTAATTTCTATAAACCACTTGAAAAAATGAAAATATGCACTCAGGGCAGTAGTATGTAGGTATAAGGATAACTCACTATTTTATCTTCAGTTATATGTATATGTATATATATATATATATATATATATATGTGTGTGTGTGTATGTGTGTTATGTGTATGTATATACCTATCTATATCAATCCAACTCAAGAATGAGATCTATAGTGGATATTGGATTGATTAATTTGACTAAACTCATAGAGTTTTAAAAAATAGGATGACTAGACTATTATAAAATGAAGACAAAATCAGTAAAGAACAACCTAAAGGCTCAAGCAGGCTGTAAAAGTTAGTGGAAGTTGTAAAAGGTCTATGAAAGATAAATCTTATTTAAAATGTTATATGCAATCAAGTTGGCTACAATTTAAAGATTTTTATGAGGTTTTTTTTTTTTTTCTCTGAGTATCAAGCAGTAAGTACTGATACAAGATCAGGACCTAGGTAACTATGTTGGAACAACAAAGCTGTTTGCTAACACACAATCAACACCTAGAGACCTGGTAAATTGCGTGTAACTATGGACTCTAGAGTGCACTTGCTTGTAAACCACTTTCTCTACATTGTCCTCGTGGTTAAAATTGTTTGGGTACAAATTTAGTTATCAACAAATTCCCTTCTGTCTGAAACCAGAACTACCAGGACATGTCTATCTCAGAACAAAGTGCCATCAAGACCTAATGCATATCCTATGAAACTAGGAAACTTGAGGGAATGTGTGGGTTTGCAAGAGACCAGGAAACTAATGAAAGCAGTGATATTGATCAAGATGCATTGTATTCATAATCCAGCATGTTGAAGGGTAGTCCCTTTGTGCAACTACTTAAATATAATGAAAAGGCAAGAAAAAAAAGTCTAATGACTAAAATAGCAGAGTGGTTCAATATAGAGCACTAGTATAAGGACATAAGTTCAAACCCAGTACTGGAAGAACTCGACTTTACTAAGAGAAGAAAAATTGTGAAAGTTGTCAGATTGAACCTGGAACCACCTGTGTCAACTCGGGCAAAATGGGAGGCCATGAATATAGTATTCTTACATGTGACCCTGGCTGCTTCTTCAAGAACCTTCTCACAAGATCAAACAACACATATACCAAAACAACTTTAGACTAACGTTAGAATAGTTTGACCTAGTTACCGAAACCTCTCACACATCAGAGCTTACCAGCTCTCATATACCACCTCTAGTGACAGACAGCCTTGTATAGTTTTCTACTTTGCCAGTGACAAGCCTACCATCCCTTTGTCCCTCAGAGGTGACTCACCCTCTTGATATGTATCCCAGACTGTGATCTACCCTTTGTTACTGACAAAATAAAATCTTTTATTAAGAGATTAATCGCTGAATTTTTGATTAATTTTATAATAGCTAAGATGTGAAAAGAACCTAAATGCTCATCAGCATGTAGAGAGAGAAAATGTGGCATGCACACACAATGGAACGCCCACTAAGTTAAAAAGAAGAACCCTTGTAAGTATGCGAGAATGTAAATCAACCTTTAAAACATGATGCTAAGTGAAATAAGCCAGTCACATTCAAATACTATAGAATTCCTCTTTTATGAAATATCTACTATAGTCAAAGTATGGAATAAGAATGTAGAATGTATTTGGTTAGGATAGAAGCTAAGGGGAATATTTTTGTGGAAAGAATGTACTGGGGATGAACTCAGGGTCTTGATAAACAGTTACTCCACCACTCATGCCAGCCCCTCTCTGATTGGTTGTTTTTGTGATAGGGCCTCACTTTATGATAGGTTATTTTGTGATAGGCTGGCCTAGGCTTCTATCCTCCCAAACTGTGCTTACCTGCATCACCAGGGACGGTGGGTACACACCACTGCATGTGGCCATCATGCTTCTCCCACAGCTGAATGACAGGTAAGCAGTCATGCACCACCATGCCCAAGCACTGGTTGAAATAGAATCTCATGAACTTCTTTTAACCCAGACTAGCTTTGAACCACAGTCTCCAGATCTATACCTCCCAAGTAGCTAGGATTGCAGGTTTGAGCCACCTTCGCTCAATGCAAAAGAGAGACTTTTATTGGGAAGAGTTTCCACTGTTCAAGGTGAATAAGATTTAGAGATATGCATTACAACATCATCACTACACTCAGCAATGTGTAAAATTAAAATGTCTCAGGAAGTATATATTTTCAATGTTGAGTGTAAATATTAAGTGTTCTTACAAGAAAATAAAACTTTAAAACAGTGGATTTTTAAAAAACCTTCACAAAACTGATGGAAAATAGAAAAACAACACAAAAATATTATAATTAAAAGCAACAGAATTATGTTAAATGTGGCCAAACAGAAAGAACACAAAACCTTGAAGGGACCCTGAAACTGAATGAAAATGAATACTGTATCTAAAGTCATGGAAGGTGAAAGAAGGTGACTCAGCACTGTTTAAGTCCTGAGATACACAGTAAAATAAATCCTATATTTTTCAAACTCACCTTTTAATACTAAATTTTTTAAATCCTTTTGAAAACAAAGAAAAGCGAAGAAATTCTGTCCTAGAAGACATAGTCTGAAAGGACTAAAATACAAAGAAAATGATACTACAAGTTTTAGAGTACAAGTAGCCATTGAAGAAAGAATAGGAAAATATAATCCCTCTGAGATTCTGAAATTTTATTTAATAGCTGATGCATAATATATAACAATTTCACGTGATGGTTAATGTTTATAAAGTCTTATGCAACTGTATGTCAAAAGTCTTGATCAGCCTGCTGGCCATGCCTCTTGCCTGTAATCAAAGCCATTTGGGATATTAAGATCACAGCTCAAAGCCAGACTGGGCTGGAAAGTCTCTAACCACAAAAAAAGCTGGAAGCAGACCTATGGCTTCATCAGCCTTGAGTAAAAAAGCTCAATGACAGCATCCAGGCCATGTTCAAGCTCTAATACCCCCAAAAAAGCCATGATCATCATTTGACCGTTGATTATCACTTAACCACTGATTTTTGCTTCTGTGACAAAATACCTGAGTGAAAAAATGTTTTAAATAATGTAAAATGTATATTGATTCATAATACAAGTTTCAGTCCATAGTCACCTGGCTCCAGAGGCAAGACAGAACATTGCATCAGAGAGGATGACAGCAGAGCTGAGTATGTAGTGGCAGCTGAGAAAGCAGGATGACCAATAGGAAGGAACGTGGGACAAAGACAGGCCCCCAGTTACTAGCTCCCACCAAGAAGGTCTCACTTGATAGTCCATTTGGCTATAAATTTACCAGTGAATCAATGCATTGCTGAACTTAAGAATCTTCATGATCTCATCACCTTTGAAAAACCCATGAGCTTCTTACCAAACTTCTAACACATTTTTAGGGGACATTTTTAGGTTGAAATCAGGAAAAAATAAAGAGGGGAAAAGGTAAGTACTAGATAAAGGTAAGTTTCCAATACATTTCTTAAGATTCTAAATAATATGGTATTACAGAATTGCATATATAACACAGATGTCAAACATAGAAAATTAAAATTAGCAAAATGTTTTAGAATATTACTTGTAAATCAGGAGGAGGATCTAAAAATGTTCAAGTAACTCAGAAGAAGGTAGGAAAAGGAAAAGGAATGGTAAGCAAAGTAAACCATAGACAAAATAACACTGAATAATGTTGTGGTACATAAAAGCCCAAACATATCAGGAATTACTCTATTAGACAGTCTAGAGAGACACCCACAAAGTGAGTGCCAAAGTTTATTTAAGACTATGGGTATCCATCTGAATATTTTTTTAAAATCATAATACCAATGACATTCTCCAGAGAAGTAGAATTATCAGTCTCAAAATTCATATGGAAACTCAAAAGACCCCAAAGAGCCAATGTAATCCTGAATAGAAAGAACAATGCTGGAGGCATTGCAGTAGCCAACTTCCAATTATACCACAGAGCCACAGAATTATATTTTCAAATTTGTTTCAGTGTAATAATAGAATCAGACCAATCACTTTCATGTGCTTCTTTTCAATCATCTATTTCCCCAAAATAAAAAATCTGCAGGCCAAATTCTACACACTAAATTCTACATTCCTCAGCTAATATCAAACATTTCAGCTCCTAAATACCTTTGTATGCCCTCTGTACCCTAATACTTCCCACATGAGCCTGTTTCAATTCTGGTCACAATATGCTTTGCATTCTCACTCCCAGCATCTTCCTGGGAAGAACACCATTCACTGCTCAGGCGTATGATATATCATGCTCAACTTCTCAGTCTTACTGGGCAAGGTAATCCACCACTAATCCCAGCACTTGGGAATCTGAGGCAGGAGGATCAAGAGTTCAATGCTTGTCAATGCTGCCTAGAGTGAATGAGAAGGAAGAAAAGAAGGAAAAAAGGGAGGGAGGGAGGGAGGGAGAGAAGGAGGGAAGGTGCCAGTGGCTCATGCCTGAAATCCTAGCTACTCAGGAGGCTAAGATCTAAGGATCATGGTTCAAAGCCAGCCTGGGCAGGAAAGTCAGTGAGACTCTTATCACCAATTAACCACCAAAAAACCAGAAGTAGCACTGTGGCTCAAGTGGTAGAGTGCTAGTCTTGAGCTGAAGAGCTGAGCAATAGCATCCAGGCCCAGAGTTCAAGCCCCATGACACAAAAACAGGAAAAAAGAAAAGAAAGGAAAGAAAGAAATTAGGAAGGAAGGAAGGAAGGAAGGAAGGAAGGAAGGAAGGAAGGAAGGAAGGAAGGAGGAAGGAGAGAGAAAGAGAAAGAAGATAGAAAGAGAGAGAAGGATAGAGAGGAAGGGAGGGAGGAAGGAAGGAAGGGAGGAATGGAGGGAGGGAAAGAGAGAATGAGAGGGAAAGAGAGAAAGGGAGAGAGAGAAGGAGAGGGAGAGAGAGGGAGGGAGTGAAGGAAGGAAGGAAGGGAGGGAGGGAGGGTGGGAGGGAGGGAGGGAGGAATGGAGGGAGGGAGGGAGGGAGGGAGGGAGGAAAGAAAGGAAGAAAAGAAAGAAAGAAAACTTCTGTGTTTTTTGACCCCTTGGCTTTGTCCCCTCCAAGTTCTAACCATTCCAGTTGAAACTACTTTTCTGAATAACTGATTCCTGAGTTACATATTTAAGGACTGGTTGTTTAATCCACTGTGATTTAACAGTAAATACAATCTTACATCTGGGATGGGGCCTGTGTGTGTAACAGTTGAGTGTACTGACTCCAGCATTCACATCCTTTCTAACAGTAGTTCCTGAACCACACAAGATCCCCAAGGGTCTAAAACAGAGGGTGAAGCTTACCTTTATAAGTGGAGTGTCTACCTTCAGTGTTCCTGCTTTGGTATTGGAATATGCCAGGAAATTAGGGTGTAAAAGTGCCCTATTTTAACAAAATAATGACATTTCATTGCTCATTTTGAAATAATATCAGTAATAACAACAATTTACTTTCAACTTTACCAGTTAAAACCCTCAAAGATTAAATAGATGCCTCTCCATGATTTAGCTTATTAAAAATAAGTTAGTAAAGATAATAACTTCCAGATCACAACACAGTTCTATTTGAGATCAAACATCAATAAATCTCTTGGCACACATATCTTGATATTTGCTAATGTCTAGAATCATCTGATTTTGTATATATCTGCATTACACAATTTTTCTGAGATTATATGGTAGTAATGTCTACCTTAAAATTCCCAGCACTCCAAAAGATAAATGTGTGTCCTTCACAATTTCCCTGAAGATGGTGCATTATGCTGTCCTCTCTAGACCTAGGGAAAGTCACACCCCACCTAGAACACGCTTTTCTTGGAGAGGAATATTAGCTGGTCTCAAAATGCTTTTGCTGAGAGAGTGGTAGGATGCTTTACACTCCTTTCATAGGCCAAATAGATTTTACAGACAAATCTGTATTTTCTTTTTTTGTCTTTTCTTTTTTTGTAATGAGGAATTGAACCCAGGATGTTTCACTTGCTAGGCAAGTGCTTTGCCACTGAGCTACATTCTCCAGTCCCTTACAGACATATCTGATAGAATGTGTTTGGGTCAGGCACCAGTGGCTCATGCCTAGCTACTCAGGAGGCTGAGATCTGAAGTTCAAGGTCCAAAGGAAGCTCAGGCAGAAAAGTCTTCCAGACTCCATCTCATAAAAAACCAGCAAAAAGCCAGGCTGGAGGTGTGGCTCAACTAGCAGAGTATTAGCTATGAGCAAGCAAGCTGAGCAAACACAGGACCTGAGCCCAAAGTCCAATACCACAAAGAAGGAAAGAACAAAGGAAGGTAGGTAGAAAGGAAGGAGGGAAGGCAGGAAAGGAAAGAAGGAAGGAAGGAAGTGCAGGGAGCCGGGACAAACGCCATTACAAGATGGCACCCAACTCCTTTCAGCTTAGAGGTAAACAACTCCACATTAGGCAGTGCTTGGCGGGACTGCGGGTCCCTAGCTTTGCGCATGCGCCATCATTGTAAATCCTGAGCCAATCCCGTGGCACCTGGTGACGGCAAAAGGCGGACAGCCAATCCTGAAGCGACCCATGTTCCAAACCCTATATAAGCGGCTGTATTTCCTTGCTCGCTCTCTTGCGCTCAAGCTCTCCCTTCAACTAAAAGGCTCTCCAATAAAGTGTGATCTGAGAAGACTCCTGGTGTGGTGGTCGTTCTTCCTCGCTGGCCGAGAAGGCGTTCGCCGCAAGTGGTGCCGAGACCCGGGACCTGCGCAAGAGGTCGAACAGGAGCCAGAACTCAACACACGGAGAGGAGACGTCGTTATCTTTTAGGTAATTGGACTGGCGAGTTTGATGAGATGCTGGAGCAGCTGCGGATTGCCATTGTGATTGTCAATTCAACGCGAATGGATCCCGGATTTGTGGAGGGGCTCCAGTCCTGGATTTCCTCCGCTGTTTCCTTGGTTCAAGGAATGGGTGGGGGTGGGGTTTATTTTTAGCTTGCTGCTTGGGT